GTCCTCCTGTTAGCTGTAGCATTAGCTGCATGTAACGCTCGGTTCTAGCCCCCTCGAAAAATATTTCCAGTGTGACGTCTTGTCAGTGTGATGTCACTGATCTAAGCCCATTGGCTCGTTGTGGCCCAGCAGCTCATGTTGCACGCCCACGATATGCCGTAGCCTGCGGTAGCACAGTAGTGCTAAGGTGCTAATGTTTTTGCTCCCCGGCCCTCGGAGCCAGAGTGGCTGAGTGACTGACCAATTACGGCAGAGCCGACAGGCCGACCAATCAGATCAGACTTGGCACACGTGGGGACTCTGAACGTGGGCACTTCAGAGCCTTAGAGAGAGAATCAGAAGCGAGCCGGTGCATGGAGCGGCAGTTCATCAAAACAGACACTTTTTTATAACTTTAGTTATTGTGAACATACTTTAGTAGATACATAATTAAATATACAAACCCCAAAAAGAGCAGAATATGACCTCTTTAAAGGAGAATCACATACAAATTTCATAAAAATGCCCAGGAGGGAAACTTGTACTTGCCTTCATGATGCTAAAAGAAGCTAAAGCTACTAGTTAGAACTAACACCATGTAATACTTCACCCTAGAAGACAGAAATGGATGATTACCAACAGATTAGTTTACCAAATCTAATGCTTTCTATAGTGAAGTTACCAGTGGTCACCAAGGTATAATTTTCTTTCACCTTTAATACAGTGAAGGACACAGTAGCTAACATTCGTTTATTTGGCGTTAGCTTAACTAAAAAGGCAAATGCTTTTCTCTGATAGCAACCAGATTGTCTTCAACATGGTGGGAAATAATACATAGTAAGCATTCATTTTGTGAATGGGACTTTTTTTTCACTTGTTTTCATCACAATTACGTTTTCAGTTAAGAATCTGCTTCTTATGGAAGCTCATTTCAGCCAGTTAAAAAAATAAAAAGAGAGATAATAAAGTCGAAATTATGAGATAATAAAAGTAAGCGTTGACACGATGATACCCTCGTGTGGTCTGTTTGGGCAATGACACCCACAAGGGCCAGATAAAGTTTAAGGACAACAGAAATAAATAAGTCAATAAATACTTCTTCTGTAAGACATTCAAGGATGCATCACGGTCACATTGAAGACTACATTCAAGGACAGGCAGAGCAAGGGACACGATAAACAAAGACAACATTTTGATCTTTATCTCATAATTATAACTTTATTATCTCATAATTATGACTTTGTTAGCTCTTTATTTTTTTAACTGGTGGAAATGGGCTTCCATAGCTTCTTGTCTTATAATAAACTATTTTACTAACACTAAGGTACTGCATGTAGTTAGCCAGTTAGCTCTACCTACAGACTTGTTGCAGCAGTCTACTCCTCTGTCCTCTCCTTCACATATGTCTCCTGAGGTCGGTTGTTTGTTTCTAATTGAGTGTCATTTGGTCTCAACCTCCAGCACACAAACACACAAACCAGATGAGCCTATAAACAGCCTCCCCCAAGACATCTTCCTTTCCCATAATGCGTCCTTACTGCCCTTACTGCTACAGTAAGAAGCTCCTTGTCCTCCAGCCTACCTGCCTGTTCACTTGTGTTCACTCTCTGCACGAGCTGAAGAGCTTTCTGTCTCTGCACTCACCAGGCTAACATCATCGTCTATAATAAGTAAGTGTGCAGAGATAATCACAGCATAGAAGTTCTTTAGGGAACTGTTTCCTGTCCCGGTGCTTTCTTCTCCAAAGTCTCTCTAATGGAGGGAGGATGTAATTAACAGAATGTACAATTCTCCCAGGTTGTCGGAGCCTATTCAGCAGAATCTTTTCAACATTTAAAACCTGACTCTGACAGAGGTATGTTGGTTTAAATAGGGTAAAACTCCATTTCGACAGAACAGGCCTGATCAGTTTACAGTTGTGGATCAGAGGTTGTTTGGTAGGCTGATCAAATTTGCTGTAAAAAACAACAACAACAAAATAACCAGCACACCTTAAGCCTGCATTTTGTTTTCTGTGTGTGTGTGTCTCTTCAGGTGGGCAGTGGTCAGAGCTCCTTGTTGGGCGATCCTCCAAAAGAAGTCAGACTGCCCTCCAACCCTTACCTGAACCTCGCCAGTGTGATGCCAGGGGTCGTTTTGCAAGGTGAGGAAACAGACGCACAACAGTTAAGACCTGTGCTTTTCTCCTTTACCTTTTGTTTAAGTGCAATTATCTGTATTACGGTACAAAGATATTAATTCCTCAGTGTTGTGCATTTAAATATTTATATTTATAAATAATATGTAGGCCTAAACTACGGTGGCCCTGAAGTGCAAAACACAACAACAAATAAGAAAACACAGCGACAAATCACAACAACAAATAAGAAAACACAACAACAAATCACAAATTCATTTGTTGTGTTTTGTAATTTTTTTGTTGTGTTTTGTAATTTGTTGTTGTGTTTTTTGATTTGTTGTTGTTGTGTTTTTTGATTTGTTGTTGTGTTTTTTGATTTGTGGTTCTGTTTGTGATTTGTCGTTGTGTTTTCTTATTTGTCGTTGTGTTTTGCACTTCAGGGCCACCGTACTAAACTCTTCCAGTATGAGGATGTTAGGTCATTTTTTTGTATTTTACACAAAACAAGTTAAAATGACTCATGTCCAAACGTTTTCACCTCTTTTTCTAAATTGCTGATTTGAATCCAAAAAGTCACTGCCCTTAAGCCAAGAAATAGTCCCGACCCAAACCTCTAATAAAGTATTATCTCTATTAAAGATGTAGAGATGCCAGCAGGAAGATTTTCTATATGTTAACAAAGTTACACTTATAGTTTTTTTGTTTTTTTCATGAATGCACAGAATAAATTGCTTCCGTCACCCTATAACCTCTTCATCTATGCAAACCTCCTCCACAATCAGACAAAGGTTTGTTTAAGTGGTTATATAGAAAACTGCATTCATTAAGGATAAAGCTACCACCTTTCAAAAGCACAGTTTCAAGGGCACATCGGACAGGATTTCTTTTACAATGTGTATGCTATACATTAGTACCTACAGTGTTGTTTAACTCATTGTACCTCCTGTACTCAGGTTCAGTGGGGAATAAAGCACAGGGTGGACAGCCCGGCTCAGGAGTGTACGGCAGCCCGGTTGCTCCCGTCGTCTCCCAAAGCTCTGGCTCCTACCCCCACAGCGGTACAGCAACAACCACAGCTCCTTATACCACTGATACCTCCACTGACTACAGCCAATACAACCAGGCCTACACACAGGTACTGCAGCATGTACAGACACACTGCAAAGAGACACACTAATGAAGAAATACAAAGATAAATGCAAGACTCACACAGCATCCATTTTCCTCTGTCATGAGGATGTGAGCTCAAATTATAAGTTTTGTACTGTTGTGTCACATTTAGGATCAAACAATCATAACAATTTCCCGGCTTCTACATGATCAACAAAAAAAAACAACAATGAACGCAGTGAAAATCTGGAGGGGAAATCAGTCACAAGTTAAAAAAATATAGATTTAAACCACGTTAAGGTCACATACTGTGTTTATTACAATAAAACACAATAAAACAAAATGTCAGCTTGAAAAAGGTCGAATGCTAGCTGTTTGTTTTTTTAGCTTTGTAGCTAAACAATTAGCTGTTTTTTTAACAACACATTTGTTAACGGCTTTATATGTGATTTTTCACACTTAAATGTAACATAAATCAAGTATATCCTCTGAAAATAACTCTGTGAGTCATGACTGTCAACAATGGGTGTAACACCCGAGTCCCACTGTCTGTGATGTTTTCAGAGTTTTCAGAGTCCTATCTTCACTTTGTTTACATCGTCAGGACGGCCGGCTGACTCCTCCCCTCGTGTATAAAAGTTGTTTAATTGAGGGACTAGAGAAAAGAAGAATAACATACTGTACTCACTGCTTAACTGTTTTTCTAGCTCACGCTCATTTCAGGTAAATTTACATGCAGTGTGAAGATACCAGCATAATAAAGATCGCTAGCATTAGCATGCTAACACAACAATGCAGCGCAAGTTGTTTTGGTTTCATGCTGGTGCTCAAGGGCGACATCTGCTGGATCAAAAAATCGCATATAAAGCCTTTAAGGTCACATACTGTATTGTGCAAAATACACTTTACCATAGGTGTGTTGCCTGTCCTATCTAGGAAAAACAATAAAACACAATAAAACTTAAATGTCAGCTTGAAAAAGGTTGAATGTTCGCTGTTTGTTTTTTTAGCTTTGTAGCTAAACAATTAGCTGTTTTTTTTTTAAACAACACATTTGTTAACGTGTCAAAAAAGCTAAGATACAAAGACTGAAATTCTAATTTATCTTTTTAGACAATCAAATGGTAATATTAGCTAGAAAGTCGATGTTGGCTATCAGCTATCAGTAGCTAAGAAGTAATCAAAACAACACAAATATAAACTAATTAGAACAACTACGATCAAACAGCTGACCCTAACTAATAAATAGTACATAACTTATTATTAGAACAAAGTCTCATCAGCTAGCTAACATCACTTAATACCAATGTATGCCCCTCCTATCATATATTGTAACACAGTCTAACAGTAGGCTACTGTTAGCTAGCATGTGGTTGTATGCTAATGTTAGCTGTAAGCCGCCCACTGGTTTCGAATGATGTTGTTGTACATTTTAATTGTCTTTTAAGCTGCAGTGAAAGATAGACATTAATACAACCACAACCTGTGATACAGCAGTACAAAAAATGATGATTTTCACACACACAGCAACTTGTCATAGAAAAATGTGGATATGGTTAAATTGGTATCTGGCTTTCCTCATCGTAAAATGTGTCAAACAAAAGAGTGAGCGATGGGTGTCAGCTGAATAGATGATGGATGGATGCATAATGAGTGGATGGGTGCAGCAGTGACAGAGTGAGCTGTAAGTGTTGGAGGCAGGGAGGTGTAAGAGACGAGGATTGGTGGGGATATTTGGACAGAGAGAATGAGATAGGATTTGGCAGATAGCGCGCTGTCTCTCCATCTGTCCCTGCTCCTTACTCTCTCTCAACACTTCCTTCTCTGAACAAGTGATGAATCCTTTCTCCTCGCTGCTTGTCTGCACCTCTCTCTCTCTCTCTCTTTCTTATGCCTTTCTCTTCTTTCTCTGTTTTATCGTCATTGTTTTTCTTCCTCAAGCAGCAAGTGACACATCTGATATTTGCATTGTTATACAAACCCAATTTCAAATATTAATTACAGTCTACTCATCCAGACTAATGAATCGTGATTAGATTACCAATAAAACGTTTGGTTTAATTTGTCTGGAAAGTGGAGACAATGAAGAGGAACAGGGCAGAGCCATCGGCAGAAAAGACAAAAAAAATAATGACAAAGAAAGAGAGACAGAAATAAAGAAGGAGGCAAATAACCTGCAGAGACGAGAAAATTATTGAGCAAACATCGATCTGTCTGCTAGCACCGCAATGTTTTCTGATGTGTGTGTGTGTGTGTGGTGTGCCATAGGAGGCCATGCAGCAGTGGTACCAGCACTATCAAGCAGCACAAGCTCACACATACAGCAATGCTGCTTCACAGGACAGCACGGCCACAGACTACACCAAGGAGCACACTCAGGTAATTATTATTTTTTTTACAGTATTGCATCTGTTTCTGCAGTTTTCTATTTTCCTTCTATTTTTTTGACCATAAACATGCAGGTTGGTTGGTCTCTGTTCCTACAGTAGTACGGTCAGGTCAGAATATACCGATACTGTGTCCCTGGACGGCCCAGGTTTGTTCAGCTGTTTCTTTGCTGCATGGCTTTGTCTCAAGGAAGGGGCAAAATGCCGACCACTTCAATAAATACACTAAATATAAGGATTAAAAGTAGAAACAACTAATATAAAATCCAGCATTAAAACTTCCAACATGAAGTCAAGTTGGTATCGTTAAAAAATGTAAACCTTCTTTTTTTTCACAAACAATGTGCAATGTTGGTTTCTTATTAAATAATTTCATCATAAATGGTCTAAAAAAAGAAATATAAGAAAAACAATTAGGACAGCACACCAAATTAAATAAAAGTAAAAACGTAGAATAAATGGCCTTCACCATGTGTTTATTAACCTTCTTGTGTTTCAGGCTCCACCAGTCACGACCTACGGGGATTACAGTTCCTACATGCAGGCGGTCACTCAGTACTACTCCCAGCCTGCAGCAGTGAACCAAGCCTACGCCACCAAGGTATATACTCTACATATACTGAACATATACTGTACATATACTGAACATATACTCTACATATACTGAACATATACTGTACATATACTGAACATATACTGAACATATACTGAACATATACTGAACATATACTGAACATATACTCTACATATACTGAACATATACTGAACATATACTGTACATATACTGAACATATACTGAACATATACTGTACATATACTGAACATAAACTGTACATATACTGTACATATACTCTACATATACTGAACATATACTGAACATATACTCTACATATACTGAACATAAACTGTACATATACTCTACATATACTGAACATATACTGTACATATACTGAACATATACTGAACATATACTGTACATATACTGAACATAAACTGTACATATACTGTACATATACTCTACATATACTGAACATATACTGAACATATACTGTACATATACTCTACATATACTGAACATATACTGTACATATACTGAACATATACTGAACATATACTGAACATATACTCTACATATACTGTACATATACTGTACATATACTGTACATATACTGAACATATACTGAACATATACTGAACATATACTGTACATATACTCTACATATACTGAACATATACTGTACATATACTGAACATATACTGAACATATACTGTACATATACTGTACATAAACTGAACATATACTAACCATATACTGAACATAAACTGTACATATACTGAACATAAACTGTACATATACTGTACATAAACTGTACATATACTGAACATATACTGTACATATACTGAACATAAACTGTACATATACTGTACATATACTGAACATATACTGTACATATACTGTACATAAACTGTACATATACTGAACATATACTGAACATATACTGAACATAAACTGAACATATACTGAACATAAACTGTACATATACTGTACATATACTGAACATAAACTGTACATATACTGTACATATACTGAACATATACTGTACATATACTGTACATAAACTGTACATATACTGAACATATACTGAACATATACTGAACATAAACTGTACATATACTGAACATATACTGAACATAAACTGTACATATACTGTACATAAACTGTACATATACTGAACATATACTGTACATATACTGAACATAAACTGTACATATACTGTACATATACTGAACATATACTGTACATAAACTGTACATATACTGAACATAAACTGTACATATACTGAACATATACTGAACATAAACTGAACATATACTGAACATAAACTGTACATATACTCTACATAAACTGTACATATACTGAACATATACTGAACATATACTGAACATATACTGAACATAAACTGTACATATACTGAACATATACTGAACATAAACTGAACATATACTGAACATAAACTGTACATATACTGTACATAAACTGTACATATACTGAACATATACTGAACATAAACTGTACATATACTGTACATAAACTGTACATATACTGAACATATACTGTACATATACTGAACATATACTGAACATATACTGTACATAAACTGTACATATACTGTACATATACTGAACATATACTCTACATATACTGAACATATACTGAACATAAACTGTACATATACTGAACATAAACTGTACATATACTGTACATATACTGACCATATACTGTACATATACTGAACATATACTGAACATATACTGTACATAAGCTGTACATATACTGTACATATACTGTACATATACTGAACATATACTGTACATATACTGTACATAAACTGTACATATACTGAACATAAACTGTACATATACTGTACATAAACTGTACATATACTGAACATATACTGAACATATACTGTACATAAACTGTACATATACTGAACATAAACTGTACATATACTGAACATATACTGAACATAAACTGAACATATACTGAACATAAACTGTACATATACTGTACATAAACTGTACATATACTGAACATATACTGAACATAAACTGTACATATACTGAACATATACTGAACATAAACTGAACATATACTGAACATAAACTGTACATATACTGTACATAAACTGTACATATACTGAACATATACTGAACATAAACTGTACATATACTGAACATATACTCTACATATACTGAACATATACTGAACATAAACTGTACATATACTGAACATATACTGTACATATACTGAACATATACTGTACATATACTGAACATATACTCTACATATACTGAACATATACTGAACATAAACTGTACATATACTGAACATATACTGAACATAAGCTGTACATATACTGTACATATACTGTACATATACTGAACATATACTGAACATATACTGAACATAAACTGTACATATACTGAACATATACTGAACATAAACTGTACATATACTCTACATATACTGAACATATACTGAACATATACTGAACATAAACTGTACATATACTGTACATATACTCTACATATACTGAACATATACTATACATATACTGTACATATACAAACACATCCAGTCAAACAGCTCCTTCATGTACTCACTGCATGTATCACCATCCTCAACTCAACTATGATAAACTATAGAGATGCACAAGTCTGCTTTCTCAAACACGTTTATATAATAAGAATCTTTATTTATAGTACTTTTCAAAAACAAGTTACGAAGTGCTTTACAAGGAGAGCAAATATAAAAACAGGCCGGTCATAGAATAATAAACAAGGCAAGATTAAGGAATAAAAATCACTTTTAAAAGAACTGTAAAATACATAAAATTCCTTTTCTAAAAAGTAAAAATAGTAACAATTTAAAATCAACAAAAATCGACTTCTTAATTTTTTTTACAAAGTAGTAGTTTTTTTACTTAAAAAAAATGTTCTTGTCTTTATTGTAGTGGACAGTGGATAGAGTGAGAGAGTGGGGAATGACAAAGTGCCCAGGATCATATTCAGGCTCACAGCTTGTTCTCGTCTGGATCGAGTCAGTGAAAAAACTGTACCTGTGTAGGCCTCGCTAGCTGCTGAAGCTAACTATCCAACCAGCTAAACAGTCCCCAATAAAACTCCACAAAATGTTGCTGACTCTCATGAAGTTTACTGAGGTTTCTTTTTTTTTGTGAAACTGAAAACAATACAAAAATGTTCTTATTAATAAACACAATAAGGCAGTTGACTGTGCATGTCTACACATATTAAACAAGCTAAAGTAGCCACACAGCACTAGCATATAGCATCTTAAACAAATGAATGGTAAAGTTAACACTAGCTTAGCAGTTAGCATCTATATAGATACAAAAAAACGTCCTTTCTAAAATGAATACACATAGTATCAACGTTTATACTTACAGACGTTGCATTAGCGTGCAGGAGTAGAAGAAACATGTGAAACTATTGAGCTATCGAAAGTGCTGCAGCCGACTCAATCAATCAATCAATTTTTATTTGTATAGCGTCAACTCATAACAACTGTTATCTCGAGACACTTTACAAAAAGCAGGTAAAAGACCTTACTCATTGTTATGTTACAAAGAATTACAAACTCACTGGCTCATGGTCTACTATTTTACTTTCAGTTTCTATGACAGGAAAAGTAAGGTAGATAAATACAAGCAAACACCACAAGGTGGCACCGTAACACAACAACAAGTAAGATGTCTTTAAAGGCTTTATATGTGATTTTTTGATCCAGCAGATGTCGCCCTTGAGCACCAGCATGAAACCAAAACAACTTGCGCTGCATTGTTGTGTTAGCATGCTAATGCTAGCGATCTTTATTCTGCTCGTATCTTCACACTGCATGTAAATTTACCTGAAATGAGCGTGATCTAGAAACACAGTTAAGCAGTGAGTACAGTATGTTATTCTTCTTTTCTCTAGTCCCTCAATTAAACAACTTTTATACACGAGGGGAGGAGTCAGCCGGCCGTCCTGGCGATGTAAACAAACTGAAGATAGGACTCTGAAAACTCTGAAAACATCACAGACAGTGGGACTCGGGTGTTACACCCATTGTAGACAGTCATGACTCACAGAGTTATTTTCAGAGGATATACTTGATTTCTATTTAAGTGTGAAAAATCACATAGAAAGACTTTAACATGACTTTGTATGGGGCATAACAATAACATAAAAGAAAAGTAAATAATGAACAGTGAGTCAATTCATTTGAAAAATGGTGACTGTAGGTGCTTTTAACAATAATGAACCCTGTGATGTAAGAGCTTAAAGAGTGTTTATCATTCTTTTATTTCTTTGTTGTTGTCTCTCAGGAGGTGGATGTGTGTAAGCCTCTAGGAGTGTCTCTGCACGCGGTCAGTAACGGTGCCGCCCCTCCGCCGGCCGTCCTTCCAGCTGCTGCCGTGCTCCCGGCTTACAGCACCCTGCCTTTAATGCCCGGCTTCCTCGGACCGCCGCACCCGGCCGGAGCCGCGCCGAACCCAGTTACGCACCCACACACTGCCGCTACCGACTGGAACACTTACTACTACGTGAGTGGAGATTCACACAGATATTCTTTTTTTTTTTTTAAAGGATTCACCTTAGTTTATGTCTAAAACTGGGGATAAACACCTTCTTTTGTTGTTTTCAGTTATTTCATTTTCATTTTCATTTTCATTTTCATTTATATTTGATTTATTTGCTCATTTCAGTGTTTGGTTTCAACACAATAATACACAACAAAAAATATTTTCTGAGCAAACAGGAGCAGGAAGAAGAAAAGTTATAATACCTGCCCCCCTTTTCCTTATAACACAAGATACTGTTTAACAGAATAAGATGGCTAACCTGTTGTTTTCTCTTTCACAAAACAAAAAATAGATCAACAATATAGAAACAATCAAATACAATCAGTTAACTCAATACAGAACCTTTTCTTTATGCATTCTTTTAAATTGAATGATAGTCGAGCAGCATTGTAGTGCGTGCAAATGGGCTTTTAAAAATTAAATCTCTGTCTATGATCCTCCTCATTAGATGTAAACACAAACAACTTCTGTACATTTTCAGGTAATTATCTGTTATGAACTGGAAGCTCGCGTTAGCTCGCTCAGCTCAGGTGACAGAATCCAAACATTTCATTTTTGCAGCTTCCTGCTCGAGTGTCTCTCCTCTGAAGTCTTGATATTAGTGGGCAGTGTGAGCTGTTTGCAGACGTGAGCTGTGGTAGAAGATCTCTGCTCTTAGGCTTTAAGATATTAATTTGAAATAGCCACTATGGGCGGGATTTTGTCCGTTAAAGTTCCAAAACAATATAATAGATTGTAGTGTCTCACTGCTTGGTGTGGTGTTTTTCTCAGACAGAGAGCAGGATGATGTGAGGAGACAGGATTCAGACGCCTGAGCTAATCTCTAGACACACTTACATTTGTTTGTGCAGACAGCCTCTGTGTTCCTGCTGGAGACGTTCAAACTGCTCGAGCTTAAAGTCTTTATATGTGATTTTTCACACTTAAATGTAGAAATCAAGTATATCCTCTGAAAATAACTCTGTGAGTCATGACTGTCTACAATGGGTGTAACACCCGAGTCCCACTGTCTGTGATGTTTTCAGAGTTTTCAGAGTCCTATCTTCTGTTTGTTTACATCGCCGGGACGGCCGGCTGACTCCTCCCCTCGTGTATAAAAGTTGTTTAATTGAGGGACTAGAGAAAAGAAGAATAACATACTGTACTCACTGCTTAACTGTGTTTCTAGATCACGCTCATTTCAGGTAAATTTACATGCAGTGTGAAGATACCAGCATAATAAAGATCGCTAGCATTAGCATGCTAACACAACAATGCAGCGAGTTGGTGCTCAAGGGCGACATCTGCTGGATCTAAAAAATCACATATAAAGTCTTTAAACAGACATACATGCAGGATGATTTTATATGTGGTAAAATCCACAACTATTAACATTATTTTCCTCTTTCTTTTTCTAATAACCCATTTTAACTTTATCTTCAGTGTCTTTTTTTCCTTTTTATAATAATAATAATAATAAATTAGATTTATTTAGCGCTTTTCTAAATACTCAAAGACGCTTTGAGAGGAAACAACAAAAAACAAAGCAAAAACTAAGAGAACAATACAACATAGAAGTAGTGTCGAGGGAAGAGGATGAGAGTCAGTGGTTGGTTTATGCTCGTTGTTCGGAGGTATTTGAAACATTTGTGACTTTGTAATGTTTGTTCCAGTTGTCTCTGTTTTTCTGTTGCAGACAAAGGGTGACATGTTGTTCCAGGTCCTGCCAGTTTGGGAGTCACAGCGTTACAGCATTTTTTAAATTCCTAAAGTCTAGAAAAAAACTTGTGAATAATAATTACAAACAAAAATAAGTACTTACTTGACGTAATCTTAAAATGTGTTTAATGATTGCATCTTGCAAAATACACTATAAAGTTAGGAGTGCATTAGATTTTATATGAAATAGAGGATTTCTTGCGAGGACAAATGTTCTTCAATAAAAGCCTTGTGACAGAAAATCTTAAAGGTCTACTGGAACCTGTCTAGCCTGGTGTACACTTGTAGATGCAGCAGTTCATTTTAACATGAGCGATATGAGAGATTAGTTTTTTAATTTGTGTCTTTTCAGAACCAGACGAGGGGCCATAAGAGAGAGTACCCTCAGCTGGCAGTGCAGGAAGTGACATCATCAGACGGTGCCTACATCGGGCAGCACTCCCAGGGCCTGGGAGGGCAGTACGCCGACTACTTCAAGAGGAAGAGGCTCTAGTACCAACCAAACCTACTTTAAAGCTTAACACTTATAGAGGGGAGCAACATGCAGCGTCTGCTGGATGTCACAGCTCCCTCTAGTGGCCTTTCTGAGGTGGCCAATTTTTGCATCCCTACAGTAGGTAATGAGTTTATTAGAAGTGGGGAATGCAAATGGCTCAAGTGAAAGTAAGCCATAGTGCTCTTTGATTCTGGCACTTATTTACACACACACACACACACACACTGACGCACACACACACAAACACGGTGTTGCTTTTGTCCTGTTCAAGCCTTAAACTCTTTAAACTTAAACTGTTGTTTCTCAGTGTGTCGACTGTACTTAACCTAAATGATCTTGTACATGTTTTATATCACAATGTAAACTTCAATATACTGCATCTGTGCGTATAAGCTGCTTTTGTATTTGCGGCCAGGCGACCTGTGTGTCCGCCTGCTCAGCCTGTCTATAGGACCTGTCTTACTCAGGTCTGTCTCCTTTGGAAAAAGACAAAATGTGTCTTTTGTTGTTGCTTTTATTAGTCAGTCCAAACTGAAATCTGTTTGTTCTCGCTTCAGTGTCTTTTCTCTCTTTTCCTTTTATTGCCCCAGGTTCCTCTTTTGTACCTCCCCCGCAGAGAATTAAGAGTGCGTGTGTGTTAGTGTGTGTTTTAATGCGTGTTTATTTGCTTTTTTTTTTTTTCACTGTAGGAAGTGTCAGCCATTTCACTCCCATTGGTTTGGGAGCACATCAGGAAAAACAAAAAAAAAAAGGGCCTGAACCAATCAAAGCCCTTTATTGTGGTGACTAACAATAGCTTCCCTTAATGAATGGACCTTTGTGAAGGAGGAAAAATCAAAGGCTGCTGTAAATACAGTGTGTGTAATACAGAATATATAAAGCCATGCGTAACAGACAATATCGTATATATAACGGACGTTTCAGAGCTCGAGTGTGAGCGTGTTGTTCGACGTGAGTGAAAGGAGAACGTCGATTAAGTGTCTACTTCTTTTGTCAATCGAAACTGTTATATATATTTGTAAGATAATATATGAATAATAATAATAATAATATTCCAACGCAATTCAAGACATTTCTAAGTATTGAAGCAGATTGTGTTGACTTTAATGTATTTTTTTTTCTTGCTTTGGTTTTTGAACATTGAAGCCAAATACTGGGGCCCAGTGCTTTCTCTTCTTTTTCTCTTCTCTTCAATTTAACACCTGTGTGTGTGTGTGTGTGTGTGTGTGTGTGTGTGTGTGTGTGTGTGTGTGTGTGTGTGTGTGTGTGTGTGTGTGTGTGTGTGTGTGTGTGTGTGTGTGTGTGTGTGTGTGTGTGTGTGTGTGTGTGTGTGTGTGTGAGAGCTGTTGTGATTGTGAGGAGGAAAAAAAAAGAGGCTCTACTTCCATTTCCAGCTGCCATTAGAGTGTTGAGGTTTCAGACTGACGGTGTCCTGGATCCATACTACATACTGAGGAGAAGCTGATGCTCTGAGAGTTTAGTATCAGACAGTGAACGTGATGTGAGTTTCCTTGTGAGGGAAATGAAGAATGTTCTTGTAATAATCTTTTTAGAAAACTTTGTTACTTTACTCCAAGAACACTTCTCTGAAAAGTTTAGAGAGACTTTAAAGTTGCAGTCTAATTGAGATATTGAGATATTCTAATTAACTTTTTGTCCCTTTTGCATTCTTACTTCAAAATAATGTACACCGTGAATCTAAAGTGTATCTTGTCAATAAGAATCAATATAATCCAACAGTCGATCACCGATCATATGCAAACATCTGCTTTAGTCTAAATCCTTAAAGCAATGCATTTCCTCTGACTGAGGAGCAAAGAAGACAGAACATGTTCACTTTTATAAAAGCTGCAGTCAGAGACGTTTGACTTCCTCTTACTCAATCAAAGAGAATTAAAGGAGTTGTTGATTGACTCAGGCTCAACAAACGGACGCTCAGCTGCATACAAGATTCAAGATTCAAGATTCAAAATGCTTATTGTCATGTGCACAGTAGGAAACAAGTTTCCCTGTACAATGAAATTCTTTCAATGAATGCCAACAATAACATATTCAAATTAAACATAGCCAAATAAAAAAAAATAATAATAAAAACAATAATAATATATACAAATATACAAGAAAATAAGGCAATTTGAAGGCAGTAGAGTGCAAATAGAAAATGTAAACTGCAAAAAAATGAGTGTAATATGTGCAAACTGAGCATCTTCTTTATGGTATGAGATCAGGACACCGTCTTTTATCGGGTGAGGGGCTGTACGATTTTCACAATAAAAGAACGTGTGTGTGTTTTTCGACGGTGCTGAGAGAATTATCACGCCGTCTCTTTTTTTATTTTATTTTGAAGTTGCCGCCGTGGGAAAAGGCGACTTATCGATTGAAATCTTTTGCAGAGCTGATTATTATTATTATTTTTTTTAAAAGCTGCTTTTACAAAAGAACAGTGGAACGATTTCTTTACTCGTTATTCTGTTATTGTTTTTAAAATCTAGCTTATAGAGCAAGAGGCTTTGAACTGAACTATACTTCATGTCAAAGAGATGTGTTTTGATGTTGATCACAAAGGGCGGGGGGGGCTTGTTATTTTGAAACCACAGCTTGGACATGAGGGGACGTCTCTTGTCTTAAAAGGAACAGGCAATAATAACTCCGGCTCCTTCTTCTACTGTAGAAAGATGAATGTAAAAAAAAAAATGTTTCTCTTCTGGTGTAAATGTTTTTTTGCCTTTCACGCAGCGTTATATACTCTTACATTGTGGCTCAAACACTTAGTAAAATAGTTTTTTTTTTTTACTATTTGTACGTGTGTTTGCTCACGATATATACCCCGAGTAGAAATACCATGCTCACACACTGTGAAACGCAAATGCAGGTGATATCAGATGCACACACACACACACACACACACACACACACACACGTACAGCTCGTCCTGGGCAAAGAAAGAAACATAACGCAGACACAACAACAGATGAGCCGAGAGTATCTGTATGCTTATTAAGTACTAATAAAAATGAAACTAAGGGCAATAATTGTTGCTGAATTCTTTGTATTGTCACTAAAATACTCACAAACACACACACCTTTTATGTTTTCCATTGGTTTGTGTGTCTGCTCCCAGTGATGTGTTTCAAAGTGTCACATGTTTCCCTTTACATCTTAACACTCATCGCAACACATTAACAAAAGCATGCATGAATAAACGCAGCCTACAGCGCTTCAATGCAATAAAGGACTCTGCTCGTTGTTTGTACAGGAAGAAGGAAGAATAAGCTCATTGTCTTTGTGTCATTGAACGCCTCTCGATATGTTGCACATGTTTAGCATAATGATCGTTCACATTCAACGGCTTTCTTTCTGTCTGCCCGGTTCTTATTTATGATCATCATCGACCTGTGAGGACAACATGAACAAAGAATTACCTCTTTTCATAAGGCTGTGCTCTAACCTTTGATCAAAAGTGTAAAAAGGTAGAATTTAGATTCAGATCGTTGGTGGTGTCCCACTTTCCCCTCTCTTACCAAAACCTTAAAACTTGACTCTTTGCATAACACAGACAAGATGTGTTATACTCTCCCCTCTAGAGGTGATACTGAAACTGAGACTGAAAGTATCACAACATGAGGTATTGTCTATGAGCTTAGTGAACCAATAAATGTGTCTGTCCTCAAACATTACTACATATACCCTCAAAAAATCAACTGGTTAAAGATACATCGATATGTAGAGGTGTAAAAACCAATAGTAATATTGCAGGCTTGCATTGTTCTCTATCAATGATATGTTTTTTTTTCTGTAGCAGTATCCGAGGGCTCTGTATCTGTAATTATTCAAACTCTAGGTATCTGAGTTGTTATCATGAAGAGCAGATAGCTTCATCACATCTTCTCTTTTCCATTTCTCTTGTTAGTGACTTGTCCTCACACATGTCTTTGTTGGGTGTCTTAGTTTCCCTTGTGATTTTAGACGTGTCGTCTGGTGGCTGAGCTCATCGTCTTTAATGCTTTCATTTTTGTGATGTTTTTTTTTTTTTTTTGAAGATTTATTTTTGGCCTTTAATGTAGAGATAGTTGGAAATCAGGGAGAGAGAGAGAGAGAGAGAGAGGGGAATGACATGCGGGAAAGGAGTCACAGGTTGGATTTGAACCCGGGCCGCCTGCTTGGAGGACTACAGCCTCCATACATGGGGCGTGCCCCACCAGCGCCCCCCTTTATGATTCTCTTTTAATGAGCTTTTTGCCGGCCTGTAAGAATCAGATCAGCTTTTATTAAACCACTTTAACACACCAAAAAAATAACCACAAAGTCATGAAATGTTTCTAAACGTTAAATGGAACTGACAACATTTTTTATTAATTCATTTAATTCTGTTTTTCATTAAATCAGTTTATTTCTTAGAAACTTGAAAAGTTGGGAATAAACGGAGCCCCGATTTCTATTTCCCCCCCATAGAGTAATTTTTCTGAAACCTGGACCCCTGCCCTGTGGAACATGGTGTGTTGATGAGTTCCTCTGAACTGCTCTGATCCGCTTTGATTTTCTTGTTGGTGTGAGTGGATGTATAAAGAAGCCAGCTGGACGCTCTCTTTCTGACAGGTCTTAACTCTCACCTCCACCTCTCTTTAAATGTGTGTTGGTTTGTGGATGTGAAGTGCTGAGGCGGCAGACTTTAGACAGCTCTGTCTGTGTGAATAGTTTCTCGTCTGTCTGATTTCTGGTCCGACTGTCTGCCATGATGTATTCAGGCGTCAGGTCTGAATTGTAATAGTGATGCTCCAAATGTACTGTCAGCTTTTTTCTCTGCAGTTTGTCTCACTTCCTCTAAAGCCGTGCATATACACTACGGAGCTGTCAGCGTGTGTCGATATAAATATTGAGGAAGAAATCAGTTTGAGCTAAAATAACAACAAGTAGGTAGAGAATCAGGACAGCAGGGTGCAGATTGTTTGAGAAAGAAATGAAGAGTGTAACTGAAGCTTTGAGACCTCAAGAAGATAAAACTAATGCTGTAGAAAAGCCAAAACAAATGCATTGACATCAAAATTCCTGCAAATACACAAATGATGCAAAGTCAGAGCGAACAGATCAAATCGAAAAACACATGCCCAGCCTTCATGATCAATTACAGCTTTAATGAAATTGCAGCCGGTTTCTGCCTGTGAAAATGTCAAACCAAATCTTCTTCTTTCCGGCGCAGTTTTGTCAAAACCCAGGCAAACAGGGAGACCACACAGTATTACATTTATTAGAAGAATCATTTATTGAAACTAACGGCAAAACATAACGCAGAATAATGCAGTTAGGGCAAAGAATAATGCAGAGTCTGTAAATCAGTGGTGATTGATGAAAGGGTTAAGGACTCTTATCTTGCAACTGAACAAGTGGAAAGGATGCCACCGATTAAATGTTAGTTTCTCCTCTGCTGAAGCGTGTTTTCTTGAAAGATACAGAGAGAACTATAAAGGAGAGATTTTCTGTCCTCGTCGATCCTGGAACCTGTTTTCATAAACTGACCAGGTGATGCAGTCGTATTGCTTACGACCTAAATGAGCATGATCTAGAAACACAGTTAAGCAGTGAGTACAGTATGTTATTCTTCTTTTCTCTAGTCCCTCAATTAAACAACTTTTATACACGAGGGGAGGAGTCAGCCGGCCGTCCTGGCGATGTAAACAAAGTGAAGATAGGACTCTGAAAACTCTGAAAACATCACAGACAGTGGGACTCGGGTGTTACACCCATTGTAGACAGTCATGACTCACAGAGTTATTTTCAGAGGATATACTTGATTTATATATTTAAGGTGAAAAATCGCTTATTAAGCCTTTTAACAACAAGCTTTACGGTTTTGGTCTGTAAATATTGAAGCAAAGAATCTGATAGTTGGTCTGAAGTTGATCTGGTTTGGGTTAGGGTGGGATTTCTGACATTTCTCCTATCTTTTTGTGTTGCCATAGCAACTATACAGAAAGATGTGGTGATCTTAAGGCCTTGAGGTTGTTGACATTTCGGCCGTGTTTTGATGATCACACTGCTTTTTTTTTCATTCCACCCTGAAGTCTGTTGATTATTGCTCATTTATAGCTGTTTCTAATTTGGAGACATCTACAACAGCCAATAATGTGCATGCTGTCCTTTTTCTTGCTGCCTGCAGCGGTGACTTTTTCTAGTTGTTTTCTAGAGGCTGTAAGAGTTCTTACTTACTGTTCATGCACCCTGGTATAGTGGAGTTTTAAAGGAACACTGTGAACGACTGGTTGAAAAAAGTCAGAGCGAAAAAAACACCCAATAATCTGTCTGTTGAGTTTCCATCATAATTAGGCTAAGGACGGGGGAGTTGGTGATAGCTTGCAGAGTGTTTTTTTTTGGTAAAAGGAGACACGATGCGCCAAACATTTTTTGTCAGTATACATACATGTTGGATTAACTACATGCTAAAAAACACAACCAATCTATCTATACCAAATCTATGTCTTTACACGCAGATTGGTTAAAGCTTCTATTTGTCGAGCTTTCACTGGAACCACTGTCTCTGGATTCCTTGTTCCTGATCTTGCACAATGTGACTGAATTACAGATGAGGGGTTGAGGGTTTTGGATCAGTAATTGTATGAACTCTCAGTTTGTGAGTTTCTAAAAAAAGAGAAGTGCTCTTGACTCGGCAGGTAACAGGGGTTAGGAGAAGGATGGTGAAAGAAAGAGAGAGAGACGGATGGATAGAAAAACAACTCCAGTCGCCTTCAGCCGTTCAGCCGTTCAGCTGCTGAGCCTGCAGGGACTTTGTTCTTTTGTTTGTCCTTCTGCTTTCTCCTCTTGTGTCTTCTCGCTCAGTGAAGAGTGATAGTTAGGAGACACCTGTAGAGCTGTCACACACTCCAGCACACTCAAAGTGTTTTCTCTGAGTCAGACTCTCGTAGACCATTTCTTCTTGTCTCCACTCTCACACAAATAGATTATTGCCTTCATGTTGGTATGCATATCCTCGTCTGTACTGTGGGACAGATTGCACCCGGCCTCCAAACCTGTCAATCTTGGGACGTGTTGACGTTGCACCTTTGTGAACGATATAACTCCACTCGACCAGCACCAATCACATCTGAAGGACACATTTCAAAGTTTTTGTTCCACTTCCGTACATGGCTTCCTCCACCTGTCTGTTGTGTTCATCCTAAAGCTCGTTCACTTCCTACTGAAGACACTTTGAATGGAAAATGCTTACAATATATACGACAGCTGGGAAGTGTAGTTCTTAGTTAACATTACTGATGATTAAAGGAATTTTTTTTTTACAAAGAATGATCCTTTATTTTATATCTTGTTGTGAACTCACATTTTCCAAATGTTTCCATAACATTTAGATTGAAACAAAAAATGTGATTCATTCAGCAACATTTACATTAATGAACGTTTAACCTCCACTTTCGCTTTTGCCCCAAAGTCTTAAGTTTCTCACAGTGTAATTCACTTCACTTTAATACTAAGAAGTGGATGCTAAATTAGTTCACTTTAAAGCTCTTAATGTTGCCTTTCTTTAAAATGATGGATGTATAATTCTGGAAATTAGCCAATATCATCTAGAAACCTGTCCACCACAGTGTGAGTATGGTAATACATTATACATATCATACATAGAAATGTATACTGGTGGAAGAAAAACCTATCTTTTATTTATAGCAGAATGTTTTCTGGAGTAGATGCACTTTCAGAAAAAAAAAAGTCTTCTCTCTCCTCGTCGTGCCTCTCTCTCCCTTCATGATTGTACACAAAGTTTACACAGCACAAGAAAAGCCTGCTTATTAACAAAAAGAAGAAGGATGCTTTCATTTAGTACAATGTTGATAAGTTTAACTTGTGAGAGCCGGCTGCAGGTTACACATCGGATAAATTCTGTTTGTGTGTATGCAGCAGCAGCAACTCATTTTTTTAAATGTGGTTTTTATGGAAGCACTAAGCAAACATGCATCCTTATATTTCATTTACTCCATTTCCTCTGAGAACATGACACTTCCTGTAGTTTTCTCAAGATCTCAACTTTCTGACATTTTTGGTCTGGTCACTGTGAGAGACCAGAGCATGACTACATGCTGCCACTGCCCACTCTAATGAGGGCGGTTAAGCAAATGTTTGTTTAGTGCTTTTGTAAAATAAATCATTCAAAAGCTCAAGAAAAAAAAAAGCAACTCCAACGTATGGATGCACGTCCACTTTGGGCTTCAGTAGTTTTGCTTCAGTGTCACTCGACATGAGAACAGGAAACCTCATCTGCAGAAAACTCCAGAATCATATCGAGATTGATTTGTATTCTTGTGTAAACGGAGCCCACTTACAGCTCCAGTTCATTGAGTATATAAACTGTAAATGACTCGAGGTCAGTGGTGAAGCTGAACTTTGCAACAGTGAATATGTGTGTGTGTGTGTGTGTGTGTGTGTGTCTATCACAAGATTTGCAATACTCTATTTCAAATTTCTCCGACATGTTTCAATGATTGTAGGTTCATCTAGATTTGCCGTGCTTCTTGCTTTGTAAATATTACTGTGGATTTTTTTTTTTGGAACTGAAATAAACTGTAGATTTTTGCTAAGTTTTATATCATTGCTATCGTTTTACTGTGAAGAAGGTATTCCTGCAGCCCATTTGAGCATGCATACTTAAAACTGTAATATATCAAAACTGTTTTCAGTAGTTCATAACGTCATGCATTTGGACTTACGCAGACAGAACACAAACATTGACTTTATTTATTTTTTCATTGTGTTTTTATGGATACTTTTAACTTCCAGGAGTCTTTCATCTTATTTTATTTTGAAAAATATATATACAGTATATATTTCTTTTCTCTTATTTTGAGCAGAAGGAATTGTCTTTTACATTCCTAAATAAAATGTGGACTGAAGCGCAATTGTGTCCTCCTGACAAGTCTTTTTCTCTTTTCACAGTTAAAGCCATACAGTTAAACATTAAAAAGAACTGACCATTGCTGAAGTCTTGATAACATAGTGACTGAGCGTGACTTTACACACACACTACGGCTCACAGCTGCTGATGGATTCAAAACAGAAAAAACCCTCTGCTCAAACCTTTGAACATACACACAAAATACACTTTTATAGGTTTTCTGTTGGATTAAAAATGATACAAATAAAATGCACAGTAAAAGAAAATGCCATGTTTCACTGATTCGTCTGTCTCACTTCAAACAATTCTTACTATTTAAAGTCCTTCAAAAAAAACAATCTTCAAATATGACAAGGCGCTCTTTTTTTTTGTTTTTGCAATGTTATGTTTGTTACCAACATGTGAAAGTATGTTAAAAAAACCCACTCGAGTCAGGGGGAAACGTGAGGTGGTGCTGCCCCCAAGTGTCTCCAACAGGTACTTCTCTCTCTTAACAAGTGCCGTGTATGTAGGCAGAAAACATCAGACGCAAACGGGTCGACCCAATCGGGGAAATCTTGCCAATCTCAATCTCGAGAATCTGGAGATTGGATTTAACGTGATGCTAAAATACCGTTTGTTAAACGATTCACCGGCTGATTTACGGAGCATGAAAACAAAGATGAGAGAGCAATGATCCACAGGATGTAATATAATTGGATTTCCTGTTCCGGTGCAGATGTAGTTTAAAAAAAAAAAACTTTACAAATGAAATATAATTAATGGTGTCTGTTTTTTTTCTATGAATCAGGATTTTTTTTTTTACACAAAACCATGCTGAAGAAAAAGTTCACATTGTCGATAAATCTGTGTTGCTGAAAATAAAAAAACATGCCTTTAGAAAGACTCTCAAACTTCAACGAGGAGGTCTTTAAATAAGGCGTCGAGTTAAAACAACAATCTAAAAAAATAAACTCAGATGATCCTCTCAAGTGAGAAGCTTAAAACAATCAATGTTAAGGTCTTTAAAAAAAAAAGAAATACAATATTTCTCATCAATGAAAGGAACATCGCTCACTTACATCTGCACATCGCAGACAGAAAATGTAATTACTCCACGGCTCACTCTCTCACTCAAAGAATTCCAAATGGAGAAGTTCAAGATTCCAGACGTCATGGACCCATTTCCTTCATCCTTTTTTAAACCCTCAGGAACTTCTCCCCATGATTCATCTGTGATCGACCTAAAGAACAAACGCCACTTAACTTTGTGTTTGTAAGAAAGTGAGCGTCAAAGAGTTCCTCTCTCTCTTCATCAACCACCTGTCCACACACTCATAAGGCCATTCAGAGCTCAGCACATGAGCGACAAGGCCACACAGGTTTCTCCTAACGCAGACTCTTACATCCATGAGATACATTTGGAGGTTCTTGTTAAGATTGGAGATCTTATTTAGCCCGCGCTAATGCTTTAACATTAGCCATCCCCCCCAAAAAAAACCTCTAATTAGGAAACATCAGTATGAAATAACAAATATGAGAGCATGAAATAAAAACATGTAAAAAAAATACATGGCAGACTTAAAGGCTTTATATGCGATTTTTTTGATCCAGCAATGTCGCCCTTGAGCTCCAGCATGAAACCAAAACAACTGGCGCTGCATTGTTGTGTTAGCATGCTAATGCTAGCGATCTTTATTATGCTGGTATCTTCACACTGCATGTAAATTTACCTGAAATGAGCGTGATCTAGAAACACAGTTAAGCAGTGAGTACAGTATGTTATTCTTCTTTTCTCTAGTCCCTCAATTAAACAACTTTTATACTCGAGGGGAGGAGTCAGCCGCTGTCCGGGCGATGTAAACAAACTGAAGATAGGACTCTGAAAACTCTGAAAACATCACAGACAGTGGGACTCGGGTGTTACACCCATTGTTGACAGTCATGACTCACAGAGTTATTTTCAGAGGATATACTTGATTTATATTATATTTGTGAATATATAAGTGTGAAAAATCAAATATAAAGCCTTTAAATGGTTGATTAGAAAGAAAAGTCTCTAGAAAAGATGTGGAAGGTTGTTATGCGTGTATGAAGGAGCAGTGCTGATCCTTCACGACTGTCTCTCACAAGCAGATGCTGATCCAAGGACAGCTGTCTCTGTTCACATCTGACCCCCAAAAACAAAGTCAGCGTCACTCCCGGGAGCCACAGCTGCTGCAGCTTAAAAGTCATTCTGCGGCTGGTCATTCTGCAGCAGGTTTTTCAGCTCCTTTATCAGGCACCCAAAGGTGATCCTCTGCTCGGGCGTTTGCTCCCAGCACTTGCGCATCAGCTTGTACACCTGATGAGCAGAACGGGTGTTAAGACTTCAGGCAGACAACATAACATAACACATGACAAAGAGCTAACATGTGACAGCTTCCTCAGTCTTTGCCATTAGGACAGTTTAAACACATTTTCAAGAATAACATATTTAACAAATATAAAATTTAACAGTCGATGGGAAAAATTGAATCAATATCAGTTGTAAGGTCTGTACTGTCTACCAATTAATGTGTGTAATACATTATATCTGTTGCTTTTGTTACTTTGTTATCTGTACTGTTCACCTTTATTTTTTTCAAGCTTAGTCTTGGATTTATTTATTAAGCTAAAAAGATAAAAAGGGGGTAGGACTGGATAAGTTATTTAATTTCATCCTACACCCTTTTCCAACATAGACTGGTTAAGGAAAAATAATCGAGCCACTACAGAAAGTCTGCTTTGATTGCTGTTTGCTTTGTTTGTAATGTATACTTTTTTGTATTTTTAAAACATGTTCGAAATAAAAAAATAAAAATGAAAAATGCCAATGGTAGGAAGAATCAAAAGGTCAGCAATTAGAGACTCCAAAGAAGTGGTTTTGTATCTTAGTTTTAGAAAAAATATCTAATTGCAATTACTGTGACTGGTTGTGTGATTGCAATTTGATTCACCAAGTAAAACAGTTCCACATATTGTTTCTCTGAACACAACGAGCTGCTTCTGCAGGAGATGTTTTACTAACAGCTGACGATCTCCTTTAGGTTGCTCCATGTGTTACCAGAGAACTGAAACTCTTAAGTGGGACCACAAAGTCACAGAGCAGCTGAGTTGTGCTAATCAAACTTTTTTGTGTTTGTTGGTAAGAAAAAGAGAAATGCTCACCGGCTCTGAGCAGCCGTCAGGACGAGGCAACCTCCTCCCATCTGCCAACAGATTCACCAAGCGGAGGACCGTCATCTGACCTTGAGTTTGACCGATCATGCGGAGGAAGAGCTGCGCGGGCGAGGACAAAGACAATTCAGAAAAAAAAAAAAAAGACAAACACACACCGTTCAATGCTGGCTCAGATGTGACACATGATAATATAACTCCAGAGAGAGCTTTTGAACACACAGCCTCTTTTTGATATTCGTTCAACCTGTGCCAGTTTAGATGACTCATTTCCTTCCAGTATTAGTTACAGGTCAATCAGGATAACAGTCTGATGTCAATGAAAAGAGCTTCATGATCAGACTAAGCTTTGAGTGCTGGCACAGGTTTTAGTTTGGACACAGCTCCTGGTGAAGTCTGTCATCTGCCACTCTGGCTGAAGACCAACACCATCTGCTACATACAAATGTCTGTGTGTGAATTCACTTCCTTCTTTCTGCTTTACTGGTAGCTTGGAAATGTAATGAATGTGGAATTAACAAAGCTTCTCTAAAAGGGATTAGAAGGGGGCTGTTGAAAGCTCACTGACCGTCATCGGGCTTATGGACGAGTCGCAGTATGTGATGAGCTCGTACATGGTGACGCCAAAGGACCAAACGTCTGAAGCCAGGTAGAACTTGCAGAGACTCAGACACTCTGGAGCATACCTGGAAATACACACAACACAGTAACATTAGAAATCGGTGTCCATTTTGACTTCTAATGGTCGCACTAGTAAAAGAAAGGGCAACGCCCACTTTTTAGATGAATGCATAGGTTTTAACTCTGCGTCTTATGTAACATATTTGACAGTATGTTTTTTTCAATTTTATTTTACTAAAGAATCAAAACTCAGGCTCAAGAATGTTTTTTTTTATATTCACAACTTCAAGCCTTCCAACAGCTGATGCTTTACCTTTGCTTTATAATAGTTAAAGCCGGGTTTACTAAAGTCCAACATGTTGGGAGCAACCTTGTGTTAATATCTGGTGTGACACTGACTGCTCTGTATTTGTTCTTCTTTTTCTCTCATTATGTGTCGCTCTTGTCTCCTTTGTTTTCTAACGTTAAAGATAAAATAAACATGATTTACCTTTAGCACTTTGAATTGTGAGAATTGAGTTGTTGAAATGTGCTATAGAAATAAACTCGCCTTGCTTTATGACGTGTTAAGCTTTGTTATAATATTATATAAGAGTTTTTTTTTTATTACCGTAATTGAAAAAGTATTGTTATTTAGGAAACCAGCGTGCTTCAAGACTCTCTCAAAGAGCCAACAAAAGTTAAATCAACTAAGGCTACTGTTGATTATAAATTACAAACTACTGTAATATTTGACTCCAGTTTACAGATTATAGTCCCCGGTGAATCAACTGCATGATTCTAACAACACTTTAGTCTACCTCTCTACCCGTCACCTTTAAAGGCTTTATGTGATTTTTCACACTTAAATGTAGAAATCAAGTATCTCCTCTGAAAATAACTCTGTGAGTCATGACTGTCTACAATGGGTGTAACACCCGAGTCCCACTGTCTGTGATGTTTTCAGAGTTTTCAGAGTCCTATCTTCACTTTGTTTACATCGCCCGGACGGCTGGCTGACTCCTCCCCTCGTGTATAAAAGTTGTTTAATTGAGGGACTAGAGAAAAGAAGAATAACATACTGTACTCACTGCTTAACTGTGTTTCTAGATCACGCTCATTTCAGGTAAATTTACATGCAGTGTGAAGATACCAGCATAATAAAGATCGCTAGCATTAGCATGCTAACACAACAATGCAGCGCGAGTTGTTTTGGTTTCATGCTGGTGCTCAAGGGCGACATCTGCTGGATCAAAAAATCACATATAAAGCCTTTAAAGTCAACTGACTCGATCAATTTATTACAAAAAAGGGATCATATATGTTCTACAGGCCATTGCCTTTTGTTTTGTCCTAATTTACTTAGTAATGTCTCCTCTTTTTATTCTGTCCTATCTGTAAAACTTTTCTCTGTTAATAAGATTCCAGCGATCACGTTCAGGTTTGAGAGGAGAACATTTCAGGCCGTATCCGACTTTAATCTTCTCTCCTTCTTCCTCTTGACTCACCAGAAAACAGGGCTCTCGTTTTCATCCTTGACCGTGTAATATCCCTCGTTTTCCTTAATGCTCTTGGTGAGGCCAAAATCTCCGATCTTCACCGTGCTCTCGTTCTCCACCAGCACATTTCGGGCGGCCAGGTCCCTGTGAATGTAATTTTGAGATCCCAGATACTCCATTCCCTAAAAATAAACAAAAACAAGGACATTGTCTTAACAGGTTCAGAGTGATTCAAATGCAGCCAGATGCAGAAAACACAAGCTCATAATCAGAAACCACATATGATACATCATGGTTCAAAAACACTCCACGCCTTCCTAAAAAGAAAAAGGGGTTACCTCGCATATCTGGATGGAGTAGCTGAGCAGGGTGTTGAGGCTGGTCTTGTTCCTATTTCGGGGCAGATAGTCCTTCAAACTGCCCAGTGGAACGTACTGCATGATCAGCTTAATGGCCTGACCCCCTACAAACAGATTCACACAGAAACACTATTGAAAACAGCTGATCGATGTTCTGACTCAGCAAGTTTGAACCTCATGAACGAATCAATAAACAGTTATATTGGTGGAATTATTTTCCAAACATGTAAAATTGTTCTAAAATCGTTTTGTGTGTGTGTGTGTGTGTGTGTGTGTGTGTGTGTGTGTGTGTGTGTGTGTGTGTGTGTGTGTGTGTATGTTTGTGTGTTTTGGATTTGGATTTGGAAAATCTTTATTGTCCCCGAGGGGCAATTTGTTTTGCAACAGAGGTTCATACGGTCAATACATCCGTAAAAAACAGCACAATGACATAAATACATATAAAACATAACTACCATGGATATCACCATGATGGACGTGAGTGAGATAAAGGACAAAGGACCAACAGTCCATAGTAAAAGTGTCCAGGCAACAATACAGCTTATTTAAAAACCCAACAGCTGATGGAACAAACGACCTCAGGTATGTGTTTGATTTCGACCTCCTTACATAAGTGAACCTCCGCCATGTCGGCAGAAGTCTAAACTCTGCATGCAGGGGGTTGCTGAGGGTCTTCCAAGATGGCCTTTGCCTTTCGAGTGGCTCTTACTTGAAAAATATGGCCGAGATCATTCAAGTCAACTCCAACTATCTTTCGGTAAAGTTTAACAACATTTCCCAGCCTGTTTTTGTTAACGATGCTGAGGTTACCAAACCAGCAGGTCATCACAAAAGTCAAAATGGACTCAATAAGAGATGAATAAAACATTTTCAGAAGAGATTTGTCAACATTAAAAATCCTCAGCTTTCTCAAGAAGAACAGTCTCTGATTGGCCTTTTTGCAGATGGCGTTCAGTTTTTCAGTTTTTCATCAAGGATGGTACCCAGGTATTTATACTGAGTCACTGTCTCTACAGCTGTGCTGTTAATAAGCGTTGGCGCTTTGTCAGGTGGATTTTTGCGAAAGTCGATCAGCATCTCTTTTGTTTTACAGACATTGAGATGCAGGTTGGAGTCATTGCACCATTTTAAGAAATTGTCCAGAACAGGACCATGGCCCACCTCGTGTTCCTGCAGGAGGCTGACAATCACAGAATCATCAGCAAATTTAACTATGAACCTGGACTGGAACTCACTCTGACAGTCATTTGTGTAAAGCATGAATAACAATGGTGACAAAACACATCCCTGTGGTGAACCTGTTGAACACATCGACGCTTCAGAGAAAGAGTCATTTACCCGTGTTCTTTGTGACCTCATTGTGAGGAAGTCGACAAGCCAACATGAAGTGCCAAAGTCAAAGTCAGGTATTTTAGACAGCCTACGAGCAAGAATATGGGGCTGCATGCAATTAAAAGCTGATGAGAAATCCACAAAGCACAAACGAGCATGTGTTTTCAGGCCCTCCAGGTGTCCAACAACAAGATCCATTAATGTCACAGTGGCATCGTCTACCCCCTTCCTTGCTTGATAAGCGAATTGGAGTGGGTCAATTATGCTTTCGGACATGTTCAGTAAGCTCCTTTTGACGATACTTTCCAGACCTTTCATGACTAAGGAGGTGAGCGCCACAGGGCGATAGTCATTCAGCTCTTTGGGGTTTGTAACCTTGGCTACAGGTACTACAGTGGATTCCTTCCATAATGCAGGAACTTTTTTCTGTGATAAAGAAAGCTGGAAGGTGAATGTAAAAATGCCACTCAAGAACAAGCCGCAGTTCTTAAGTAATTGGCCCGTGATGCAGTCAGGCCCATGGCTTTTTCTGACACTTGTCTGTTTGAGTGTCCTCCAGACATCCATTTCATCAATCTGTATTTGACTGCCCTCTGAAGTACCTCTGAACTCGGCCAGTGTGTGTGTGTTTTTATGTGTCTGTGTCTGTGTGTGTGTGTATATATATGTAAGAATTCTTCCCAGCTCACCTTCCTCCAGGCAGATGCCTTTGTATTTGACAATGTTATCGTGGTAAAGTCCTTTGAGGATGTCGATCTCACGCGACAGGTTGGTGCTCTGCTCCTCGCGGTTCTCGGGCTTCAGCGACTTCACCGCCACCAGCTCGCCTGTTTTATCTTCCCGAGGATCGTAACGACACAGCTCCACCTTACCAAAGTGGCCCTGCAAGAGGAACAGAAATGTCATCATTCACATGGATCCCCAAGGCCATGTCGGGGGGGAGGGGGGGGGGGGTCATCATTCACATTTCTAGCAACGTTTTTTTGTGGGATGCTGAAATATCCTAATATGAAATATCTCTTAAATTGTTACTTTTCTTCCAAATATTGTTTTTTTTAATTTGTCCTGTCTCGTTATATTTGGTATCAAAGAAAGTCTGTATGCCAAGCTGAGATCAGCCGAGTCCTCCCCCACCATTTATTGGCTGGTTAGAGGGACATTTGTTTATTTGGGGCTAAATAAATAAAAGTTATCTAATCTGATCGTTTTGATAGAAGTCTGTACTCGTCGTAGAACTTCCAATACAAAACGGACTTTAGGTAATCATAGATTCTATATAAAATATTGATGAACACCTACTCAATGAAGCACTAACACTTTACCTCTCCCAAATCTCGGACTTTCCTCAGGAACCTCTTCTCAAACACAGTCGGATCCACCTCTGGTGTTGGCTTTGGTATAATCGATGGGTCTGAAAAATAAACAAAAACTTTACAGTTTAGAGAAGTCTTCTTTTTTTTTTTCATCAAAATCACACTTGCATCACAGGAAGTCCATTGTTGTTGACAGTGTCATCGGTTATATAACCAACCGTTCGCCTTCCCCCGTGATCAGAAGAGGTAATCTGTAATCTTCTTTTGTGAATATATTTGTAATCTTCTATGGTGGATTCTGTTTCTATCTACATTTGAAGGTGATTCTATTGCAGTTTTGTCACTTTAATAAAAGAAGCTTTAGCTCCAGTGAGACTTGACTGCAGTGTCCTATTCTGACCAGCAGGTGGGAGAAGGGAGTCTTGTGTCTTTGCCATGGGGCCCGTCAGAGGGGGGAGATCAGTGAACGTGCACCCAGTGAACTTCCTCATGAACATCACTGTTCAGTAAACAACTCTCACTCTTTAAACTGCTTACCAGGCTGCTGCTAGGTGAGAAACCAAACATGCAAAACATTCAGATCAAATTCCAACTGTCAATAACTGCCTCCATTTGTTGATTTTACCTGTACCGCTTGAGCCTGTTCTTCAGTATGCACTCATCTTACTCTATCATAACTGGTTTTTGAAGGCAGCCAAAACTACTGCAACAACATTAGATTGTATTGTACGTATTTACAACCAGCCTTACTATGAAAACAACAAGTATATAATGATATAATAGACACTGAAACACGTACTCTTTTCCTCTAGCATGTCAATGTCTCGCACGATGGCCCTAAAGAAAGGTCTCTTCTTGGGATCGTAGTTCATGCAGTGGGTCATCAGTTCGGCCAGCTCTTTGCAGTCCGGGGTGGCCAGTTGGCATTCCCTGTCGTAAAACCTCTCCTTCTGCTCAAGAAAAAAAAGACAACCATGTGAATCAGGAGGTGCACAGAAACATTGTGTGATCACTGATGTGAACATGAGTAACGGCCCGTGTCCACCTGCCGTTTTTTCGCTCTTGGATGAAGCGTTTGAGTGCTGAGAATAAAAGTGCTGCACGTGCATGTTGTGTCTTTGACAACAGTGTATTGACAACTGATCCGTTTGATTTTTACTGTATGTTTTATATCTGAGATCTTTTTCCCCCCCTTCTCATCAGACGGAGGTTTCTTGCCTTCCCTCTTTGTCTGGATGATGAGCTTTATAATAATGACAGCCCCCGCTATCACACCTCCGATCAGACACAGAGCAAGGAGGATGAATATGGGGAATATCATCTCCTTCTCCAAATTGCTGTTAGATGAAGCCCGGTTCCAGCTGACCAATTTATTTCATGATGACTGACTGCTTAAAGGCTTTATATGTGATTTTTCACACTTAAATATAATATAAATCAAGTATATCCTCTGAAAATAACTCTGTGAGTCATGACTGTCTACAATGGGTGTAACACCCAAGTCCCACTGTCTGTGATGTTTTCAGAGTTTTCAGAGTCCTATCTTCACTTTGTTTACATCGCCGGGACGGGTGTTTTGGTTTCATGCTGGTGCTCAAGGGCGACATCTTCTGGATGAAAAAATTGCATATAAAGCCTTTTAAAAAAAGACGTCTGTGACTTTAAAAGCGCTCTTGTGAAAAGTTGAAAGATTTTCAGCTAGAAGTGCACGAAGTAGCCGCACAAAAGAGGTGGAGAGTTCAGAAAGAAAGACACTGGGTGCTGCGCCTTTTTTTTCCAATGATCTTTCCTCATTGTGAATAATGGAAAAAAGAAGCTGGAATTCAGAAGAAAAAAAAGCACCAGGCGGACAAAGGCCCTAAGACAACGCACAACATTAAATAAAAAAAGGTAGTGTAGCCATCAAATCCCCCCAAAGTCTGGGGGATGTATGAATAAATATATACAGTAATCTTTATATACAACTTCTTTGTGTTTGCCACCGACCTCTGTAAGTTTCTTGTCCTTTAGGGGGACCTCTCCATCATAGCAGATCTCCCACAGGGTGGTACCAAAGCCCCATTTATCAGCCGCCACACTCAGGGACGACACGTTCCTCACACACTCCGGAGCGATCCACGGTATACGGTGCACACACTCTGCAGACACAAACAGTGAAGGGAAGAAAAGTATTTGCTCATCAAGTATCTACAGTAATGATGTATTTCTATTTGACCATGACAGAGATAAGGGATGCTCTGAGGGATATAACCTTTAAAATGGTATTAACATGGTGTTAAAACTGTCTAAAACACAGGAAGAATACATCAAGACACTAAACTTCAAGCAAACAAAAACCTTCAACAGACAGAAACATCATAATTATTAAAAACTATGTTCCACCTATTCTGATCCTCTTCTCATCAGGCTGCATCATTCACATTACTATCAGCATTTGTGTGGGATGCTGAAATATCCTAACATGAAATTTCTCTTAAATTTTTACTTTTCTTCTTTCTAGAAATTTAAAGAAATTACAGTAGGGAAGAAATATGACCATTTAGATCAAATCCTATAAACTCTGTGAATTGGCTAAACCATTTTTGAAAGTGATAGTTAATACATGTCCTCAACGTTTTCAGGTAACATGCTCTGGCCGTGTACTAGCACCAGGAAACAACGGTCAAATCGGTAAAGTTCTGAATCTAAAAGCCTCGGCATTGGCAGCCTGAAATATATATTACTCTGACTGGAAGCCAACTGATTGGCTGACCTCCACGTTCAGCTTTTTTTGGGCTTGGAAATCCATAACATGAAATCAGTGGTTGGTAAGTGGATGCAGCTCAGGCTGGAACACAAGAGGACTGAAGGAGTTAAGAGGGGAGAAAGGGCTGAATTAAGCAGGAGGGGGGATAATGGAGACGTAAGCAGGGAAGGAAACAATTTTGTCCAAGAGTAGGATCAGTGATGAATGGACTTGAGGGTTTTTAGTAAAGTGATCATTGGAGATTGCTGGGAAAAACAGAAGAGCGCGTCCCAGTGGGTTACCCAGCACTTTACCCACTATGCATTCAATCAAATCTATACACAGGACATCGACGTGTAACTGGAAGACTGATTATTCTGCAAAGAGCTGGAGACAGAAAAATGTTAAGAGTTCTGGGAACAGAGAGCGAGGGAGGAGCATCCCCAGGGGGCGTGTGTTGATGGATCTTTGCACAGAAAACATTTCCAGTCCGTCCTGTGGGTTTGCCAGTGCGTTCGTACAGCCGCATTACGTTATATCACACAACTCGTCGCTCCAACAGACAAACAGAAACATGAGGCAGCCATTTTAGGGGAACTGTGCAATATGAGAAATGTCCTTGTGCCATTATCTGTCCTGACCTCAGATCTGGATTTTTTTAAATCCCAAATCACAGTGTGAGAAGGAAGTGTGTCCAGGAAAATGAGTATTGATTAGCTGAAGTATGTGATTTCTATTTCTGTAAACCTCTGCTTGATCGTAAACAGAGTTTTTTGGGGAGGTTTTTTTCCTGCATTTTGTGGGAAGAAATGATGGTAAAGATCTGATCATTTTTAAGTGTGCAAGCCCAAATGTTGACGGCACAGACATCAAAGAGATAACAGCGTGGAGTTTGTTTATTTGATACTCTCCACCTGTTTGTAATGCTTCCTATTGCCTAAGCATAATGACCTTCTGTTTATAGATTATTTTCTCTTTATGCCTCTGCTAACAGGTTTAGAATGGCAAAACATCAACGCAATGTTGCAAGAGAAAATTAGTTTACTGGATGTAACTATACACCCATGAGTACAGGCTAACGTTACTTATAAGTTTCTTTGCACAGTTTGTTTATGTATTCTGTAGTCAAATAAACACAGTACCCTCTGCGTCTAAAGCAAACTGCATGTTTGACAAGAATATTATATTTTGGCTTTGGAGATTTGATTTGTTTTTATACATAGTGGTTGAAAGTACAATGAAACTGAACTTTTTTACCAACTCAAGGTCCAGATAAATGACACCTCAATACACATTAGTTTGGCCAATAATCGTTAAATTTCCGCCGGCTCCTCCTCCGCTGCTGCTAATGAAGATTACAGAGACAGAGCCACCACACCCCCCCTCAGGTGTGTCATCAGTACTGACCCTGCTTCTCCTTCTACCAACCACGCCTACAGCTAAAGACACTGAAGTGAATCCTCATAACACATTATCATAACAATCGTGTCATTATGGCTTTAAGTCTCAACCTGGCAGGCCGATGTCAGCATGTGTGAGTCTGGGTTTCTCTGTTCTCATAATAGTTCCAGTTACTTACAGCTGACTGGTAAAGAAAGTGGAAGTTGTGTAATTTTTAATTTCCATTATAGCTGTTTTCCAAGCATTTTGGTTTCAGTTTTACCAACTCTGAGTGAGACGTGTGTGTGTATTTGTTTTGTACTCACCCTCTCTTGTGAGCACTGTGATTGGTATTCCTGGGTCGCTGAGTTTGATGAAGGGCCCTCCTTCATCGGTGCCCAGACCGTCTCTTGCCAGCAGGATGTTTTTAGAACACACAAACCCATGGACCAGCTTTTTATCCTCCTGCAAACACACGCAGAATAAAAACCTTTAAGGGCACATATAAAAGATTATTTCTGATTTGATATGAAGTGCTGTAACTCATCCTGTTAATGCACACAGGACTTACATGGAAACGAACCATAGGATTGTAAATGTGTATTTATGTATATGTGTGTGTGTGTGTTTTTACCAAGTAGCTGAGAGCTGACGCCAGCTGCTTGGCCACCTGGAACTTCCACGGTGTGCTCAGAGGGCTCGTCTGTCGCCTCATGAACAAGTCCAGTGGTCCCAGCTGGACGAACTCCTCAACCATGATATCTGTTTCCACAATTGGAGACATGATGTGTCAAAGATGCAAGCAGCAACAAACTCTTGTATAAAACGTACACACACAGGCACAGAACTTACTCTCTTGGTGGCGAACACACACCCCATACAGCAGCACTATGTGTTTGTAGGAAACTTGTCGCATCATACTGGCTGTTTCAAAGAAGGCCTGTCAAAGAGAGACAAACAAGAAGATTCAATAAATAGATCATATCAGGAAGTGTTTTATTAACTGTTTCTTCTTACTAATAGAAATAAACATAGTCGTCATATGAACAGTGTGTGTGAGCTTCTCTTACCAATGATATGTCCCTGTGTCCAGAACCCAGCACCTTTAGGACCACCTTGACTTCCTGGAAGGATGAGTAGCCAACATCATCTTCCTCCTCCTCGCTCTTTACCCTCAAAGTGCCCGAGTAGATGTTGGTTCTTGTGCCCAGGCCGAGGTGCTCCTCCTAGGTAAACAGTGCAGAGAAAACACAGAATTGCATAAAAGAGTACAACCAGGATCCAAACTAACGCTACTGCAAGAAAAGGCTCTGTGCAGCCAGACTGAAAACATTTTTTTTTTAAATATGCAAAAAAAAAGAGAAGATAATAATGAAAAGATTTTTGCATCCAGAGGAACTTTGTGCAATATCTTTATTTTGAAAGTTCTACTAGTACATTTTAAGTGAATTACACTGTGTACTTCTGAGTATGTTATTTTGACTCACTCAGGTGAATCAGCATTATTGCCATGATCTAACCACGACAGTGACCAGTAAAAAAAAAAAAACATCTGACAACTGGTTTACAAATGAGTCAAGTATCTGTGTGATCCCTGTTTTACGCAAAGGCTGAAAAATGTGCCAGACAAATGATACATCTCCATCTTCCTCTACTAAGCCAATCTTGAGACTGCTGAGGGTGCATTTTTATTAAGTGACTTTTATGAGCACACCATCAGGGTATTCAAAGTGCAAAGTATTTGCTGTGATTGTCATTTGGAATTCACATTTGCACTATAACCCCAATTGTAAGTTTGCCAAAAAAGAAAATGTAGAAACAGTTTTTAAGTCTATAAAGTCACATATGCCTTTTCTCTCATTTAGTAGAACTGTAAAAGAGGAAACAAAAGTTGGAAATCTATTTCTGGATGCATGTTAAAGTATGTTGACAGGAGGGATATGAGTAAAAAAACAGTTATTTACATACTGTTATATTTTCTGATAGAGAACTAGCTTGTTAATGCAAAGGCAAAGACCCACGACTATGCAAAAACTTGCATGTGTTTGCATGCTGACCAAAACTGCAGTGTGTTTTTGAACCTGTTCTTTGTAGTTATCATGCGTATCAAACTTTATGACAGGTGTTTGCTTATTTTCTGTCAACACCGCTGACATGACATGCGGCATCGGAGGAAGATTATTAAAATGATTTACATCCATGTTTTCTTTGAGTGTTCCCCATCTGCAAAAATTCTTGAGTTGCATTATCAGACCTGCATCGTCACAACGAGGAAGGCAAATATTAAGATGAAGCTGTGTACCTGTTCGATCTCCTCCTTAAGAATGCGGTGGAAGCTGAGCTGGCTCTCCTGTACGGGCGTCTGAGGGACTGGTGCTCTCTCTTTAGTGACCACCAGTAGGTTGGACACCTCTGCAACACAAACAGAAACAAGCCGATGTTTTTGTATGAAATGTCTATTGTCGTTTTTTTTTATACTAATAATAATAATAATAATAGCTTTATTTATATAGCACCTTCAAAAACAAATGTTTACAAAGTGCTGTGACAGACAAATCAAATACAGGAACACGACAACAGAACAGAATCAACAGAGAGGGTAAAATTATAAATGTAAATAACAGGAATAAGATTCAACAGGCAGGTATGGAGAGGCAGTTCAATACAATGAAGGAAAACTAGTTTAAAATCAACATGGAGAGAACACAATTAAAATTGAGGGAGAGTGGGATGACATCACATCACAGGCTGTAAACACAGAATAAAGATAAAACGAAGAGATAAACAGGACATTGGTTAAATGAATAAAGCAACAGAGAACTGAAGAGTTAAACCATAAAAGGAGTAGGAATTTAAAAAGACTAAGAGCAGTAAAAGTAATACAGGAAGCGAAACATTTAAAGGCTAAAACATTTTTAAGTGCTGGACATTTTAAAAAGTTTGTTTGAGATTTGTCTCTGTCAAAATCAAGCAGCAGTGACCTGCTATTTTCTTGTGTTAGGTAACAGAGAAGTGTTTTGTTTTCAAGGTGATGTTATTGTTACACTGTCAAAGCTTGAGATGGTTGTCTGCATCTCTGCATTCACTCAACGATGAAATTTAACAACAACAGAAGCAACATTTCAATTTGCAGCGAAGGCAAACTTGGAAGAAATGTCCTCTGCAGATTGCAAGTGTGCTACAAACATAGAGAGGCGCACACAGCATATAGAAGGTAGTACGCTGGATATTGGACATGAAAGCAACACTGTGTTTACATGTGGTGAAAACGAGCTCTCAACAATTACGTCAATGTGGCAATGATGTGAAGAGCTCTTCAGGTTGGCTTACCATACTGATTCAGTTGATTTTTTTATTTTTTTTTGTGAATACAGCGCTGTGAGTGGGAGGATAAAGTGAAAACATGTGTGTGGGCGTCTGGTGTTGTGACAGAACTAGCGCGGTGTGGTTTAAGGGAGGAAAAAGGTATCTGCACTCCATCCGCAGCATCACCCTACATGTACTGCTAAACAGTATTAAAAGGCACTGTTCCACAACATGCAATCTGTGTTTCTTACACCCACACCTACCGGCAAATATAACTTCTATATAAGTGCACCCCCTTTGTCATAACTTGACCTAATCCAGGCCTAACCTCTTTCAGTTCTGTTATCATCCCCGGAGTTAAAGACAATGCATACACCAACAACAAAAAAAACGAAGTTCCTCTACGAAGTTAAAATCAATTGTTTTATATTCACAGGATGTGGGTATATAGGTATGTATTTGCAGAAGCAAGGATGTTGAATAATTCATTTCAGATATTCTAACAGAGACAACAGCACAGCTCTTCAGTCCTTAATCTTCCCTCTGAAGCAGACAAAGCCTGAAGACCTAACCCAGAACAGTTGTGCCTTGTGATAACAATCACATACAACCACAACCACCGCCACCAACAACAAAAAAAAACTGAAAAAAAAAAAATCCGCTCAACACATCCATGCACACTCAGCTCCACCTTTCCCTGAGTGAGGCATACATAAGAGTTGCTAGTTGGTCTCCGGAAACCCACATTTACAACTCTCTTCCTCTCCGACACCTTTTACAGACTCACACACACACACTGTTCATGCTAGCTTTCTCAATCTCCCCAGTTTTGTTATCCCTATGGTGTCCACACATCTCTCACAATGATGTCCCCTCACAGACTCCTGTCCTTTTATATTGTTTATATGTTTCTTTTGCCCTTTGTCATGATGCCTTTTGTGCCTTTTGTCAAGTGATTTTATGCCCTGTTGCTGAAATTTGCAATGTAAAAAAAAGTTTGCCTTTCTTTGCCAAACAAATCTTCTTTGACATTCTTTGGGATACTTTACCTGCGTCATTTCAAATAGCCTTAAATGTTATTTCCCCTATTTTTTAGGTATTTATTGGCCATTTTCACCTTAGATAGGACAGCTGAAGAGAGACAGGAAATGTTGGAGGCAGCGAGAGTGAGGGATGACATGCAGCACATGGCCGGGGGTCGGGTTCTAACCTATGGCCGCTGCTACGAGGATCACCATCTCTGTACAAAGGGTGTGCGTCAGACCCACTAGGCTACCGGTGCCCCTTAAATGTTATTAAAATTTGTTGCAACAAAAAAAAAAAAAAGACAAGATGGAAGCTGGTGTAAAATATACCATTTTCAAATGTTCTTTCATCTTCTCTCTTAGTTAGCGAGCAGTGCTTAAAGACTTGATTTCCTTGAAGTGAACAGCCTATTCAAGCCAAAATTGAAGTCGCTCAGTGCTTCTATTTATTACTTTATTTTTTTTAAGGGGGCAGATACCAAAGTAGACGACCATATCTCTTAATCTGTTGAGGGATTAGACTAACCTCTAGGTTGTGGAGGGCAGCACCGCAGCAGCTCGAACTGGAGGTTATCTGTGCGAAGGCTTTGGCCCTCCAGGTGCTCCAGGAGCTCTGCGAGAGTGGGCCTGAAAGTCTCAGTGCCGTACAGGCGGAAACCGTCCGAGGCCACTTCGATCTGGAAGTTCTTGTACTGACGCACAGAACGAGACTCTCTCAGGTCAATCTGGAAGAAAAAGAGAGTTTTTTTAGCCCGAATGTGACCAACGTGGAGGGACGTCAAGCTGAGAGAGCGATCAAATAAGCAAGAGAAGAGAAGTGAAGGGGGCAATTTTAGATGAGAAGGAAAATAAAGGGGCTGTATGATAGCCTAGCCGTTATATCGAACACCCCATGTAGTGGGTGTCCTTGGGTTCCAATCAACTTTAAAAAATGACTGAAAGCTAACTTTTTGGCTTTCCTAGAGATAATATTTCATCTGAGTCAGTTTTTCCCTACAAGCATCCTAAAAGAAGACGTGTTCTCTACCTCAGTGCAGACCACTGTGATGATGATGTACTGGTAGTCTGTGCAGCTCCAGCGCAGGATGTAGGTGCCCTCCTCGTTGCCATCCTGGCGCAGCTTGTGGATGGCATACTCCGTACTGGGGAGAAGAAAAACCGAATAAATAGGCAAAGCAGTGGGGTGTCAACAGGGACGTATGGGAGTATGTAAGGAGTATGTTTTGGTTTTCATACTGTGTGCCGTTCATTGTAGGAAACAGTGTCTCCCTTTGGTTTTTACACAAAAAGACAGATAAACACAACAATTGAGGAAGATAGACGTCTGAGTTCGGACCTGCACTGTCTCCTTAAATTGCAATATTGGAAAAGTTGGACAATATGTTGCAGTAAACCATCAATTAGGCTGACATATAAAAGCAGACTGCGTCAGAGACGGGTGGTTAATGATCTATATGTGCAATAAAACTGTCTGTACAAACCAGATGGGTCCATGGCAACCATTTTTGATATTGTCCACCACCGAAGCAGGAGCCACCTCCTTGCACAGGAAGTGGTGTGCATCCACGGTCAGCCTGAAGTAACCATCGACGAGGGCTGCAAAGGCCTGAGCCTCAGCCCGAGAAGCCATACGCAGCTCCTGATAATAGACAGTGAGAGAGAGAGAGAGAGAGAGAGAGAGAGAGAGAGAGAGAATTATCACTTAATGAGCAGTGATGTATTACAAAGATAGAAAACCATTTCCATAACAAAGCATCACTAGTCATCCCCATTAGTCACGGCTAAAAGCATGTAGAGAGAGTAAGGTTTGCTTCAAGATCAGGTTTATATTACACTACTTTAAGCTTTGGTCACGTTTACAGAATGAAAACAAGGACAGTGGAACAACAAGCAGATTATGACTGTACTAAAGAATTATGTGTTTGTGTTTGCTTTGACCTGCAGGTGTTACATCTTTGCGGGAACAAAGACAAAGGCATTTTGTACGTTAAACCCTTTTTAAACTTAATCCTTTAAGCCCTAAACTATTTGTAAACAAAACTCAGGTGTTAATACATTTAGGCTTCAAACATGTTTTAGGTACTTACAACGAGAGAGCTGTACAAACTAATTCATAATAATGGTTTATTAATAATAATAAAGATCACATATCATATTCCCTTTTAACCAGTTGAACCACTTTCTATTTCAGCTAAACTCAGAACAGGCTGGTTCTGTGTCAGACTCAGAGGGAAGAACAAACACCTAGGTTCTCATCATTGTCGGGTCTGTAGGCAGGGTCGGGCCTCATGAGTGTTAGAAAACCATGGCACAGTGCACAATATGTGACCTTTAAAGTAAATATAATTAGTTCCTAGATTCTGTCTTGGTGTGATCCTGACCTACTATGAAGTCACAAACAAGGGTCGTAAATTAAATTACAGCTTGAGCAGCTGAATGTCAATCTTTTGACTGTCACATTTGTTCGCCCGTCTCACCATCCTCTTGTTGTCCTGTCTGAAGATGGTGACTGTGACGTCTTTGATGACGGTGTGTGTGATCTCGTGGAAGTCGCAGAACACCTCCCAGCATTCACTTTCTTTTGCCTCTTTCTTCTGCTTGACGACGCGGCTCAAGGTTATCTGCAAATGTAAGATGGGGAACGTAGATGTTAAATCAATTTAACAGTAACAGTTGATAAAACACAACAAAAGGAGAATTGGCACTTTTGCACGTCATTTCTAAAAACACATTCCTAATAATCAGTAGGAACTTTTTTTTTTTTTTTTTAAATATTTTGTGTGTGTTATTAAGTTCTTAACTTTGGGTCAATTTTCATTAGAAACATGTAATTTAACTGTGATGATTTCAGCCTGGCTGTTGAAGCAGATATGACAAAAGAGGGATGGTATCTAGTCTAGCGGACATAATGGCATCTTGTAACTAGTTTAACTTATCCAGGAAGAGAGGGAGAGAAGCCAGGATAAGAGCTTAGCTCACCAAGCTTGGACCTAGGGTGCTCTACTTCCCAGCCTACTCCTCATTACTGTTGACTGTGTGGCTGCAGGACAGAATGGCTATAATTGGACTCATGCTGACTCGGTATTGGGAATACAGAGACTATTGTGTCATCGGCTCACAAAGACCAGACCCGACTCAAAACACAACATCCTGGATTGAACTCAACAGCGAGGGAAAGCAGGCTCTGAATGTAACACTGATGATGCTCTGTGCTTAAATATGGTCAATGTTGGAACTACTTTTCATTTCTTTGCCCTCTGTAGAAAAGCTTTGTAGATAGCAGCAAACTTCCAGGCAGCTGTTTGTTGCTGCTAGTACTGTATGTCTACAAACAGTAAAAACTAGAAGTGATCATCCGCTCAGCTGAGTGAGCACACACTCACTGTAGGAGTCTTCTTCTTCCAGGAAATGCCGGTGGTACCAGTAACCCGGACCACTGTGTCATAGCTCGCCTCCAGGTTCTGACTTGGGCTCTGCTCTTGACTCTGGTTGTAGTAACCTAGAAACAGCAAACCAAAAAAAAATAGATGACAACACAGTGGCTACAAATAAGGTAAACATATGATAATGCTCCCAAAAAGATGTGTGTTATGTTATTTGAATGGCTTCCCAATATTGTTTCTATACATAATGACAAGACTCATTTAAAGCATTTACAGCATCATCTTGAGGGAAATCACCTTTTACCTTTTGGGCATTTTAGAAACCTGATTTTAACTGTTTTACATAAGTGTGTTTATTTATTGCAGTTTTGGACTATCTTGGATTATCTTAGTACATTTTAGACTGATTTTAGCAGTCTTGTATTATCTGTCCCCTGTTTTTCTTTTTGATTTAATGTCTGTTTTCTAATTATTTCTGTAATGACTCGATGTCATTGTAAATGAGGGTTTGCCCCTCAATGATCTTTCGAGTATAAATAAAAGTTGAATGAATGAAAGTCTAAAAATACAATACAAAGCAAAACAAAAAGGACCAATCGAAAGTCTGTGTTACTCTGGTATCAGTGAGTTACTGTGATATGTAACATCTTTTGTCTTTTACTTTTGGTTTTCACCATCTGCGCACCAGGATTCAGGTGGTTTTAGATGTAAACAAAGTTCAAACTGTGGGTATAAGACACACCAACTTCACTGCCTGTACACATAACAAACTCTTTTCTGATTTAAATGTTGTAGTTGGACTGTAAGAAAAAACAAAGTTTCTGTTTGGTGACATAAGATAGTGTAGCAACTATATTTTTTGTCATCATTCCGACTCACTGTAATTATATTCATGATTCATTTCAGCGATCTTTGTGTTCATAAGAGATCATCTCTGCAGACAGCAGAGTCAAACTGTTTTGGTGGCCGGCTAAGAAACCAAATTAAAAGTTTTTTAATCATCTATAAATTCATGTTTTTCTCGTTAAACTGCATTCAAAATTTAACCCCACGCAGAGCTTGCAGGTTTAATATTTCCCCCCTGATCTCACCATAGTAACCTCCATTGCTCAGCTCACCATCCTGCGTCACACTGAGCGTGACCGGCTCGATCAGCTCGCTGCCCAGGCCGCTGGTCAGACCCTCCAGTGTAGCCAGGTACTTGATCTTCAGGTCGTACGGCGTGATGTTGCTGTCCTTGATGGTGCGACGGTTGAACTCGCTGAGAAACTTCTTAAAGACGTTGTTGATGCGGATACGCGTCAGGACATTGCGCTGCTTGATGTTGCGATTGAGGGACTCTGGGATGAAACGTTTGTAGCTGGTGAACGGAGAAGACAAGAAGGAATTATAAAAACACATTTTTTAGTATTTACTTTCTACACTCATTGTAAATCCTTTTTAGACAAGAAAACTTCCCAGGAATAAAGTTTTACTTGAGATACTTCCTGTGGTATGTACAGCGGTTTTTGTATCTTCTGACTCAGCGCATATGTGATTTTTCAAATTTAAATATAATAGAAATCAAGTACATCCTCTGAAAATAACTCTGTGAGTCATGACTGTCTACAATGGGTGTAACACCCGAGTCCCACTGTCTGTGATGTTTTCAGAGTTTTCAGAGTCCTATCTTCAGTTTGTTTACATCGCCAGGACGGCCGGCTGACTCCTCCCCTCGTGTATAAAAGTTGTTTAATTGAGGGACTAGAGAAAAGAAGAATAACATACTGTACTCACTGCTTAACTGTGTTTCTAGATCACGCTCATTTCAGGCAAATTTACATGCAGTGTGAAGATACCAGCATAATAAAGATCGCTAGCATTAGCATGCTAACACACAATGCAGCGCGAGTTGTTTTGGTTTCATGCTGGTGCTCAAGGGCGACATCTGCTGGATCAAAAAAACGAACATAAAGCCTTTAAAGGTTTGAATGTGGGAAGGATTATTAAATGATAGACTCATGGGCTGAGAAGTAGATAAAAATGGGGAAAAAAGAATGAAAAGATTTTCTATAAACACGTTCATTCTATGTATACTTAGAAAAAGAGATAAGAACCTGATGATGTATAAAATTTTTCCACAGAGGACACAAACCAAATGTTCCTCACTGAAGCTTAAAGATCCACATAAACAGTCTGATGAAGCCACACCATACATACCTCTCTATAAAATCTACTTTTAATCCACATGCAATAATGTGTGTAGGTTTGTGTGTGTTTTACCTGATTTCATGGGAAGCAGTGGACAGGGGCATATCCAAGCGCTTGGCATAGTGTGTGATGGCGAGCACAGCCATGCCCAAACACTCATTTTCAATCTCATGTTGCTCTGCTTCTGACTGGGCGATCCTAAGCGGAACAACACCTTTCTGAAAGTCATGCTGGCCCTGCACAATGAACATATTTCTATTAGAAATCTATTAAGAAAAGAGGCATACATAAAACGTGAAAATAGACACCAAAGAAAGTACTGTGATCAGATAAGACCGTACAATTTTGTCAAGATAGGGTTACAATATTTACAGGAAATACAGATGGAATTCTTAAAATGTAAAACTGATGCAATGAAGTTGTTACTTGAAGTTTAGAAACATCAACTGACAACCGAAGCTCTGAATTACACCCACGGTTACGCTATCTAGTGTTGAACTTAAAGCTGCACTTCCTGCTATTGTTACATTTCCTTCCAGCAGCTGTTGATGTTTTGAAACTCGACAGTGAGCTGTGCTGATGAGTGAGCTTTTTCATTTAGAATTTGTTTTTCAAAATGATTTCTAAGAAACAAATCATCATGAACATACATGGAAATGTTTTTTTGTCTTGAGTCAGATCTTTAGATGATCTTACCGGATATGTTGGGGGTCAGTGTATCTTTTGGTCATTTGATTTTCCTTTTCAGAAACGGGTATTAAAACAAAAATAAAACGAGTGGATTTGTGATTTTTGTTTTAAAAATAATAAATAATAAACAATAAAATTGAAATACAAGGCGTTTTTCTTTTTCATGGTCCAAAAGGGATGAGTGAAATTGAAAAAATGATCTGATTTTCATTTTCTATTTCATACAACAAAAAAATAAAATCACTAGAAAACAGATACGAAAACAAAGGCCTGTTTTTTTGTATTCTAAGATGTATGAAAAATGTGAGATCACATATGTGTAAAATGATTTTGATACCACCACCTCTACTGGGTGAAGTTATTGAATATCTTTGTAGCATCTTTTTCGGTGTTGTAATTTGCAGACGGTCCCTGCGCATCCGAGCACCAGCCGGCTACACGCAGAGGCCAATGCAAGTTCCCCAGCGCGGGGGAGGACGGCTCATTTTGAGGAAAAATACGATTGTAGCTCGCAGTCCACCTTGCTGTGATTGCAGAGAGGTGTTGGTTTTGTAAAAGCAATGTTCAGCTGATGAGTTATTGATCCGGGAAAGCCGAATCTGTGAATATCTTTCTAACTTTACAGAAGAGAGACTCGCTCTTTTATTGTTTCGGAAAACGACGTACTGCTCCATGTCCATGTGTCACAGTAGATTACACCGCCATACCGCACTAGCCTACTGTTTCTTCTACACAGCACCGTCCTCATTGTTTTGTGAATGACAAGATCCGGTCTCAGAATATGAAAAAACAGGCTTTTTTTTTTGTTTCTGTTTTCTAGTGATTTGATTTTTTGGTATATGAATTATTTTTTATTTTAAATACCTGTTTCTGAAAGGAAAATCGAATGACCAAAAGATACACTGACCGTTGTGCAACTATGAGAGGCATGTCTCAAATCCTCACAACAATAAACAGGAATTGTATTTTTTTATTTTCTTTCTACCTGGGCAAACAGGTAGTCCAGAGAGGCTTCGTCCAGTAGAGGGGTTCCTTCTGGTGTTTTCTGTGGGCTCAGTCCTCCTTTGAGTTTGCTGATGCAGTGTCTCCACACCGGGGACTCTCCTTCAGTGGTGCCATGCCAGTTTCTGAAATAAAACCTGACAACAGACAGAGAGCAGCAGACGTGTTAAAACAGAATGGATGCAGGGTTACAGCTTTGTATAACAGTCACAATAAACAGTGCTTGTGCCCAGTGAACTCAAGAAACCCATCTTTTTTCTTGAATGGTCCCTTTTACATGTCACATGTCCAGAGTCTCGCTCCTAGGTTATAAAATGACTGCTTGAAGCAAGGAGAAGTCTACATCGCTTCTATAATAAAAAAGATAAGCTTTAAGGGGTGGCCTGTCATCAACACGACGACAAATAAAAGGACCTGGACTTTGGATATTGTGTGTTGAAATGCAAAAAGAAACCAAAGGAAGAGAAGATCTAACCAGGAAATCATGAAGTTTACAACATCCGTCTCAATCATACATGAGTTCTGCTAGTGCCAATGTTCTCTTTTACTGCCATCTTTTACGCTTGGCAGTGTTAGGCAACACCTATGTTTTTGACTTTTAGGTATTGACACATTTTCCTGTTTTCTCTGAAGTGAAGCCATTTTTCAGCTAGTCTGTGTTTCAGAGGAAATACATCATCTCTTCTGTCCACAGACAGCTGTCTCGAACCTCTATAGATTAGATCACACTGAAACTAGTCATCCATATCCGCAGAACATTTCAAAGTTATTTAGTAAATGGCAATGGATAAAGATCCTTCATATAGTGCCACTTCCCCTAACCTTTGACCCTGAGACAGACCACCAACATTGAGTCCTTATATGATGGACACAAGGCACTTAAACGATGTATCCAGCACAGTTATTGGCGTGCTGACAAAAGTCTTCAGCTAAAAAAAACAAAAAACAGCTGTTTTACATAAAGGCCAACAGGGCCACTAGCACGACAGCTGACTCTCATCCATGTTTTTTGTTTTGTAACATTTTTATATGACCTTATGTAAATCACTCAATAAAAGCGTGTGTTCATGTTTAACATTTGTTTATGTTAAATACTTGACCACAATACGCTGTTTGTTTATCAGACTGTGCTGCAGTACTCAGCAGGCTGCAGCAAACAAAACAAAAATGCACACACACACACACACACACACACACACACACACACACACCACAGTCAGGCTCTACATGCACTCGCTTTTGTTTCACTTGTTTCTCTTAAAGCGTTGTGAAAGAGGAAGTGCAATCGACACCGCAGAAGCTCTCTACCTCTTTGATTAAAATGCCACATAACTTCTAGAATAGATTCTCTGTAGAGGGACGGGTGTGAATATGGTGATTTTTCCTCATAAAAACTATCTTTTCCAGGCTTGTCATAGCTCAAATAAAAGCCTCTATTTCTTTAAAGCATGGATACAATGAACACTTCAGTCTGATTCTTTAGTCAAGCATTGACTTCACATGGGCTTCACTCTTCCCTTCGCTGTAGATCTGCAATGACTCACTGCCAAGGTCTGAGTTTGAATACAGCCAGAAGTTACAGGTCTTTCTCTGGCTAACTGCAAACCTTCATCTTTGGCTGAATTCCAAACAATGTTTGAGATATATTTAGCTGTTTTTTGTTCCCTTTACGCCAAATTGAGAATCAAGATCTTAAAAACCTCTTGAAAAGTCAGAGAAGGAATGTGTCCCAGCTGGCCAAGCTACCCAAAACCATGTGCCATTTTCATGATCTCACATGAAGAGAGCCACAGTACTGCTGCTTCACAACAGACGTGCTGCACATTATCCAGCAGATTGTTTTCTCTTCATTCCTTCGGTTTTATGGTATTGTGTAATTAAGCACAATGCATTTCTTCATACTCCAGTTTCCTGCCTAAAACATTCCTGACAAGACTGTACAAGACAAGACTGACAAGTATGTATCTGTGATGTCTTCCAGTAATGTTTATATTAAAGTAGTAGTAGTAATAATGATACAAATCTTTATTGTAGCACATTTACTACACACAACCTTTTCACCTTTGACAATTTTATGAATTTTAGTAATCTTAAACTGTTTTTTAAATGTGTAAATAATCATGTGTCACCACTGTTATCTGAATTAGCCATTAGGCGTCAGAGCTCTCGTAGGGCAGTCACACGAGCCTCCATCAGTGATGATTGTCTTGTCCCAATGTACAAGACATCTTTTGGTCAGTCTGCTTTCTCTGCAAAGGGGGGCAAAACTTTGGAACTCTCTGCCCACTGGCATAAAACTAGAGAGCAACAGTAATGCTTTTAACAGAGGACTCAAACAATGGCTAAAATCAAAACAACAGTGCTCACATGAATAGCTTCTGACTGGTTTATTGTTTGATCATGCTGCCTTTGCTCTACAGTTTATGTCTATTTATTTATTCTCTCCTTATTGTTTTATCTGTTTTATCACTTTTCTCCCTATCTTAATTGTTTTCCTTTCTAAAGCCTCCTGTGGACCGGTGTTGAGAACTAGCACGCTTGCTAAAACACTTAAACAATGAATCTGGTTCGTCCAATGTATCTGTGATGTCCATGCCAAATAAAGTCTATTATTATTATCACTGACAGGTTACAAAAGTGCAGTTATGAATGTGACTCACTTCACAACCCAAATGGGGAAAGTGTGTTGCTTTTGGATTAGCCAGCTTCTAGTCGTATGTTTAACATCAACATTGCTAATATGTCTTCAAGCGTTGCAATAGAGCTCCCTTCACTTCACTTCACTTCCCTAAGGGCCAAACTTCTGAAGAAAGTAGAATAGTGTTCTTCTTGCCAGCATGTAGCTCAGAGTCATTCCTCCGAATGCCAGGTAGTGAAGCACTTTAATCCAAGTTATGCAACAGATGTTGGTGATATCTAGGTGTTTTTTCAGTGCTTCTTGGATACACATTCTTATTGGTTTTTTATCCAGGTGATAGCATGTAGTTGGGCAAAGAACTTCACAAACTGGTTTGTGGCTGAAATGTGAGACAATGGCACTGCGATGTTTAAAATCACCTCTTTATCACCCAGACTGAATTCCAAACGGTCATCTATATTTTCCCATTTAGTGTTCCAACAAAAGAAGGCCTGAAGCATCCTTATGTAAGATGCCAGTGCATCCTATCTGCTATGTATGGGTAGGCAGTCATGGGATTCTTCTTTTCTTTTTTTTTTTTCATGATCCAAACAGCTTTTTTGTGCCTGAACTGTGGCAGCGACAACATCAACTTCAGATGGAGTCTGCAGGCTTGTTATCTGAGGCAAACAGTTCGTTTGGTGTTCGTTTCGTTTACAAATGTAACAACTAAAAAGTAATCACCTAGATCCTCTACATCACCCTCAAAGGGGGGTAACCTAGGGTTACGTGGGAGTACTGCCAGGGGTACGTGACAATTGTCTTTAAATAAATATAATGATTTCTAGGAAAATCCATACACTGATTAAAGACAAATTAATTAACAGCATATGTTCTCTATTCAACATAAAAAAGGGAACTTATTTCCAACATGAGGATATTGATTTATAATATAGCTTGCATTATTATACTTTATTCACGTACTTTTCCCAAATTATTTCCTGAAAAATGTTCTTGGCAGGACAAGGGGTTACTTGGCTGAAAGAAATTCTGAAAGGGGGTACACAGGCCAAAAAAAGGTTGAGAACCCCTGCTCTACATCTAGATCCTTTACTGAGAAATGTCTGGACAAGGTTTCCTTTCCATAAGATGGGCCATCGATTTGACGATCTTGAAGACTACAGTGGTTCAATAAGTAATACATATTTAAATGTTTTTAACCAAAGAAAAATAAAAAGCATAGTCTGTAGTGATGTCGTTCTTACCTCATGCGATAGTGCAACTTGAGACTGGTATCATCTGTGATCTTGAACTCGTAGTTGGGGGGATACCATATGTCATCGGTCTCATTGTACATGGCGAAGAGGTTATGGCACAGGGGAGAGATTGCTGAGAAGGGAAAAAAGAAAAATATATTAATATTCAACCTTATTGTCTGTTTGATTGTAACAGATAAGTGTTGATCTTATAATCTCCAGTTAATGTAACACATTCAAAAATAACTTCCCAATAGAACACCCTTAATGTCCGGCGTTAAGTAGGTAAAATATTGAGTAGTAGAGCAGGGGATTTCTGAATTTGCAGACTAGCCAACCTCTCCATCACTCACAGCATTGTTTGGCAGCCTCCACACAGAGCTCCTCAGCGGTGTAGCAGCCTTTGAAGAACTCCAGCTGGTGCACCTCAGGTGAATAAAAGTGAATCTCCAGGCCCCAAGTGGAAGTAGGAGCAGAGGAGAACTGGGCTTTCCTACTGGACCTCCTCATCTTCCCACACAGTTGCCTGCCTAACTCCATTACCCACAGGGTTGGCATTCAGACACTGGGAGAGGAAGAAAAACACAGACGAAGTTGTCAGATTAATATATATTCATACGTACACACATTCAACTTTTGCGTATAATGCAATTCATGATAAAAGACACAGAGGGAAGATTCATACATGGAAATTGAGCAAAATACCCACAACTTACTGTGTCTTGATTTAGTTTTAATTTCACTTTGTTATATGTAATTTTTGAAGTTTGTTTACTGTTTCAAAGCAACAAAAAAATAATAAAATAAAGCTAACAAATATCAGACACTGCTCTCACATACTTTTAGGGTCAGTCACATAATTAAAAAAAACGTCCTATACCTTAGCAACAATTGCTATCCAGCAACATTAAAGATAGAAATCTACAAATCATTGCATATTGTGTTTTGGAAATCAAGCAAGAGCTTTGATATGTTAAACTCAATAAGCATACTTATATCAGCCTGTCCCACCCTTGTTTTATTGCATAGTTATCTATTTCTGAGGAAATGGGCGACCACTGTGAGTCAGTCAAGTGTGTTTAAGTGTGTGTGTGTGTGTGTGTGTGTGTGTGTGTGTGTGTGTGTGTGTGTGTGTGTGTTTATTATTATATATTTATTACCGTCACCTCTCTTTTTATGATGGTCACATTATTACATTTATATAATTGTATTTTCTTTCCATTAATGTTTACATGCATATAAAAAATGTTTCTCTAACTAATTTTTCATTTATTTATATGTTTGTTTGTTTTCTCGCTACTCCCCCACTAAGTTCCGCTGCCACGAACACATTCACACCTTTCTAACACACTACCTGAACATAAAAATCATTGCTTGATTGTCATGTCTATATATTCTTATTTCATTTTGTTCACCAATAAAAAAAAAAAAAGGTGTGTGTGTGTGGCAAAAGTTATGCTTGTGCAATGAGCTCAGCAAATGGCAGCAGAAACCCTGAGCTCAATGTTCAATCACCTGATGACTCATTAATACTGCGGAGCGGCCTGACACAGACAACCCCACAGACACTGTGTTGTCTCACTAAAAGCGATGGAATGATGTCAAGCCTCTCAACACAGCTGACGACATATCACTGCTGCGTGGGAGTTTGGGCCTCAGCAGAAGCAGCATGTTAGCGGTAGCAGCAGTGAGACCTTCATCTGCGTTTACTCTGTGGAGTGACAGAACTGCTTTGCACACATTGGTGTGTTGACAGTGAGTGTAGCTAAATACGCACTTAAGTTGATAAGTGTATTTGATAAATGTAAAGCCCTAAAAGAGCACTTCAAGTCACAGGGGTTGAGTAAGAATGATACATGATCTGTGTGGAGAGTTGTATTGATTTAAATGCATGGTCCAGGCCGGGTGTTGACCTTCAGTTGCGACATCCCCAGTTTCTCTTCCCGCCTGAGCGAGGACTTGATTTGCTGCAGTTTGTTCCCCATCTCTCTCCTCTTATTTCCTCTCATCTTTCTACTTTCCAGAACAATGCTTTCGGAATCATGAAGCCTGCAAACACACGCGGCATACCACACAGTTAACCCCTCCTTACCTTACTTTCAGAAAATGCTCAGTATAGCCGTTTTCACATATGCACTCCGGATAATATCTAGATAATTACAGGAGGACTTCTCTGGAGATTCTCCCGACCTAGTCGTTCACATATGCTCCTCACAGCGGGGGGCTATCCCTGTGAGAGGGGAGGGGGGGCGGGGGAAGGGGGATTTCCCGACGTAAGACGTGACTTAAATAAACAACGCGGAAGTAGCGGCCGTAGCAACAGAGTCCGCTACACGAGTCCGGGTGAAGTCAGTGCGAAAAATGTGGCTGTTTGCGTTCACACATAGCCTAAAGCCCCTCCGGGTAGCCAAATCTCCGGAGTTTTTCAGGAGATTTCCGTATGTGTGAAAAGGGATTATGTTAGGGCAAAAACTAGCAACTTTTAATAATTAATCTGTGTTGTGGATTTTTCTGTTGGTAATGAAAGATCTCAAGTCAAAGTCTTTTGTCTTTGTGTATTTTATTGCATATAGTAAAGAGTTCTTTTGCAAAAGGGGTAATCAGATGCAACAGTAACATCAGTCACAAGTGCATCAAAGATTCCCGGGGCAGTCCCGGTTGCAGAGCATATTTATACTTTCACAGGGTGTAGGTATATTACATATACAGGAGTGATACATCGTCATTGGTTTCAGCTTGCCCTAGTGACTACGCCTTCTGCTAGTTTGCCTGGTGATTTATCTAACATCAACAGAAACTCCTTTGTCAGGAGGGCACACTGATTTAGGATCATGCTGTACCCAGATATTGAGGAGCGTACCTGTTGGAGATATTCTAATTGCTAAATGACACACGATCATCCTAATCTTTTAAGGTCAAACGAAGGCAACAGACAGATAGTATTTTTCCACTACATCTGCCGATTAACTACAATAAATATTTAATTGTTTATTTTCTAAAATGTACAAAACTTTACAAAGAAAGCTCTAACATTCCTTGAATGATGTCTTCAAATATATATATTTTTTGGTCCATGAAACAGTCCAAAATACAAATACTCATCATTTACAGTCATAAATGGTGAAGAGAAGGAAAAAAATATCCCTGCATTTCACGCAATTAATTGGTTTATTTCGATTAACTCATCCAGACTTTCTGTCTCCTCTTGTGTGTTAAGATCATTACAACTGCTGATTCCACGTTTGAAGTTCAATGAACCCCTCATGTTTCACACTCAGTTTAACGCAATACAAATATAAATACTGCAGACCACTAAAGCTAAAAAAAGAAACTATCCGCTTTATCCTCTTTTTTTTAATAATCTGATATGGAAAGAGCCAATTCAACATGATTTTATGTTAAGCAGAGGCGACACCCTGTTGAATGTTCTCTCTTTAGTCATCACTTCTTGCTTTAAGCTGAATTTCTTGAGAAGAGATTTTCAGTGAGTCATCCCTCTGCCTCTTACAGCATGTTAGTTAATCAGTCAGCGTTTCAATTTTCCCTTCTTCTTCCTCTTTCCAAATTCAACTGAAGCACCACAATGCTTCTTGTAGATGTAATTTCTTTAACCTCAGTTCAAAGTTATACGTTTGGTGTTGTTTATTAGACAATGTATCTTTAAAATGTGAATAAAAGGTCATGGTAAAACTACTTGGAAAGAAATGTGTTTGAGACAAGAAGCAGTGACCGGACATCAGTTTTGCCATCCTTTGTCTGCTTCAGATTTGCTTCATTTATTTTTGTGGACAGTTTTCCCTCTACCCCTTGGTGACGTCACTCTACTTTGTCTTGTTAAGGAAGTACATTTAGTAAAATGAAAGGGAATTTCTAGTTTTTTGTGTTTTACAAGGACTGGAACAGCTGATAATGAACCAGGTGTAAGGATGGGTTCAGAAAACTGGTCCTTTTTGGCACCAGTATGTGATTGGCCAGTACTGACAGTAACGTTAAGCTTAAGGACAAACGAGTACTCTCATCAGTATTAACATTAACAACCCCTCTTATTTAATGCAGGACTTTCCATGAGCAATCAGACGACTGGTCTCTTTATTACAACCTGCTTCTTTTCTGTTGTCGAGTCAATTAAATAGTTTTGATTAAAATGCTGTGACATGCCTTTACATTTTAGAGACAGGCAGCTCCGTTTCAAATCCATGTCAGTTTAAGGATGTCTGTGTGTGTGTGTGTGTGTGTGTGTGTGTGTGTGTGTGTGTGTGTGTGTGTGTGTCGACCCCACCCCTCAGTGTGTCTGTGTGCAGAGGCTCAGCTGAGGGGACACTTATCGTTTGACTTTAGTTGTTGTTTTTATGGTTTTATTCCAATTTCGCACTTTGAGATTCCCTTCAAATGTAAAGTGCGTATGTCATAAAATATGTGTAATCATATTATCATTGTATGTATTATTGTTATTATAGTAACCACGATCAACTTCAGAAATCACCAGAAATTCGGGCGGAACAATGTGACGCATGCACGCTAAAGTTTTCTTTTCACGCTCAGGCAATGTAGGTGCCTGATGATTAAGCGTGAAGTTGAGACATGAGATGATCAGATTATTTTTTTTAAACCAGACTGTAAACATGTTCATTTCTGTGGAAAAAAAGCTTTTTTGAATGTGTGTGTATGTGACTTCCAGGGCTTCTGCAGCCAGCCTCTAGTGGACACTCGAGGAACTGCAGGATTTTGCATTTTGGTATCAGATGCTGTTTCAAGGTTGTTGCTTGGTCCACATGCATGTGTCTGGATATCCTACTCTTAAGTTAATATTCAGCACCTGATGTGTTTTGTCTCAGTAAAATAATGATCTTACTTTAACACATCAGCGTGAAAGTTGGGATAGTTACTGGGTGATAGAAAAGCTCCAACGTACCACTAGATGCATCTCAGAGCTCATTATAAACTATGACATAGGCTTTTAATAGCCTTATTAACTGGTAAGAACAAAGTACAATGATAAGCGTTCATATGCTACCATCAGAGATCCCATGTTACTTAAACTGTCTGGAGAGTGCATTGAAAATGGCATACTGTTTTTCCAAAGTTTTTCAACTTAGAATAAAGGGATTTTAAAAAAGAAATATTTCCTTGAAGCAGAAATATAAAACTAATCCTCTTATTAATCTCTAGTTGTACATTTTATCTTTATCTTTCATGTCATTTGTTTAGTTTTTGCACCAAATAATAAAATCGGTATGGATACCGCTATTGATAAAATCCTATTGATACCCATCCCTTACCAGGTGTTAACAAACAACTTGGACAGTTGTGAAGGGGGAAATGAAGTCTCAATTAAAATAAATAATTGGCTAAATTTTTCTGTTGAATGAAATAAAATACTGAAATAGGGGGGGCTGTGGTCTAGTGGTTAGTTTGCGTGCCCCGTGTTCAAAGTTTGTTTCCCTCGAAGCTGACGGCCCGGGTTCGAATCCAACCTAACACCTTTCCCCGGAAGAGTTAATAATGTCATCTTTTTAGAAGTTTAAGTGTCATTTTGTTAAATCATGCATGTTGTCATTAAGACCCTATAATAGAACTCATAAATCTATAATGTTTATCGAGGTTGTTTGTTTGTTTGATGGACTGGACCGCTTTCTTATGTATCAAGTGTCTGTGCTATTAAACATGCATTTAAATGAATACGGTGGACGATTAAGAATTTATACACTATGGGTTGGGCGGCTCAAAACCACAAGAACTGAATTTCACCTTGCAGTTGCTTGACTCTAACGGCCAGTTTTGTTTACCACTGACCTCAACCGTCGCCAAAACAGAGGCATAAAAACACAAAGTAAACCCACACGTATGAGCTCTTTTGCATCCTTTGCATCAATTTGGATTATGTTTGTCTTTCTACGTCTGAGGACGGTAGGCAATCTAATAAAAACTGACCACCAGCAGCATGAGGACAAAATACAAGCAGCTGAAGAACAAAAAAATGAAGTTGAAGTAGAGCAAACCTCTTTATCTCCGCCACATCATTTTCCTACAAATACAGAAGTTTCAAAATCTACTTTTCACAGTAAAATACCTTCAGTGAAGACATTTGTGTATGACATGGTGTTTGCTTGTTTTCCCATGAAGTGAAGAGCAACAGACAATGACCATTTGGTTACAAAACCCGGTAACAAATAATGGTTATGATATGTTTACAGAACAAGGTTACAGACGGGCTGTGAGACGGGACAAAAAGAACTAACAGCTCTATTGTCCAGGAAGATGAACATGTCCAGCAGACAGAACGTTGCTCATATACAAAATAATCACATATCACAAATGTGCTGAACCTTCAGCTGATTTCTGTAAGTGACTGTATCCATGACAAACTCAAACAGTCCTGTTAATCATTACATTCTCTTCAATAATGTTTTCTTTTCATCGTGATGGTTGATGATTCAGAAACGGACAATTTACCTTTATCATCAAAAAACTCTTGCTTCCTTATTCCTCAATCTTTTTAAAAAAAGGCACTTTGGCCATACGTCACAAAGCTGAGAACATGTTCATAACAATCACTTTTAACCAAAAACAGTGCTTAAAGGTTAACCTTTCAAATGAAAATGATGTACAAGACCACAGAAGAACTGAGATACTTGCATGTTTTGATCATTGAGTCATTAAATCCGTCGTTTCTCATCCAAGATGACTCAACACTTTTTAAATGACATTTAAATCTTAATCAAAAGAAGACAATGCTTACCCTTTAAAAAAAGCTGCTATTCCTAAAGAACCAAATATTGGCACCAACACAAAGTGCTGTAGCCAATCAGGGCTGACAAATGTAAAAGTGTATCGTGTTCATGTTATGAAACGTTTTTTAAGCCTTCGTATCTGCTCTGCTGTTAAAGTAGAAATGTTGTTCATCCAGTGAATAAAAGTGCAGTTTTACTTCTGATTGAATAGATAATAAACTGGCACATAGCTGCATCTAGAGACAGAGGTAAGGCTTTTATCTTTGTTTACTTCCAGACACCAGGGGAGTATGTGGACACGATCAAGGTACTTTATCTCCATCTGGTACTTTTTGTATTTTTTCATTGAGGTTTTTTGAGCAGCACAGACTGTTCCCAACAAAGCACAAGTATGTTTTAATACTCAACTATTATTTATTTTAAATACTTTTTTGTATGTGTCAATCTTCTCCTTAAATGTATGTTTTACCCACCATGTTTGATCAGTTACTGTTTACCTGACATGTCTGAGCATTCATAAATCATTTAGTATCCCTTTCCATCAAAGGAGTATCTCTGGATCATGTTTTTTGAAGATTCAGCAGCCATGTATATTTTACAGTAAGCCTTGTTTAGTGGTTATGGGTATGTCTGCCAGTCGGTCAAACATAGGTCACATTCACTCAAAAGCTGGAACTATTTTATAGGATTAAATTCATCAGATTCCACTGTTATGATGAAATGAAACTAAAGAAAGAACGACTAAAGGGATTTTTCTTTCAGGGAATCAAACTGTCTTGATCTTCCTTTTCCTTTTTATTTTTCAGGTTAGTTTATTTTAAAACTATGAACTACAAAAGAAGTAATTAAACATTAAATATTACCTTAGCAACATTTCATACTAACCAATGAGAGAATGTTTATGTTGTGGGTAGTCTTCTTAATCCACAGTTGAATATGCAACTGAATCTTAGCGAGTTAGAATATGGGAAAGAAAAAATACACCGTTTAATCAGGATAAGCAGGATAGTTGTTCAAAAACTATTCTTTTGTTTGACTTGATCAAACATGCTGTGGTATGTCTTACTTTCCAGAAGCCATTCAAACCAACATGCTCGGATTGAAAACAAGTGGGTGGATTATAAACTGTCACAGAAATAACGTCACATTGACTTTAAATGAACTTTAATAAAGGTCAAACAAATCATAATCTGGTGCTTTTGATCACAGATATGATGGCTTTGATCCCAATAGTGTTGATCTCAAAAGCCAGAATTTATAGTGCATTATTGAAATTGAAAAGTAATTTAGATTAAGAACATTTCAAACTTAACATCAATGTTTTTTTTTTTTAATTGGTCGATGCAGATGTAGAAAAGTATTAAATCTTTGCCTTTTGACATCCAAGAAGTCAGAAAAAAATGTACTTTATAAATAGTGATTTAAATACAAAAATAGTGTACGGAAATTAAATCATTCTGAAACAAGCATTTAAAATGACAGAAACAACTGAAAACAACTGAAAAAAAAAGTAAACGGTGTGCTTGCAATGTGTAGACCAGTTACCTGAACACCTGTCTAATCAAACAGGTACATTTTTAACTCATTTTCAACTCTATTGAAGAGTCAATAGACTATAAGAATGTGGGCAGATCATAGTTTATTTGGAATCACATTTCATACCATCTAAATGTTACAATAGTACTAATCACTAGGAGACACTTTTGTCCAAATCGACGTGTATCAGAAAGAAAGTACAACACAGGCAAGAATCTAGAGAGGAGGAAACAACGTCAGCAAACAGCTTTTCACCGAAGTTAAAAGCATATGTGTAAGCATACCTGGCCCAGATGATTGTTAACATATATCATCATTAACAACATCAACAGCTGCTCTTAAGAGTTCTGATCAGCATCAAAAACCCATCCAAAATATCCTCATCACCAAAATCATCAATACCATCATCGACCTTTATGTCCAAAGTGACGTAATGCAAATCAAATGTTGTTCAATGTGCAGAATCTGATATTTCAGGTTTCTCTCGAGGGAATATGCTTTGTGAGAATACATACTTTTATTGTTTGAATTTCGTTGATTGGAGGAACAGAGTGTGTGAGTATGTGGGTGTGTGTGTGTGTGTGTGTGTGTGTGGACGGTTTTGAGTTCAGGAGGAAGAAGAACCTACTTTTGACAACCTCAAATGTGTGAAGCCACTTACCTTTTTAATGTCAGGAGAACAAAATAGAGAAAATCACATTCAAACAGTCCAAATTAATATTTTTTTAGTGATAATAAAAAAATAAAATAAACAGATATTAATGATACCTCCCACTTTAACAAAGTCAGGCACATTTTCATATTTTATAGGACAAAAATCCAGTGTTTGTTTGTCATAAGATCAAGTTATCAATTATGTCCATATGATATGATAACTGATTAACTCGGAGTTAATGGCCGAAGATAGGTTTCGGTTTTCTTTTATACCATATTAAAGCTAAACTGAACTCTGAAATTGAAGGTCTGGCTATTTCATGAGGGGGATTTCACTTCTTCACTTTCACTATGAACAGACTGTGAATAACACAGTTGGGCTTTATGAGAAAACATACAAACAAAATCCCATCACACACGACCAAAGACTGTGTTAAACTCTGATTATATAAAACTTTACTGTACAATCAGTAGGCCCTTGTTTGTGATGGGGGATTGCATCATTTCATGTCCTCCCAAGTCCCCATGCTCTCTGATAATTTACACCTTAACTGTTATTGAGGTTTAATGTAACCTGTATCCTACTAAATCAGCCTCTTGTTATCTATTCTGTGCCAATTAACACAACCTGAGTGTCTACAGCTGACATGCACAGTGGACTAACCCTCACATTGGGTTGACATTAGCGTGTTAGCCTGCTAACTTAAACGGTCACAAACATTAAAGCTTGATAAGTTCCCGACTTGACAACGATTGGAAAACAGGACAAACAGGTGGACACGTGAAACAGACAAGAAGACAGACTTGTTTTTTATCCCGAAATGTACAAATTAAACAGAAATAGTTATCAACTCACCTCGACAGCGTAGCCAGACAGCTGGCAGATAACTTCCGTTTCGGTTAGTACATTATACTCTTCAACCAAGTTGGAGCTCGTCTCTTATGGGTTGGGGTTTTTTTTTTTTCGCCAGAAGCCCTCAAGAAAATATCCAGTATCCAGTGGGAATTAAAAAAAAAAGATGTAAAAAGTAAATTCCAAGGAATTCGTTTTGTCGTCAGTGTAGCTCTTCACGGAGTTGTCGCAGTCCGTCTCTGTTCTTGCTAACCCTTCCTGTCAAGTCACAACCCCTTTCCCGAAATCAACGCAGCGTCTTTCGTCTCAATGCGGCCGCTGATTGGCTCCTGAGAACCGTCACTCACAATGACGTCACAATCCCTTTGTTGTTAAATGGCTGTGGAGAAAAAAATAATACTAAGATATGTATTAAAATGGATATATATGTCGTGCGCTCAAGTTAATATATTGTTTGCAAACGTTATTATGTTATAAGATAATTATTTTGAGCGCATAAGATATTAACTTAAGCGCGATTTTTTTTTTTTTTATTATTATGTTTTTTTTTTATTATTATGACTTCAGGGGCTCCGTACTTTAGATATCAGCCTAATTAAACCTGACTTGGACCAGCGGTCATTAGTGAAAATGGTGAAGAAACAAAATGACTTTCCTGCATTTTCTTGACAAAATAAAGAATAATTTTCACTAATTTGAAAAATAAAATGGCTTTAAAAAAAATCATAATTTTTATATGCTGCATAGGCTATAATTCAATTTACTGTGAATTAAATTGTATTTTTAAGGGGATTGTCTTGATCTGAAGGTGTGTGCAAAAAGTACATATGGAAATATTGAAATAACAGAAATAGAAAACCTAAAATGTATAAACATTTAGTTGTGGTAACTTAAGTTTCATTTGAAAATGTGCTAACTTTAAATTTTGTGTTTGTGTCATCTGAACTAATGTGAAGTTTTCCAACTTGAGTATTTTTAATATTTTGTCATTATATACATAACACAATCATTTTAAACAACATAGACAGTTAAAACAAAGTCAACAGTCATGCTGTGACTGAACAGAAGGAAACTGCTGATAAAAGCCTATCCTATTACATTCTTATTAAATTAAGCTGCCAGCTTCCAGAAGTGAAAAGAAAACAGTAACAGATACATCCTTCACACTGATAAGCCTCAAGAAATAACTTTATACAGCTTTTTAAAAGCCTTTTCTAACTAAGAACTCTTTCATATTATGCAAAAAAATAATTTTCAAAAACCTTCAAGTGTCTGTTTGCCCTACAACTTGTATTACCTCTTAGGGTTAACAAATAAAGACTTTTTCAAATGCTGTTTCCAAGTTCAAGAATGATCATTTAGTTTTAGCTTTTCTCACCTACATGTTTGACTTAGAAAGATCTTTTGGGAGCTCAGAAGAAAATTACATTTCTTAGATAAATAAATAAACTTCTACAGAGAATGGCTGAGAGGTATGACAGAAATCAAACAATGAAATGTTACTGTGATGACATTGATGTTATCAACAGCTGTTGACAATACTGAAGGGTGAAGACTTGTTTTTTTTGTCAGGGGTTGGGATTAACCATGTATCATATTAATTGTTAAAAGTTAAAGAAGAAAGGGAAACTCATTGTCTTTGAAATAAGATATAGTTTGTTTCTTTTAAGTTTTGTTTTTCACCACAAAGCTCAGTTGACTTTTCTAACTCTTCTCCGTCATTTAAAAATCCAGAATATAGGAGGATGCAATTTTATTTTATATTTTTAATCTCCTGGGCAAAGGATATGTCTTACTTTTATCTGGAGAGTCAGTTATACCCCTATTGGACAACAAATGACCTCAACGATTGTTGGGATTTCACAGAGAAATTGTACTTTACATTTCCATCATTTTAGTCTCAAACTCTACTCATATTTTCTGTTTGGTCAAACTTCCAAATATGGTAACAATATGCTGACTCAGACCCTATTCTTGAGTAAAGATGGTGTTCGATTAAACAAAGTGTCAGATGGCCAAAGAGGGCATTGAAATGTGACCTGATAAGACATAATGACCGGAGGAAAAAGTTACAGACTCTGACTCTTTTTGGAAATATTCTATTAAAGAGGGTTATAATTCTTCTTTGCTGTAGATAGACAAAATAAATCATCCTTTTTAAGAGGAAAGAATTAAAACAAACGACAAGAGACATCAACAAGAAAACAGGTCAACACACAAACAATAGGAAATTAAGTTGTTAAAAAATACATCATGACAGCATCGCATGGTTACCTGAGGGATACTGAGTGCAGAGTTCTTACTGCATTATCAGGGCTTGTTAAGCTCTTTTTAGAATTATAATATAATGTCTTTGATGAATACATACAAAAAGATTATCTTTATGATTGTGCTTTAAATATTTACAGCATGCAGTCAAAGCCTGTTCTCATAATGACCAGTGGAAGGGTCCCCACCTCTTGAAGATTTGCACCATTGGGTGTGTTTAGTGGAAACTCTGTGCCAATATCCTTAATGTGCTTTCCACATCCTTAATCAAATATGAAGATCTTCTGTAGAAAGGTCACAGCTGTCTCTGCTGTCATGTGTAACAAAGGGAGGAATCGGGAAACTTAACAGGAATCGGGAATAACAACAATGTGACCAACTCTCTCCTTGAAACCAGGAGTCAGCAAACCCTGGTGGGTTGTCATTTTTTAAAAAAGTGGAATTTCCCCCCACTGAGTGCTGCATAATAACAAGTACAGAGACAGAGTGTAAATATTGACATGAACAAATCAATGATTTAACGGTTAGAAATCTTGTCTTCTCATCTTTATATGTCTAAACCCCCAGACCTGACTATCCAGATCCACACATAACTGAACTGTAACCATTATTGTTTGTATGATTTATGCATTGTCTATGTCTTCCTCTCACTTTCTTTTTTGCCACATTCACCTTGTCATGTTACAATTCTTTTTCTTTTTAATTTCGAGATTAAACTCGTAAATTTACGAGAATAAAGTCGTAAAATTACAACTTTATTATTTTATTCTTTAAAGACTTTAAGAGTTCTACTTTCATCATTTTTGTGCAGGCTGGTCTCGAACTCGTTAATTTACGAGAATAAAGTCGTAAATTTACGAGAATAAAATCGTAAATTTACGAGAATAAAGTCGTAAAATAACGACTTTATTCTTTTATTCTTTAAAGACTTTAAGAGTTCTACTTTCATCATTCAGACTTTAATCTCGTAAATTTACAACTTTAATCTCGTAAATTTATGACTTTAATCTCAAAAAAATGTTAACGTGGCCCTAATCCTCTGTCGTACATGTTCATTTCCCCAATAAAATAAATAAATAAAAAATAACAAGTACAGAGACAAAGTGTAAATACTAACATGAACAAACCAATGATTTAAAGCAATATTTTTCAGACAAACTGTAGATTGAAAGTCTATTCTCTCTGAAATTCTAAAGACATTGAGGGATTTTTAAGAACTGCTGCTCAGTGTGTGTCTATGAAAAAAAAAAAAGAATCACTCAGAGGCAATGTGTCCGAAAAAAAGAAGTGAAACCATTTGATTTGTTTTCGAGCATTGCGACTCGGGGACTATAGTGATTGTATGAGACTAGATGGACAATTAATGATGAATTTCTTTCAATTAATCATAGGTAGCCTTTTTTTCTTCTTCCTACTTTAATGTAAGTTTTTTTAAATGTTAAAATTAAATATACTGTATGTTACTTGAATGCATTTTTGTATTGATATTTATCGTTGTTTTTTTTTTTAATCTTTGTACCTTATGTTAGAAGCAGAAAGGTGTGGGATGTTTGCATGACCTAGAAGTTTTGCACCTGTAATGTGAAATTATTAACATATTGTAAAAAAACAATATATACTGTATATATCTTTGATAACATTTTACACCAGCCAACCAAGTTATGTGTACCCAGAGAAGTTATATTTGCTGAGAAAAAATGTGCAATAACTAGTTTAACCTTACACCACATTGTTTGTTTGTTTGTTATTGACCATGTTTTTATTGTGTATGTGCTGCTACTGAATACTTACATACATACAAACGTCAACAGATTTTGTATTTTCTTCATCTTTTTTTTTTTTATGTGTGCAGTGGTCAGTGTAGCAACATCTGGGTGATAACTGTACAAAGGTGTTAGCCTTCAGTCACAAACAAGTACAGTAAGTATATGGCTCTATTGTTTCAGTAGCATGTGCCACACACAAGGAACTGTTTCGACTGAAAGGAAAAGTTTTTTACTTCATGCAGTGAAAGAAGGATGTGCAGTTTTTTGTAAGGGGAGGGGGGGGAGAAACAAAGTGGTGGTTCATTTTAAGCCAGGGATTTCCCATGTCACATTCCGTTAACACTTTATTGTCTTTCATTAAAGGAAATATGGCAGGAAGTTCCCCTTGATATCAAATGACAGTGGCAAGCTTTGTGTGTGTATGTGTTAAAACACAGAATCACAATGGAATTAAGACATGTTTTAATGCTTCTTCTTATTTTCTTATTTACCTCTCCTCAATGTTCTTATTTTGTAATAAAAAAAATATATACATTGGCACAGAGGTCTATAGAAAAGGACGTGCGATACAACACGAGGTGAGCAGATTGAGGTTAGAGTGAGACAAGAACAATTTGATGACTCTGTGGGGGTTTCCAGTGCCGCTGCATTTTATGTTCCCTGTGAGTGAAACATACTAATGATAGGTGCAAAGTGACCTGTGCTGTTTCACACATGACTCAAACTGTGCTTTAATATTGTAGAAAAAAGTCCTCTGTAAAATAAGTCTTATTCAGAGTATTGGCATCAAAGTTCACAATGCGAGTGTGTTAAATCATTTATACATTGACATTATTAGTCTGTTGGTCGTAACCCATAGGAGTCAATAAAACAAAGTCTAACATCATCTTTCTGATCTTTTGTATTTACATACAGGAAAAATAATGATACGCTTCTTTTGATGGAGTCAAAACTACATCTTCCTGCACAATTTATTCTGTCTTTTCTTTACCTTGTTTTTCTTTTTCTGATGGCTCATTTCTAATTAGTTTTTACTTACCTTTTTTTTTTTTTTTTTTGTTTATTTAACAGGGGCACATGCAATGAACATTGCTTCCTATGAAAAATACAAAGTTGATGCCATGTCTAGAGGTTTCTAACTGTGGCTAATTTGTAACCCCTAAAAACACAATCATTAGACTTAAAGATACCAACATTATAAACTTAATACAAATGACTTACTGATTGGTGGTATATTCTTGTTTTTATCTTGTTTTTTTATTTGTCTTATCCTTACTGATGTGTTACTTTAGCTTATTTAAATAAGGGCTTTTTCACTCTACTATCGAACACTGTTGTCACTTTATCTTTTTTTTTTCTTCTGTCTGTTTGTGAGTAAAAGGAGGCGGACTCACTCACTGTAAACCAACTCTATACCTACAGGTACAATTAAATAAACCTTGCCTTACCAGATGCAGCCAAATATTTCATAAAAAATCTAGTTTAAATATTGGTTTTCCTTTAACAACTTCACAATCTTCTGTTAAAGTTTTTCTAACAGAGAAAACACAGCAGTGAAAAAAAAGCTGTTGAACTTGTTATGTAAACCAAATGTAGCCTACCTATGGGTACAAATAAAGTAACCTTACCTGACCTTACCAGATGTAGCCCAAATCTTTAGATAAAATCTAGTTTAAATTTGTCATGAGAAATAATATTTGTTTTCCTTTAACAACTTCATAATCTTCTGTTAAAGTTTCACTCACAGAGAAAACACAGCTGTGGAAAAAAAAAAAAAGCTGTTGAACTTGTTATGTAAAGCAGTAAACACATGATTCTAATAGATCTTTAGCACCCTCTGTTGACATCATGCGGTTTTATCACTCAGGACTAGATCCTCATTCCTTACAAGTCCGGTTTAATGTTCTCCATTTTTACTCTGTTCGTTTACCCAAAGAAATGAACATTAGTAATATACTCTTTATGCAGCACATCAGCTTCATGTATTCAAACTATGTTCAATTTCATTATCCTTAAATTAATAAATTCAAATTGAAGACAAAAACAATTTAAAAATACATTTATAAGATGATAAGACTGCAATGTCAGCATCATCATATGCTTGAGGCTAAGAAACTATTGATGAATATGTCTTGCTTTATTTGTCAAGTTTAGCAGATGTCAAATATTTTTTGTGCCACTCTTAAATATAAATCAAGTATATCCTCTGAAAATAACTCTGTGAGTCATGACTGTCTACAATGGGTGTAACACCCGAGTCCCACTGTCTGTGATGTTTTCAGAGTTTTCAGAGTCCTATCTTCAGTTTGTTTACATCGCCTAGACAGCGGCTGACTCCTCCCCTCGTGTATAAAAGTTGTTTAATTGAGGGACTAGAGAAAAGAAGAATAACATACTGTACTCACTGCTTAACTGTGTTTCTAGATCACGCTCATTTCAGGTAAATTTACATGCAGTGTGAAGATACCAGCATAATGAAGATCGCTAGCATTAGCATGCTAACACAACAATGCAGCGCAAGTTGTTTTGGTTTCATGCTGGTGCTCAAGGGCGACATCTGCTGGATCAAAAAATCACATATAAAGCCTTTAAAGGAAAAAAAGTTGTTGATGTTAGAGAGAGAGATTCAATAAAGTATCAAAGTAAATCTCAGACTTGATGGTAACATTCACAGTCATTTAATAGTTGGACTGTTTCACAGCTACAAACGTCTGCACTTAAGTTACACTGACTTTTCAGAAGGGAAGATAAATAAAGACACGTAAGAAATTCAAATGAAGAAAAATTCCCTTTATTTCTTTCAGGAAAGCAAAAGTATCATCAAACAATGACTTACAGTTTCAAACTAAAATCTACAAATCCCACTGTTGCATCCAACAAAGTGCTCTGTGGATGGAAAGTATAACACGAGAACATCAAATCCACTGAAGAGACAGCACACAATGTGTACCAGTCTGTACAGCAGTCTGAGTTTCCGCTGGTCCTGGGTCAGAAAACATCAAAACGCTAACAATCTAAAAAAAAACATTTGCACTTTTGGATATCTCTTTGGATGAACATGTCATTCCTTCTTCTTCTCTTTGCTCCTTTGGCTTGTTGGATTCACTGCATGTGTGTCAAGTTGGCAGCCATCCTTCAGTTATCACAGTACTGTACCTTTGATGGGGACAGCATCAGCACTGTGATAACTGAACCAGGGCCGCCTGTCAAATCTAGCAGAGCATCTGGCATCCAATCCCCAATGATCTGTGCTCCGGTTTTCAACAGGTGCAAAAGATAGTTTATCTTCTGCAATTGACTGCTTGCATTTGGGCGGGTGTAAACTAACATGTCTCATTTGAAATCCTTCTCAACAGTGGTCAAAGGGCGAGATGTCTTCTGCCCTCTGACTATAGGGGTTAAACCTTTCCTATACATGCCGTTAGATTCTGGGGAAATACATAATGATGGTTAAAGAAAATAATAAAAAAGTTAAGTATGAAGAGGCACAATACTGCCCTGTAGTTATATCTAATCTGGGGAACATAAAAAGTATCACTCCAGGGTCTAATGTTGTCAAATCAGGACAAAGCCGATGCATTTGTCAAATTTAGATATTTCATTTTAGTTACTTTTTTACCAACTGCACAACCAATGAGCAGAAAGAGTTCAGTCCGACCTGCGACAAACAGATTCTGTTGAAACTTCCACTAACCTCCGTCTGAAGGAAAGGACTGTCAATGATGCACAACCCTGCACATGCAAAGTCAACTCAATGACCCACTAGACAGGAATGTCACATTACATCAACAGTTTCACTATTCTTGGAGATCGGGGGGGACTTTCTTTACTCTCTCTTAAAAGGTTTGTTTGTTTTTTTATTAACACGATGCACATATTAAGCAGAAGGCACTATTTTGCAATCCCAGATAAACATTTTAATGTCGTCCATGTTTTTTTTATTCTGCTCGTGCACAGTGGGGTTGTTAATGTTTCATCTCATAAAACAATAACAGCCCCCCCCCCCCTCCCTCCCTCCCCCTCCTCCCCTTCTGCTTGGACTCGGCGGAGACAAACTACTCTTGTATATTATTCATACCAACCACAAGGCCGAGTGACGTCAGACTTGTTATGGTTCTCCGCGCATGGCTCCGCCCCCCTTTGGGCTCCACCTCCTCCTCCTCAGTCAGTCAGTCCGCCCTCCGCACTTCATGTAAACAACTCCATTAGTCCCGTCGCGCACGGCCTCTCTTTGCCAAAAAATGTTGAAAAATGACGTGAAGAAAAAAAAAAAGCAACATGTGCATTAACTATAAAAAAAGGCAAGAGGACAAACATGGGTGCTACGTTTGTTATCATACGTGTCTGTAGCCTACAAAGACACGGTGTGAAGAAAAGCGCGTCCATATTGCATTAAATCCCAAACGTAAATAACTCTAATCTACTGAAGGATAACATGCATCAACACGCATTAATGGCTCAGACAGGACTGATAACAAATCAAGATAGTAAGAAGAACTGAAATAAGCTGAAACGCGTGTTGCTACAATACCAAAAGTTGCCCAAATCGACACAACACCGTAATTCACGCCATTACATTAAAACCATGCATACCTGCGTGGTGGAAGCTGCACGTCCCCTTCAAAAAAAGCGACTTAAGAAATAAATGTTCGTATTGAAACATTGTGCAGCCAAACGTTAACGCCCAGCATTGCACACACACCCCTTTTCCCAGGCAAAAACAAAACAGCATGCTGTAGGATTCAAATATAACCATTTATTCCTAATTAGGCTGCAAACAGTTCGCATTAAATATATTGAGTAAAATAGACTCGCATACCTGCAGTTTCCTCCTCCAGTTCCCCGTGTTGACATGAATATGTTTAATGACGCAGCAAGAGCACACGGAGCAACGTGATTGTCGCCATTTTTTGTTGTTATTGAATTTCTCCAAAGCCATGTGACAAATTAATAATGATTTTTTTTCCGGGTGCGGAGACGAAAACTACTTTCGCGAGGCTACAAAAAAAAAAAAAGGTTAATCCCCCCCGCCGAGTTGTTTGTCTGACGGATTAGACTGCTTACTCCACTGACTGAAGACTGTGAGAAGCCTGTGCGCAATATTTGACAGCTCCCTGACCCTGCCTGTTCGCAACAAGTACTCACTCACAACATCTCTCGCCTGTCCGCAAACGTTGCGCGCAATGACAGCGACTCATGTGCGGTTTTTTTTTTTGTGCGCACAAACCCCATACGAGAAAGAAAAAAAAGAAAATAACCCCATGGTCCAAAAGCAATAGGAAAATGCTGTCAACAAGTGGTGGAATCCAACGATACACCTTCAAATCAAATCAACATGCATGCTGTAGCCTACAGAAACTTCAGAAAATCCAGCCTCATTTCTGTCTTTCAGCGTCGAGTCTTAAAATGTCAACTTTTCTCCAATAACTGGAAAATGTAATTACTGTAGGGGGGATGGGTTAAGTTTGTAAAGCTTTTTATTTTTGGCTTATAGGAGACCAAGATCAAATGAACTGACACGCCTTTTTTTTCCTGTGTTGTTATCAATTTGGCAATGATACTTCTCCATAAAAATCCAAAGTCACCAGCCCCAACATGTTGCTATTTAGGGCGTGAATATCCGATTATAAAAACAGATTTCTTTTGGAGCTGGAGCCCAACTTTAGGCTATATGACATTTTAAACAGGCAAATATATAGGGCAGATTATTGATAGTTCAGTGTCAGACAGACAGACAGACAGACAGATAGATAGATAGATAGATAGATAGACAGATAGACAGATAGATAGATAGATAGACAGATAGAAACTACAATGTGGACTATTACAGTTCCCTCCTCCCTTTTACATTTTTTTTTTTTAATTGAGGCTTTTGTACATAACTTGCTTCTAAAAAAACTACAGTAACCAGTTTACCCTTTCAAAGTTCATGCGAGTCAGTCATCCGCATTTTTTCTGGATGATGTGCGCAGAAAAATAGGGCGTTGTGGCGACTCCCTCATTCATTCGCAGAGAGAAAAAAAAAATCTCTGTCCTTAAAGACGTAGACGACCTGAATGTGTTCATAAACGAGCCGAAAGAGGGAGGGGGGGAAAAGGAAAAACGAAGAAGAGAAAAATAAGAGCAGGACATCTCCAACGTGCGCAGAGAGTAAACGGCTCTGCGCAAAGAAGCACAGGCTCCAGAGAGATAAGCTCACATTTAAACATTGGCAAGAGAAGTTTTAAAAGCCATCCAGGCGTGGGAGTTGTTTGATCAGTTGCAACTGACCAAGAGTTGCGTTAAGGAGAAGTAGATTCTCGCGTGGAAACAGGAAAAGCGACGTTTGTGCATCCAAGAGGAGTTTTTTCTGTTTGTTGTTGTTGTTGTTGTGTGTGGCAGTAGCTCGTGTTTGTGGAGGACATGGCTAAGTTATTTCGAGCTGCCATCATGGGTCCACCAGGATCAGGGAAAGGAACGATTTCCAAGAGGATTGCGCAAAGCTTTGGCCTACAGTACCTGTCCAGTGGCCACTTCTTACGAGAGAGCATAACGGCGAACACAGGTAGGACACCTCTGCCTTTAAACACGCTGCTGTAGCCCACACGTCAATACAGGAAGAAGCCATGCAGTCTGCAGAAGAGAGCTCTTATCTCGAATTCTATGAAGTTAAACCATACGCGTCATTTTCTGTGCTTCCTGCGTGGATTTCTCTCTTTCTGTTACCATGTTTAGACTCACAACAGACATTCATAGCTGAGTGCATGATGGTTTGCAGGATGGAGTGGGAAGAGTGCATTTCCTGATATAAAATCCCCTTTAGAAGCCAATTTGAAAAAGAAAACTTTGATTATTTGACCATTTTTACTCATTTTTTCTGTTTACATAGTTTTGATCAAGTGTTCAAAATGTAAACTGCTCGTCACAATAACTCATTGTTAGTCCAGTTAAAGACCCCCCTAAAAGATTTATGTACACGTAGCATGTAACTTCCTCATTAGAGCTGCCCAACTGGACTCATTTAACTCCTGGCATGATGTGCCAAGCTCTTGTGTACTGATAATAAAGTTGGAGTTCTTTGCAAGAGAGCCTGTAAGTGAAAACATGTGGGCTGGGGTTTGTCATTTGCTGGGTTTGTTTCAGTAAAGTTGTGGCTTTTGCTGCATAAAGTTTCAGGATTCAGACATCCGGTGAGTTGAGTGTATGTTTAATGAATGCAATGACTTGGCAGAAACATTGCATTAATTATTCATAGAGGTGCCACTTTGATCTGCTGTGGAAATGATGGGAGAGGTTCCAGGCAGGAGGATGTTGGAGTTAGAATTGTTACTCAAGATGCTCTAAATGTTACCGAGTGAGTTTTTGTTTATGATGAAGCAAGCATTAAACAAGACGTGTTCTGTCTTGTGTTTGGATTTCACGACCATGAATCAGACACGACCAATCAATCAATCTTTTCTGTGTGTTGTGTGTCAGAGGCAGGTGTGCTGGTGAGGAGCTACGTAGAAAGAAGCCTGTTGGTGCCGGACCATGTGATGACCAGACTGATGCTGCCCAGACTGGAACATCTGATTGGCCACAGCTGGCTGCTGGATGGTGAGAATAAAAAAAAAAGTTATTTTTTCCCTCCCCAGTAAGAGTGTCCATGTCCTTTGTGTTGTATTGTACGCCTGCTTTGTGTTATTTATCCCCACAGCAGCCTCTTTATCTTTTGTCTTGATCATTTGTTGTGAGGGAACATGATCTTCATGAAGCAGCGTCATGGTTTGTTGTGGCAAGAAAGCTCCTTCAATCTGATTGGACAAGCCGGGTTCCACCCCCGAAATGCCCAAAACTGATAGCCATCCTAGAAGCAGGGACATCAGGAAAGCATTAGTTGTGTTACACTTCTGCATTTTCAGAGGCATCCGCCCCCCTTTAGGCTTTAGGGCCACATGCAGTTCCACCAAATCTTCAGGCAGCCTTAGTCAGTGGAAAAATACTCTCTGCATTATCCTACATGTGTTGGAAATTAGCAGGTCTGTGCATGCTCATGCTCACTACTGTTACTCAACTTTTAGCAGACATCAAGATTAAATTAAAAGATCATGATTTGCTGTCAAAACCAGAGGGTTGCACAAGTTCCCTTTTTGTTGTTGTTGAAAATTTCCCAAGTCAGTCTTACTCATATTCAGTGCCAAACTTTTACTCAGTGAACTCTGTTTTTTTTTACAGATATCAAATCATTAGAATATAACTTTTAAAAGTGTTAAAATACAAAGGTGCATGTCTCATTATCTCTTGTCTTTTTTAACATGTTATCCTGCAACATAAGATAAGATAAGATAATCCTTTATTTATCCCACAACGGGGAACTTTACATTGTTACAGCAGCAAAGATTGCAAACAAAAAGTGAACACAGTACAATTTAAATAAAAAGAGAAAAATTAAGAATGTACAAAAAATAGATAGATACCACAATATAGATAAAAAAAAAGAAAAAAAAAGGAGTTATATCAGATGTCTTTGCTCAAGTTAAATATTATCTCCCATCCTGGACAGAGATGCCAAACATTGATGAAACAAACTGGTTGGTACTTTGAAAAGCGTCCACGTCAAGGTTACGCACACCAAACACACTTGCACACACAAATAAACACTCATGGAAACACATAATCATCTATCAGTATGCCGTGTTTATCTCCATGACTGGGTTTTTTATTCCCCAGAGAATATTGATTTGCATGGTATTCCTGCATCGACACTCTCGTGCATATTTCTCTTTCCAAAATCACACCGAATTTTAATGTCTCTGATTTTCCGCTCTGTTTTTTCCCCCTCTCATAACTTTTAATTGGTGCCTTCCCGTTACTCGTTTGTCAACATGCACGGCTTTCTGGTTAGAGAGATTCAGCAGCTCTTTAATGGTCAAACAAAGGAAGCTACAGTTCAGAGTGGATGCCAGTTTCCGCTCCAATCCAGAAGGGACCAACAAAAACTGAGGAGAGGGCCAAATGCTTGTAGCTCATATAGCTTTTGGTATGAGACAGACAATATCTTTTAAAGGGGACATATTATGAACATTTTTTGAACATATATTTGGGTAACCTGAGTGTCTACCAACCCACAAAATGTGAAATAAATCCACCCATTCATTTGTTTGTGGTCTGCATAAATCTTATAACACAGAGAAAAATGCTCTGTTTCAAATGTGCTCTCCTTGTGATGTCACAGTGGGATTCTGGTAAAAAAAAAAAAAAAGAAATCCCCTCCCCTCCCCTGGTATCTCCACCCATGGACTCCACCCCCAGACTAGAACAAAACTTTTGCTCAGGTCGGCCATTTTTATTCTCACTACAGAGGAGTGATGTCTACGGGGAAAACTCAGGGGGCGGGGCTCATTGGATTTAAAGAGACACACACACCAAAACGGAGCGTTCTGAGAGAGCTGGTTTATACAGGGTCACAAACCTCTCTGGTGCTTGATTCATGTTATATTTTTTTTTACCAAAACACAGATGTTTCATTTAGACCACAGGGGACTGTTTGAAAAGGTGGAAAAAGGGGGATAATATGTCCTCTTTAAAACTATAGGACCAGTTTTTACAACAAGCCAGCATTTAGACACACTTTGTCTCCACACTGACCATTCCCTGTGCCATCTTTACACCACTAGGTGCTCATAACATAAGTCCCCTACCCCTTAAACAAGGCCTTGGATACCTGCTCTGTAAGTAAATTGACTGCTGATGTCCAATAGAGTTTGAGGATATGGCACTAGATGAAAGGTCAGGATTATCTCTTGACCTTTCATCTAGTGCCACCATTGGGTTGACACTTTTGATTTGGCTATCCCTACATAACATTTACGAGGTTAAGGTTGCACCTATTAATAGCTCAATATTTGATAAGAAGAGGGGGCACATGTTTTAGACTGACATTCAAGGTTCCCAAGCAATGACTCCAAATGACTTGAGATCCTGCGACTTAACTGCTTGTGCCAGCGTGAGGTTCACATCGGGGGCTTTGAGGTGAAATGTCTCCATAAGTATCGGATGGCTACTGCAAAATTGCATACTCAAAGTCACGTTCCCCTGAGGAATGATTGCAGGAACTATGTGTCTTTCCCTCTGTAACCATCAAAAGGTCAGAATCTCACTCTACCAGTGCTTTGACTTATTAACCAAATATGTGTAATACTAATGGCAGTCCCATAAACCTCAGTTAAACTTTGACTTTGGTGTTGATTATCAAATGTTAGAATGCTGACAAGCTTAATTAAGAAAGCAAACATACCTGTTAAACTTTAGCATTGCCATTGTTAGCATGTTAGCATTTAACTTAAAGAACCATAGTGCCTCTGAGTGCTGCTAAGGTGACTCTTGTCTCTTGTCCGTCAAACCAATGGTTGTTCATCAGCGGCAAGTCACTGAAAGTTTTTTATTTATTTATTTATTTTTTGATCACAGTCAAAGATCATTTCACTGGGAAACTGGAAACAGCTTGAGTTTGAGCTTTGTCACTGTCAGCTAGCAAATATGAAAACACACAGAACATACATTGAATACATTTATTTTATTTTTCAAAGTCAAAGTCAACTTTATTGTCAATTTCAAAATATGCCAGACATACAGTGGAATCGAAATTGCGTTTGGCTCCGTCCCACGGTGCAACACAACCAAAAAAAAGGTAAAATAAGATAAATTATATTTTACAGTAATAAATTCTAAATTGTGCAAAAGGTACAAAACAAAATGGTAAATAAAATAAAATTTAAAGAAAAAGTAAACTTGTGCAATGTGCAGTAAACTGAGTGTACTTTTGAATAGATATACATATAACCGTCAATGTGAATATACATATATGTATATATATATATATATATATATATATATATTATTTAATTTAAATGATAATATATGCACACTTATTTATGTAAATACTGTAATTGACCCATCTGCCACATAACTGCATTTTACTTATCAGGTTACTTCAGCATCTTTTGCACTATTCACCACTGCACTGTTTCATGTTTAGTCATGTAAATATTAGTCTTTTCTTATTGTGTTTATTGTTGATATTTAATGTTGTACCTGTACATAAGAGAGCACAGTTCACCAAAGTTAAATTCCTTGTGTGTGTGTGTGTAAGCATACCTGGCCAATAAATCTGATTCTGATTCTGATAAACATGTGCTTCTAAATATGTGTAATGGCTTATCCTATTCTCGTATGTTCATCTTCAGTATGTCATTTAAGATGATACATTTGACTCAATCAATGCATAGTCTCAATCTAGAATAAAGACTGCCATACTTAAACTTAAAATATGAATGTCTCCCGTCGAGCATTACCTCACACATCCTCCCCTCTGCTGTCTGTCTGTCTAGGTTTCCCCCGGACTCTGGCTCAGGCCCAGGCTCTGAACAATCTGTGTCAGCTCGACCTGGTCATCAGCCTCAACGTCCCCTTCGAGACCCTGAAGGACAGACTGAGCGACCGCTGGGTCCATCCAGCCAGCGGCAGAGTCTACAACATGGGCTTCAACCCGCCAAAAGTCAAGGTCTGCTCGCTGTTAAAGGGACAGTACACCTACAATGTTTGGAAAATTTCCAGTGGCCCCTTTTTTGTTGCACTTTGGTATCTTGTCCTGTCCTTCCCCACACTATTTTGTTTGTGTGTGTTTTTCATTTCATCAGCCAGCTTCCTATTCATTTGAATGATAGCGCAGCTTTATGTCCGGTATCAGCAGCTGAGTTCATACCTTACGTCGCCTCTTACACAGAGAAAACGGATTCTTGCTTTCATTGGCAAAGTCATGCTTGTCATTTTCAGTCACAGTTTCAGACACCAATCTGTTCATGTGACCTTAAAGCACGTTATCTGATTATACAATCTTGATTTTTTTTTTTTACACCTTAAGTAACCCTCACAATGTGTGTGAGTATGTTTTGAAGCTGGTTGGAATTTAAAATCAGCGTGGCAGCTTGTATAAACGACAGATTGGAATCAGATCAATCTCGTCACTATGGTTACCCACCCTCCTGCATGACAACAACAACAACCCTCCTGCTGCTTTTTAGCTTCACTTCCTGTGTCCCTTCTTGTCACACTGACTGATCAAGCTATTTCATTTTTTTTTAAATCTTCCTTAAAGGCTTTATATGTGATTTTTTGATCCAGCAGATGTCGCCCTTGAGCACCAGCATGAAACCAAAACAACTCGCGCTGCATTGTTGTGTTAGCATGCTAATGCTAGCGATCTTTATTATGCTGGTATCTTCACACTGCATGTAAATTTACCTGAAATGAGCATGATCTAGAAACACAGTTAAGCAGTGAGTACAGTATGTTATTCTTCTTTTCTCTAGTCCCTCAATTAAACAACTTTTATACATGAGGGGAGGAGTCAGCCAGCTGTCCTGGCGATGTAAACAAACTGAAGATAGGACTCTGAAAACATCACAGACAGTGGGACTCGGGTGTTACACCCATTGTAGACAGTCATGACTCAGAGTTATTTTCAGAGGATATACTTGATTTATATTATATTTAAGTGTGAAAAATCACATAGAAAGACTTTAACTTAAATCCAAAGCGTTCATAAAGCACTTCTAGGAAGCAGGTTTACAAAGTGCCAAAACAGTAGTGGATAAAAAACATACTTACAGAGGGCCTTCAAAACACACAAAACACAAGTGATCAGCAACATTTTTTTACATGACCTATATTCAGGCGAAGGCAACTTGTATCCAGGAGTTTAACGTTTTAACATCACATTGAATCAAGATGAACGATTAAAGAATTTCAAACTTTTTCCTGGGAAGAAAACCTGACAATGACATAGAAACAAGAGTGGGTGTTTTCATGATTCTTATAAACACACCAGGAGCGACCCTCTTAAGGGAATGAGTAAACAAGTGAAGAACTTGTAAAAGCAAATTTGTGGGAATGAAACGTCATTAGAGAAGTTTAATAGCGACCACAAGGGAGTCATCCTGTTTTGATTTTGGCGGCCTCTGTGGACAAAAGGGGGTTTTGTTTTTCAGGAATGAAGACACTCTTACCCTGAGGGAACTTTCTACAGTGACATAAAACCAAGTCACAGGATGTTATTCTTTAAAAATGTCCATGAAGAAGAGGGCCAACTCAGGACATGTCTTTTCAGCTTCAGCCTTTTAGAATCCTGTAATTCCCTCCATCTGTTGAATTAACCAGCAAGGCTAACTTGTGTTTTTCCTTTGATTTATCTCTACCACTGTCTAACATAGTTTTTTTTCTCTGTCAGTTCTTTCTTCTCTTTTTAAGATGTATTTTTGGGGGCATTTTAAGCCTTTATTGTAGAGATAGGCCAGTGGACAGGTAGCTCGGGGATTAACATGTAACCACTCTGGCACCAGCGCCCCAATTCTTTACTTTTTTTTATTGTTGTTGCAGATTTCACTTTAAATTCAACTCTGATGAAAGAATAGCAGAAACAACAGAAAGAAAAATTCTCTTTTGAAAAATCTCCTCCTGCTCCCCTTTCACTGGTTAACTCACCGATCAATGCAAAACTTTTCTCAATCATTTTGACTTATATTCTTTGTAGAACTTTACCTGGTTACCAACATTAGGAGTACATGCATTTAGAAATACTTATTCTTCTTGCTGCTGCTTTACTCTGCACATGAAGATGATACAGAGGTACACTATGAAAGTGAGACGGTTTCATAACCAGATGAAAACTCTGTGCAGCTGCTTGAAAAGAGGAGACTGATGAAGGCTTCTGGTGCCCTCTGTTTCCAGTGTATATATATATATATATATATATCACCTAACCTGCTACATAACTCTGAGGACAAGTACTATTGATATCAGTCTGTATGGCATCAACACGGAAAATCAGTCCAATGAAAACTTGTTTGGGGCAATTTGACTTAGTTTCACAGAATGTAGAAAAAAAGAGAAAAAAAATGAAGCAATTTTAAGCTACATGGGAGTTATTTGAAACCAGTACATCTCCATCAGCAGATAACATTTTTCATTGTATTGTGCATCCCTGTTTCAAGCTCAAGTTTCATGACCAATGTTCCTGTAGGGAGCAGATATCTTTACCATGCATATCAGCTCCTGAATATTTGAAATTGCAATTAGCTGTTGGATCTTTGTTGCATGCATGACATGACCTGACTTTGTGTTGCACCCCTCAGGGTAAGGATGACATCACCGGGGAGCCGCTGATTCATCACGACGATGACAAGCCAGAGGCCCTGATGTCCAGACTGAGACACTACAAAGACGTAGCCAAGCCCGTCATAAACTTGTACAAGTGAGTGAACAGACGGATCATCTATGAGAACAAACTGTGAATAGTTTTTATTTTTCCAATTTAACCCTTGCAAGGAATAATGGTTATATTGTGAGAGAGAGAGAGAGAGAGAGAGAGAGAGAGAGAGAGAGAGAGAGAGAGAGAGAGAGAGAGAGAGAGAGAGAGAGAGAGAGAGAGAGAGAGAGAGAGAGAGAGAGAGAGAGAGAGAGAGAGAGAGAGAGAGAGAGAGAGAGAGAATATGCAAAGTTGAAGAGAGAAATCAGATGCACTCCTGACAATTTCTTGAAAGATTCAGGCCAGGCTGCCTTATTCACACACATCCCCCACACAAGTGTGATGTTGTGAGTGAGGGTCTCACTCTCATGAGGCGAGACGGGATGTTAAAGTCTTTATATGTGATTTTTCTCACTTAAATATAAAAATGAAGTATATCCTCTGAAAATAACTCTGTGAGTCATGACTGTCTACAATGGGTGTAACACCCGAGTCCCACTGTCTGTGATGCTTTCAGAGTTTTCAGAGTCCTATCTTCACTTTGTTTACATCGCCCGGACAGCCGGCTGACTCCTCCCCTCGTGTATAAAAGTTGAGGGACTAGAGAAAAGAAGAATAACATACTGTACTCACTGCTTAACTGTGTTTCTAGATCACGCTCATTTCAGGTAAATTTACATGCAGTGTGAAGATACGAGCATAATAAAGATCGCTAGCATTAGCATGCTAACACAACAATGCAGCGAGTTGTTTTGGTTTCATGCTGGTGCTCAAGGGCGACATCTGCTGGATCAAAAAATCACATATAAAGCCTTTAAATAGATGCTGTGGAAATTCAAGATGGCAGTCAAAGCAACAGAGTCTGATGCTATAATGAGTTTATGCTTCCTCTTGTTGTTAGACACATTTGAAGTTTGAACAAAAGAGTGGGAATGAACATAAAAGAGTTCAGAAGCAGCTTCATTAGGGGAAAAAAAGTTGGTTGATTCGATATAAACACAATCAACCCTACCTGTGATGGTGGTGTTTTTTCTTGAATATTAGCTACTGTTCACCTCGACTTTGCGCTGAAATTTTACCAGGGTGTAAAAAAAAGAAATGGAGCCGTTTGAGGTCACACATGCAGCTCAACCCCCTGGGAGTGTTGTGCATGTGTGAGAACATCTTGTTTCTATTTGCATAGTAATTCCCCACCAGTTGAAATTGTGGCAGATATTAATCTAGAGTGACATTTAAGATGCATCAAATCTGATATGACTGGTCAGAGTTAACTGCAAAAAAAACAAAAAAACAGACCATTATCTTAATCAAGGACCAGAAGCTGTGCACACTGCTATAAACACAAACAGGAGTCAAGAATGTGCACATTGTGTTTTTTGTGTTTTTTGGACGCTTTGGCCTGCAGTCTAAACATGGCTCATACTGCCACATTCTGCCACTCAATCAGTCCGTCTCTAATTCTTCAAATTGAACCCTTTTTCTTGTTGTTCATTATCTCATCTCTCCCCTCAGGTCACAAGGAATCCTGCACTCGTTTTCCGGTACAGAGACAGACCGGATCTGGCCTTACATCAACTCTCTGCTCAGCACCAAGATGCACACACAGCCAGCGGACGCCGTCCAAACGCAGACACCCTGACACCCCTCTGAATGAAAGGACCACAGTGGGGGGGGGGGGGAGACATCGACAAGCAGCCGGAGGACGCCGAATGATGATTCTTCTCCAATCGCTGGTGACAACTTTCACTTCCCTCATGCGTAATGAGGCGTATACACATATGGGGGGAAAAAGGACGATGATCAAAACTGTTGTCATCCAACTTGTTTTTATATGTTGGTTGGTTGTGTGTGCAAATATTTCAAGAGCTTTATTGATTGTGTTTATTTCTGTTATCGTAGTGAAATGTTCAGATCCTCCTATGCCATATCCAAAACTAGTGTTTCTAAATTATGCAAGCGTTCACTTAGTCAGCAAATTCTTCACCTTTTTGGTCCTTTTTTTTTTGTTTCTGTTCTAACTCCCAAAAAATTGAATTAGGCTAGTTCAGGAACGCTGCAGTAAAAAAACTGAAGGCTTAAAGCGTAGAAACTCAAATTGTGAAGTAGGAATCACTTTTATTTTGCTGTCTCCAGTGGCACAGAGAATCCTACAGTCGGGACCAAAATGCAGTGTCACACTCCACCACATCCTAGAAATGTATTGTTGTAAAAGAAAACTTTAAAGATATCAGACATAGGATAAACTACATTAACAGTCTGTTTTGTATACATTTGATGAGTGGCACTTTAAATTAGACTTTTGCAAAGAAGGAGGAAATTTAATGCTGTTAGTATAAAGAAATGGGCTACACAGTGTTCGAGTGAAACCTCTCAATCAGCCTTCAAGCACAGTGTGACATTCAGAAACTAGGGAGTTGTAGTTAATAGTGAGCATTGACAGAATCACTGAGGGCAATACTGACATTATGCAGAGAACCAAAATCTTGTACATGAATCATTTGGCTACATTTTCCAAGATTTGTAATCCTGTGCGAGTCCTGAGTGCTGTGTAAAATCCTGTATATAAGGCCTGTAAAATCAACTGTTACATATGCAGAACCAGTTTTTTATATCTACAGTGTCATCAGCTCAGCGTCTCTAGTTATACATCCATCAGTTAGGTAAACATGGTGCACTTTTTAAACTGCTATTCTCCACTTTTGTGCTGGATATGCTGCAGAATGTTACACTGTCTGCACTGACAAACACACAGAGGGATTCCACTGGTGCTGGTACCTGCACTGCTGCTCACAGTCACTCTGCATCTCGCTCTGTGGCTGGGATGAAGACCAATGCACAGAATAAAAAGAGTGCCTTCAACGTCGTTACATTCCTTTGAAATGTATACAGTTGCCGTGAGATTTGAATCACCAACATGTCACTGATTATTGTGTGTATATATATGCTTTGCAATGTCTGTTCAACTTTAAAGTCTTTCTATGTGATTTTTCACACTTAAATATAATATAAATCAAGTATATCCTCTGAAAATAACTCTGTGAGTCATGACTGTCTACAATGGGTGTAACACCTGAGTCCCACTGTCTGTGATGTTTTCAGAGTTTTCAGAGTCCTATCTTCACTTTGTTTACATCGCCAGGACGGCCGGCTGACTCCTCCCCTCGTGTATAAAAGTTGTTTAATTGAGGGACTAGAGAAAAGAAGAATAACATACTGTACTCACTGCTTAACTGTGTTTCTAGATCACGCTCATTTCAGGTAAATTTACATGCAGTGTGAAGATACCAGCAGAATAAAGATCGCTAGCATTAGCATGCTAACACAACAATGCAGCACGAGTTGTTTTGGTTTCATGCTGGTGCTCGAGGGCGACATCTGCTGGATCAAAAAAAAATCGCATATAAAGCCTTTAAAATACCGCTGGATATATATGTGGAAATAATAGGCCACTTCTCTGATTCTTAAGCATGATTACGTCGTCGCTGTAAATGGTTGAATTGTTTGTTTTTCTTCTCGATTTTTTTGAATCCATCATCACTTTTGTGGCCTGAAAACACTTTTTTTTCAACTTCCTCACTTGATTCTGATCCATCATCAGTTTTTTTTAAAAAGTCACAATGTCACCAAATGGCACAACATGTGAGTTAACAACACAATAAGTTAAGCACAATCACTTAAAAAAAACAATTCTGTGCAATAAAAGAGCATCAAATAGGATTTCCTTGTGCTGTTCCGTTGATGCTGGCTCTACAGTTTTAAAACTACATTTGAATATTTTTCCTCTTGAAATCAGTTTGATAACACAAATTAGCAAATGTCCCTCATTCAGGTAAGGGCAATAACTTTCTTTTATCTTTGTTTTTTTTGTTTAGTGGAGTTTTCTTTTTGTGTGTTTTGTACAGATTTGACGGCTTGTAAGAAAGTTTGTAGATCAAAAATGTAAAGATGAATAAAAACATTCAGTAAAATGCTCTTTGTTTGGAGTGGCTACGGGATCATGTGAACTATAACAGATACTTTGGTGGGATGGGTTTGTAGGAGAGGTCTGATTTACACTTTGGTTTCACTGTAGCGGATCACACACGCCTTCTGGATGCTCAGTCGTGGAAGTATTGCACGACCACACCCCACTGCCGTTACATAACACCACAGTGGATTTTGTTTTTCTCTCTTATTTTTATGCTGTCTAAACATGTTACATTCAGAGAACAGTTCAAACTATTTTCTCAAAGCTGCTTTGACTCTCTTTGTACATGATTGAAACCATACTGTTTACACAACAACATAGTGTGCCGTCACACATTTACACGGTTTCTTTGCCATGCCTTAAAATAAGGTAATTCATACTAATTCCTTATGTCTTAGTCCAAACACACTGCAAGCAAATGTAAGCATGAGTCACAAAAAAACATGAAATGAATTGTTCAAATCCTCAAATCAAACACAAAGTCGTTTTTTTTTTCTCACAACTTTCAGAAACTCTAGACGTGATTTATAACTGTTGCAGTCTTTCTTTCCCTTTTCTTTCTTTCTTTCTCTTTCACACATTCACAATAACAGTTGACGCTTTGCTCCTCCCTTTCTTGTTTCTTGATCTTCCATAATATCATGTGAGAGAAACAGGAAGCAGCAGCAGCAGCAGGAGGAGGAGGAGGAGGGTGTGCTGACGTGCACTGAACACAAAAGCTGTGGTGGATACTTCAAACAAAGTAGGCTACAGAATAACATGCACATGTACACACATGCACACACGCACATATAAGTACTGTCTATATATCCCCTCCTCTCTCTCTCTCTCTCGTCTAATCCTCTCAGATCTGTAAATAAACCCCATGTGCATGAAGCAATGCTCGGCTCTGAGGATTACACCCTCACTCGTTGTGTTTACCTCTGACAGAAGGCTCTCAGCTGCTGCTTTTTGCATCTTTACTGCATAATTAAATGAGTGTGCAGAAGGGTTAGTGTTGCATTTTACTTTGTTATTATTCTGATTCCTGTTGAGGAAGGGCGCCCTCTGCTGTTTTGTGGCGAGATTACAATTTTTTCTTTAACCTCCATTATAACTTGAATTCTATTGGTGCATTTCACTAGAGCTCTCCTGTCTCACATTACCATTATTTCATGTCAGCCTGTTTGTGAAGTCCATCCCAGGTTTTGCGCGTCCTCGCTTGCAACTCCCACAGCGTGCGCTAAGCGGCGCTGTTTCTGCTGCACAGATATTTAAACCATCACTCTGCCTCCTGCCTCGGCGTTAAACCTCATCCACATCATATACAGATCTACCAAACGCCATCGCGGCGGGTACCTTGTTTTGTTGCCCCATTTGCCAAATAGTGATTATATGATGATACCGTATCCTGATGCTGCTTCTGTAACTCTAACGACAGGTTGATTTGGAGCGGGGCCAGTGTGTGTCAGGGGGTGGGGGGGCGTTTTTTTTTTTTACGGTTTGACCTTTGGGCTGGCTGCTGCGAATGACAAATCAAAGGTCGGTGTGAGCGGAGCCTTGGGTTTTATAAACGCATCTTCAAGCAAGACGGCGATCCAGAGAGAATGGTAGTAAGAAGCGCTCTGACAGGTAAAGCCGATCTGCAGGATTCTTATACATCATGTCTGCTAATCTCTTGTTTAAATGTGAGGCATGTTAATTGGCTCAGTGTTACATCTCTGAGCGGGGCAGAGAAGAAGAAGAAGAAGAAGAGAGAGTGAGCATCACGATCTGTTTTGAGGTGTTACGTAATAACAGGCTACCTCTGGAAAAATCACTCCCCCCCCCTCCACACACACACAGTGCGTCTGTGCTCAGTGGAAACAGAGGTTACGATCAAGATGCACCTGTTTTAAGATGATTCTTTCTTCAATTTCATCTAAAAATCACAACCTTGGCAATGTTTGCTTAAAGGGCCTCTGTTTTTGCTTTACGCGCACACGAACATAATGACTTTCATTTTTGTTCCGGAGGTTTAGATTTATTATAAACTAACATGGGAGTCATTTGCGAGTGTCCCCAGGGCTTAAAATGTGTGAATGTCGGCTCTCATTTCAGTTTATGGTTTCAGTAGCGGCATTCCAGGACACATCACATTTTAAAGGCGCATCACACATTTTACGCAAATAGATTTATTCTTTGAAAAAACGGTTTTCGTCTTGATTTAAGAATAACCCGAATTTTTTTTTTGTAATTTTTAGACCTGATTGTTTTTATTTGTTGAATCTTAAATTGTCAGAGTAATCAGAAGAAAAAAAAACCAGCATCATGATCAAAAGCTAGCTCTCTTACTGTCCAATGGCATATCACCACCTGCGTCACGCACGTCACGTGATCAGCTTAACGCAGCCTGCTGTGGGCTTTTCATGTGATGATCATAAAGTTGACTGAGTCACCTTTTGCTGGCATGATGTGTGGTGCAGTAAATAGAGACATATTGGACGGAAATTCAGTTTTAAAGTCTCAGTGAACTGGAGGAGAAAGACCAGACATATGAGGGGAGCAGAATGAATAATATGGTTATCTTTTGGATTCTAATGTAGATGTATTATGTGATGGCTGCACTAATGTGTTGTAGCTGAATGTATAATTAAGTTGAGCTCATTTTTAATCAGCGTCATCATGTGTCATGTTGGTAGTTTGTGAATTCTCCATAGGCTACATATTGTTATATTAAATGACTGTATTTTGTGTTATTCAAGTTATCTAATAAATGTTGTGGAGTAAAATATGCAATATTTCTCTAGTGGACTAGAAATATTTCAAAAGGCCTACTAAAGTAAAGAATCAGAAATAGTTTATTAACCACAGGGGAGTTTGGGCGTTACAATAGCTCCTACACAGAATACATGCGTAAAGATAGACGGTATAGGGGGGCGTTGGGTAGTCTAACAGTGGTTAGGTTGAGTGCCCCATGTTTTGATGCTGTAGTCCTCATCGCAGCGGCTGTTGGTTCAAATCCGAACTCGCCTCCCCCTCTGCATGTAACCCCCCCCACTCTCTCCTCCAATCATGTCCTGTCTCTCTTCAGCTGTTCTATCAATAAAGGCAAAAAGGCACAACAGATAACTTAAAAGATAAAAGTTAGAAATATGAAAAATGTAATTTATATGTAGGCTACAATAAAACTCAACACAATATACAAAAGTAAAAAAGAATATAGTAAGAAATAAAGCAAACAGCATAGGACATATGGCAGTATGTAAACACATGTGAATATGTACACATGTGTTTATCCAAACTTTGATTCTGCACAGATATGTGCCTCAAAAGTAGAAGTTCCTTTAACATTTGACTCCCTTCAGGATTGATATAACGGGCAGTGGAGAGCTATTCACCAAAAAATGCCATTTGTAACGATACGTTTATGCAACCAATCTGAGTTTAAGACGAGTCATCGAGAATCTTTAAGAGCAGGAGAAAAGAGTTAAATGAATACACCCTCTACATGGATTACAATTTGGAATATGTTGTTTACATTAAACCGTCTTAAAAGTACAAAGTTGCTCAAATTAATAAGTATCTGTTGCATCCATGCATTTAAAAGAACACTTATTTTTGTTTTTTCAACCTTTTTCATTAAAGAAAGGGACCAAGAGGAAGTAAACAGGTGGAGAATCTGCACCTCACTCAGTGCTAACAGGACAAATACGACAGCTTTCAGTTCCTAACAGCTCAGTGCTATAGTGTGCTAACCAGGGCAGCTTGGATACTGTTCAGTTTTTCTATAAAGACACGTATAGTAGCAAAATGCTCATCTGTTATCATCCAGTTTCCACGGCTAAAAAAAACGAGAGTGTTTGAATTAAGGACCTGAAGCCTCAGATTCAAGTCCACCGTCTGTCTTGTTGAGCCGGGTCCTGCAGCTGATCCAGCAGATTCCTGGATTCTGCTTTAACTGTTATGAGGATAATCATTAATCCTCAGCCGATCCTCAAGAATCATGGAGAGAAACCATGGAAACCTGTGGTAGAGATTCTTAAAGTAGTGATAAAGATTCTTTGACATGAGGTCATAGTCAGTATGTAATAACGATGTTGAGGCTTTTCAGGAGTTCTTATAAAGGATTGTGAATGAATGAATCCTTTAAAGGTTATTATAAAGTCTCTTCATAGATGTTTACAACCTGCTTTACAATGTTCAAGATTTAACTGCAGGTCACTAAGCATATACTACACCAGCTCTGTTGCGGGTGTTTACTCTTTGATGAAAGCTAATATTAAAGCTCCCGTGAGAAGCTTTCAGCTGGTTATTGAACAGACTGAAATGATTACTGATGCCTCTTAATGAGCAGCAAAAGTAAACAAGACTATCAGCATGAAGACTGAATCTTTAGTTGTTGTTATTTGAATGCCTCAAACCGCTGCTGCGGGGGAGTAGGTGTCAAGATTCAAGATGAACTTTATTGTCCCACAAAGGGAGACATTTATCTTGGGCTCTTCACCCAAAAGACAACATCAACATCTTCTACATTAAAAATTAAAGGCTTTAGATGTGATTTTTCGATCCAGCAGATGTCGCCCTTGAGCACCAGCATGAAACCAAAACAACTCGCGCTGCATTGTTGTGTTAGCATGCTAACATGCTGGTATCTTCACACTGCATGTAAATTTACCTGAAATGAGCGTGATCTAGAAACACAGTTAAGCAGTGAGTACAGTATGTTATTCTTCTTTTCTCTAGTCCCTCAATTAAACAACTTTTATACACGAGGGGAGGAGTCAGCCAGCCGTCCTGGCGATGTAAACAAAGTGAAGATAGAACTCTGAAAACTCTGAAAACATCACAGACAGTGGGACTCGGGTGTTACACCCATTGTAGACAGTCATGACTCACAGAGTTATTTTCAGAGGATATACTTGATTTATATTATATTTAAGTGTGAAAAATCACATATTAAGACTTTAATGTTGGCATTGTTTCAACGCATAGTTACATTTTTTGAGGAGGTGCATGTCAGACTCCAAACGTAGAATCAGGGCTATGGGAACCCACTAGGTATGCTACGGCGTAGATTTGATGCAGAAGTACAAATCGGACTTAACTTAAATATTTTGGGAATTTGCTTGAAAAGTGGATTTTAACAATTATTAGTGAAACTTCTGTCAGTGGACTCAACTTTCCTAAACTGTGCACGTTGACTTCATGTGTTAATCCCCGATCATGTGATGCTTTTTCTTGCACCTGCATCATTGTCCCAAACAGTCATCAAGGGGTAAATACAGGGTAGGCACGGTTTAGGAAACGGACAGGAAGCTTAGTTTTCCACAATGGAGCGGCAGCACTCTGCGTCCGGTGACGGAGGGGGTTTCGTTCGTTCCTCCCTTTTGGACATTCCGTTCCCGCTGTGCTTTTTGGGCTCCCGTCTGCTGGACCAAAAGAGTTTCCCAGGCTCATGTCCTCCTTTTCAGAACCATGCTGGCTTTCAGTTGCCAAGGGGACAAGGCCAAGGAAGGAAGCATGCCATCAGTGGTCACTGTGTTTTTTTTGTCCCACATTCATTGATCCCAGGAGCCAAAATCACAAATTTGGAGCTAAATTTAAAAAAAAGTTAGATTTTGATTGAGTCACAAAGAGCCTATTGATGTCTAACGATATTATTAGATGAGTTGGAGCAGAGAAAGTACCCTGTGATGCAGAGTGAGGGCTCTTTTTTTCTAACAAAGCATGACGATGTTGTCTCAGTGCTGAATATGACTACTCTTAATTTAACCTTTTATGAGGAGTAAGCCACGGGTTCTTGTCCATTCCCATCACAGGACTGAAATAAATCCACTCTGTTATGAGCCAAGACTCAATAATGTTCTCCTTATTTATAGAATAAGGTAAAAAAAAAAAAAGGTTTTATGAATGAACACATGCGTCTTTTTATTTCTGCACATGCACCCTCTCTTTATTAATGACAATGCATCTTTTAGTACACTTATCACCTGTTGTCTGCACATTATGTACAGCAGACACCGCCCATCTGCATACATATATATATGATGCATCTGTCTTGCATTTAAATAGAGCAGATGCTTGGTCACTTTGTCTTTAAAAGTGACCAAGATGTTCTTAAAATCCTTACACTCTTAAATAGACCAAAGATTTGTGAGTGCAGGTAAAGAGTTTTACATTTTCTCTGTTACATTAACATAAATTGAATACATGTTTTGAATTTTTAAGAGCAAATTTGAACTCTGAGATATTTTGAACAGCGTCCTTAATAATCTGCAAACCAATGAATATGGACACATTTATCATAGCTGACCTTATTCTTCAAAGTTTGAATTGAAATAGAAAATATTCCATGAAAACGACTAAAAAAAAATGCTTGAAAGTGGAACAATCGCCTTCCTCTTGACAAAACCCCATGAAGGAAAATCATAATTAGTTAAAAGCCTGAACGACATTTAAAGGGGAAACCAACTCAAAACAGGAACAGTGACACAGTCGTAGAAATATGTTATTTACAGGAGCATGTGGGCAAACTGGACGGCAATCGAGGCTCGGCTTCAAATCCAAATACACAATTTTACAATTTTGGTATACAGGTTAGAATGAACTATCTTTTAAAAAAAGTAGTATAGTAAGTCACGCCAAATGCAAAAACAAGCTAATTTCCAAGCTCCTTAAAGAAAAATGTAATTTCCCATTTATCATAGCAATAAAACGATAGATTAAAAAGTCCAAACAAACCTGTTTATTCAAATCATTCTAGAGGGCTACCTTTAATTTTTAATTTTTATTTTACATAGATTTTTATTGATTTTTTCACCATTATAAAGATCATTTAACCCCCTGGTGCTCTGACATTCACCGCAGTAACCATGGGAATAAATAGAATAAATTACAAATTAAATAAAATCAGGAACAGAAAGAAAAAAAAAACAACACAAAACAAGAAAAACAGACAATACAAAACAAAACAAAACAAAAAAAGGCTACCTTTTAGATATTGATGAAAAATCAATCAATCAATCAATCAATCAATCAATCAATCAATCAAACTTTATTTATATAGCACCTTTCAGACAAATTAAATTGCAGTTCAAAGTGCTTTACAAGAGTGCAGAAAAGTTATTGACGAAAAAGTAGTTTATAAAAATCATTGATAAAATCATTGAGAGACTAATGCACACCAATAAGAATTAAAAAAATATGTATAAAAATGAAAAAATAAAATACGACACATAAAAGCAATAAGATATTAAAATGAATACATAGGAGAGGAATATTTAAAATTGTAGTCGGATAAATACAATAATGTTAAGATTTTAGAATTTGAAAGAAGATATTTTTGCCAATAAATGTTATTACCATGTTTTAGTATTTACTGTATATTGGTATCAACAGATTGGGGATAAGAGTGTAAGATATGTTCTGTGAAATGTATTCAGCTTCATGATATCCTTATATTATTTAATCGGTCCTTATTGTGTTATATGTTATTTTTTTAAATGAAATCGTCTTGTATTGATCTATTTTAAGGACAATTTGGCTTTAGGCGAATCCCCAACTTGTGTTTTAGAAACGCCTTTGTGAATAATAGATGCAGCACTGACATCACAGGGTTGTGTGTGTTGGGGTGGATTTCCCTTTTACTCAGTCGGGGACTTACAGCGACAGTTAGCATAGCAGATAGCACCAGCAGCGTTTGCAGAAAGAAGCGTCTCCGAGCTGCTGAGGGAAGAGGAGGCGACAAAAGGAAACAAGGAGAGGAAGAGAGGGAGGGAAAGAGGGGGAAAGGAAGAAGACCACCCGGCCGGCAGGATATTACTTTGTACTAATAAAAAAAAAAAGAAGAGGAGACGGGTCGTCCTCTCCTCTTCGGACATGTGGAAGAAGCAGTAGCAGCACCGGAGGAGGAGGAGGAGGAGGAGGAGGAGGAGGCTGTGGTGGTGGTGGAGGTGGTGGTGGTTACGCAGCGTAATCTACTACGTCTTCTTCTTTTGTCTATTTTTTGCGATTTTGTTGTCCTTCGGTTATGAGCTTGCTCGGGGCCTACAAGAAAAAGACCAGTTACGATGGCTATGAATCTTTGCAGTTGGTCGATAGCGGGGGAGAGAGCTTCAACATCGGCAGCAGCAGCGGCGGCAGCAGTGGCACACTCGCGGGCTCCATAGCGGCCACTCTTGGACCGAAGGCAGGCCCGCTGAGAGAGGAGGACTGCAGCACCATGGACAGCTCAGGTAAGAGTCCCCCCCGCCCCCAACCATAGACTGTAAAGACCCAACGCGTCTGCATGCTGACGTGGAGTAAGATGTGGTGACTTTACGCAGTAATAACAATGGTTAACAACAGTGAAACTATATGATGCTATGCAGCCCCCCTGGAATCCCCATCTTGGCTTATAATGGCTCCATTAGACCCCACCTACATGTTTACATGGATTATTATCGTACACGGGACAGGTTTAAGCACGGGTTAAATTGTCTGGCAAGTCATTTACATTTAGGCCCACAAATCGACTTAATGATATATTTTAGCTTTGAAAAGTATCAAAAAGTCTTTGTAGACATGAATTTAAAATACATGAGGTGTGTAATTATGTAGATATTGAAAAATGTCAGCCAATTCTCATTGTGCCTTCTGGAACATTTTTGGATAAGTTACAGCTTTCTAGATAAATTAACTGAAAAACTGTTCAAAACGATGTTTTAAAAAGCCCTTTTGTATAAATAAGCACATCAAATACTGTGTATCGAAGGGCCAAAATATATTGAAATATGTATTTAATCTAATTTCCAGGGCTAATTTTTTTTCACGACCTCAACCAGGTCATAGAACAACCTTGTTCTCTTAGTTTTTGCTTTGTTTTTTTGTTGTTTCCTGTCAAAGCGTCTTTGAGTATTTAGAAAAGCGTTATATAAATCTAATTTATTATTATTATTATTATTATTAATATTAATAATGGTCATAGTGGGCAGGGCTTGTTTACATTTGTCTTAGTTTCTTAGAAATAGAGTCAGATTGACAGAAATCTTTCTACAGGAAGTAGACATCCATGTGACCTGTGTACACTATTTCAAATAATATGCACAAAAATGTTCAAATTTTCCAACCTTTTTCAGTGACCTTAATGTTTATATTTGGTCGATTGTATGCAGTGGACATGTTAAGGCATGTCTGTTCAGCCTCAGACCTCATGGTACTCTTTATGTATGAAGTATCAAACAGTCTGGATGTTTACATTCACTCTGTATTTTGTGATAGTAAAGAATATTTAACATTAAATGCACAAATATATAATTTTACTGTCAACAAACTACACTTCACAAGTCCTGCACGTTTTCCTATTGTTGATTTAATCAGACCAGTATCTAAACATTTATAGACATTCATTTGACATATATCATGAGGGTTATATATTTAAATATATGCATTTATATATAAGTACATAGTATATGTTTTATTGTGCATAATATATTACAATATGTGTTGGGATGGTAAATAAATCCTGATTCAGTTTCAGACAGCAGACGCCCCAAAAGTTTAGTCAAATGGCCTTGAATGATCGATTATTATAAAGCTAATAATACGATAAAAAAAAAAAACATGCTAAATAATGCTACAGTCGCACGCTGTGATCCACCTGTTTACCATTTATCTGATGACACATCCCCAACATGCTCTGATGGATTCAGTCACATTAAGTCATTCATTTTGACACTTCATCCTCATTATGATCACTTCTGTTCTGTCGACTGAGATTCATAAATCATAGTAGATCATGTTTCTACTGCAACCATGACTCTACTATTACTTCTATAATTGTAAAAAAAGTTAAACTGTTATATTAGTATTTATTTATTCATCATGGCAAATGTTGAGTTTCAAATAACATCTTTATATCTAAACTTTTAAATTAATTCCTGTTTCTTAACAATCAAAGGGCCAAATTGAGATGATAAAAGGGGCCAGATCAGACTAATAGATAGCCGATAGAATAGATCTGGTGTGGAGTGTGTCCTGTGTTCACCTCACTGCAGTGCTCAGTGAAGTCAGCCCACCTCCTGGGGTGTAACACTCATGTGAAACAAAAGATGAGGAAGGTGGGAGTGCGCTCAATGAGGAAAGGGGGGATTGGGGTGGAAGTGGACGGGGTGGTGGGCTCCAGTGTCAGATGTCTGTCTGCTCTGCCAAGCATTTTTTTTGGATGGTCTCTTTCATGTGTGTGTGTGTGTGTGTGTGTGTGTGTGTGTGTGTGTGTGTGTGTGTGTGTGTGTGCCCGTCCCTGTCTGTGTCTGCCCCATTCACACAAAGCCTGATACTGTGGGTTAAAGGTTGCCACTCCAGAAGGAGAGAGACACATTCAAACAAACCATGGATCTCTCTCTCTAGCAAAGCCAAGAGCTCTCTCTCTCTCTCTCTCTCTCTCTTTTTTTGTTGGGTTGATGTCCCGCTCCCTCTCTTTTAGTTTTAGTGAGCAGCTGGGCTTTGCTGCTGGATTACCTGGCTGATTTCTCAGCCTCCCCTGGTGTCTTTAATAGCAAGGTTTGTCACTGTAACTGGCTCTGCAGTCTGCGCACTCCCACATCCATCTGGCCTCAGAAAAAAGGGAGGCACACAAACCAACAAGTCGGCAGATTTACACAGATATGAAGCGATGACGATGAAAAGGAGAAGCAAGGGAGCTTACTAAGTGAGGAGCAAAGGTGTGAATCCTTCACGCACACACAGTAGATATTACTGATTTAAAACAGCATCATCAAAGGGACATAGAAGGAGATGATGCAACATGGAAGACCCAGATGGACAAAAACAAATAAACAAAACAGATTATTTTTGTATTTTTAAGAGATGATCCAGTAGAGACGGCAGTTATTCAAGAAAGTTCATATCCATCGCATGACAATATGACCACATTTAGAAATTAGCTACTTCTTATTTCTAATTCATCTCCTCATGGGTTTAAACCTGCATGGAAAAGGTCCCAAGCCTCTGGTAACACCCATGGAGGACTTTTAACATGAATCTAAAGGGGTCATGAGTTGCAAATAGGATAGAAAAGATGAACATATATTCAAATTTATATCCTTTTTTTTTTTTTTGTGACTTGTGAAATACCAGAACGTTTTACATCTCCTATTCCAATCCCATTTACAAATAGACGTAAAGAAGCTTGATTTATTTGAAAGTTCTAAAAGAAAATTAGAAACATAAATATCAAAATAATAAGTCCTTTCAAGCCTAAATGCAAATAGAAGTAGGATATGCAAAATGTTTGAGATGAATCGCACAGACAGCTGTTGAGTTTTTAGAGGGAAGTTATACTCAGAGTTCTTCCTCTATTGCTGCGTATTGCTAAATACACTATTTTTTATTCTTTTAAGGTAAAATGTTTGTGATGAATATCCTTTGTTTTGATTTTAAGGCACTCATATGAAACTTCCTGTGAATAGGGACAGGTTGTCTCACCTCTCAGTGGCCTAGTTTGTCATTTTATAGATAAGAATAAAAGCCAGCCTGACTCTTAAAGTCATGGGTGTAGTTTGTTATGCAGACCCTGCGGAGGCTCTGTCTGCAGTTTCTCTGCACCTTGGCTTCCTATTGGGGGTTAAGACCGTGACCATGAACGACAACATTGCTGGTTTAAGTCAGTCTGGGTGCACTCATTGCATATCAATGCCCGTCTCTGTCGTTCTTATTCCCCGTCTGCTTGTCAAAATAAATGACACAGTCCCTTCACATTTTATGATAAAAAAACGACCTGTTCAGTCCTTGAGAGTGAACACATGTATGTGCTTGGTTTTGTTGGTTTTATGCACATGATGCAGTGAAGCCACAGTGCATCACAGAAATACAATGGAGACCAGATTATGGTTTAATCTGGATCTATAGGTTCACTACAATGTGCTGCGATATAAAGACATCATGGACTTTTAGGGGATTAGTCCAGACATCATAAATGATCATACTAGGACAGTGCTCCAAGAAATTTCAGACTTTGTCGTCAGTTAATAAATCTGCATCAGCTGACTGAACAAAAAACAACACATTTGTTTGCAGCCTCAGATAAAACAAAAAAAACTGGCTTTAAACCTTTCAGTACTCAACAATCACACATCTTCAGCTCTGTAAACCCAAGCCTCCAAATCCCAGATAGGGGACTATTTAGGTGGGTGAATTATGTCCCAAGAACTTGATTTGGACCGTTGACTTAATGGAAATAAATGAAGTTCCTCTAAAGGTCCTAGTCACTGGGGAAAGTTCTTGCAGTGGAAATCTGGCTTTTAATGGAGAGCCCAAATCCAGGCATGTAAGAATTTAAAATTGAATTGACGACTTAACTGTAATCTGGCACCTTCAGTTCATCTTCTTATAATGTGTCACGCTTTAAGCAGTCTGTTTGCAGCAACTGCCTGCCAGTTCAATACTCCTTTGCTTTAGCAGTTCATTAGATATTAATTGTACACTCATTGTCTCATTAGGAGAATCTATATCATTTATCAGATGAGTGTTTTGCAGGCCCAGGATAAAAACTGTCCTTTAACTGTGCCGTAGCTTTGAGAAAGAATTCTATGTTGTGTGTTCACTTCCTTCTGTGATATCAAACGAGGCAGAATATTGAGAGAGAAAGGTTTGGAGCTGTAGGAGGAAGGAGACATATTCCAGGACAAACTCGTCCCTGTAGAAATAACTAGAACTGTCTCTCCTTTTCTTTTTCTCTCCCTCTGTCTTCCTTGTCTACCTTGTTTTTCCTCCCATCACTGCAGCTGCCCCTTTAAAGTGTCAACATGATTGGCAGATCCAGGCTGAACTTATTTAGCTCTCGCATTTCAAGGCAGAGCAAGATCCAGGTTTTCCTATAATGCGCTGTGTCACGCTCACCGGCTGGGAAATTTGCATAGTAAGATGGTTTAAAAATAGAGCCTGGTGAAACAGCAGTTTGCACAGCTCAGTATAGTCATGCTTAGTATGACAACATGTCAAATCAGTAGTTCAACATTTTGGGAAAATAAACGTTCCTTCTTGCAGAGATTTAGGTTCTAAGATTGGAACCACTCCAATGTCTGGAGGTAAAAAGTAGAGCTAGAAAAGCAGATGAGCTTTAAGCTTAGCATTTAAATTGGAAAAAACGGCACTAAGAAATCTTGCATTTAGATTTCATTTCTGTTTCAAAGGAGAAAGAGACATCATGTGTTAATTGAAGATATTTTCTGTAGAGGTGCTGGAGAGTATATGAGGTTGCTGTTTAACAGATGTCTTTTCCGTCTTTAGTAAGCGAAGCTAACAACCTGCTGACTGTAGCTCCACATCAGCGTGAAGACATGAGATTGATTTTGACCTTTTATTCCGACCCCTGTGGCAGAAAACGAAAGAGCAGAGTCCTCAAATGTAAAAGCTGTGATTATATTGCACTGGACCAGGATATAATCACAACAATTACATTATTTAGAACTGAATTCACTCGACTGTAGAGTTAAGAGGGATGCCTTATGTTTAATAGACAGAACAGGCGTGTTGTTGAGGAGCTCAGTATGCTTCATCTCATTGTGGACTCTCTGCTGTACAGAGGAATAAAGATTAGACCTGTTTCCACCAAGTGGTCCGGTTTGGTTCAGTACAGTTTAGTACGGTAAACCCTGATTTCCACAGCCAACTGTACCTTTACACATCACTAAATCACAGCGGCGCGACATCGTGTAGACCGCCAATAAATTCATCAAAGACGAAGAATGTGACACAGTAAACCGGGATCAATTGTTCCTAAGAAGGTCTGCATCTCCAAGGTCGTATACGGGACGTTGCGACGCGCCAACAATAGTCGCAAAAACCTTCAAAAAGCCTTCAAATGACTCTCAAAATCCACAGGATATTTAAACATGGTGCATTTTGTGTTTGTCCTTTATTACCGCTGTCGAACAGGAAGTGACGATTCTTTTGACCAATCATGAGACTCCAGTGTGTCTAGCTCCACCCTCTAGGGTTGGATCTGTATGCTAAGCACCCCAACAGAAGGGTACCAAGAAAGTAGAACGCTACGGGCCCCGTTTCCACCAAGCAGTCCGGTTTGGTTCAGTACAGTCCAGTTTGATTCAGTCCAGTTTGGTACAGTTTGGTACGGTAAACCCTGACCTTGCGTATCCACAGCCAACCGTACTCTTATTTGATAAGCGGAGTGTAAGCCAGATGGAGATAGGTGTGTCAGCTATGTAATAGTGTGACATCATAGAAGCTATTAATTAAGTAAACGTTCAAGAAGAACAGGGACACAGTAAACAGGGGATCTTTTAGGGTCGGATTGGTACCCTTGGCACGCCAACAGAAGGGTAACAAAAAAAGTAGGCCGGTACGGATCCCTTATTTTCAGTACCCTTCCCAACTTTTGGCAGTGGAAACGCTAATACATGTGTACCTTACCAAAATAAAACTGAACCGGACCGCTGTCATATGTAAAAAAAAAAAAACCCCGCTGGCAGCTGAAGATTGCAATGTTTAAAGCCTGGATGTGATTCCAGAGGTGTAAAAGTCTTAACATAAAAGGTACCGGTTAAAAGAGGCTTTACAAGGAGTGATGATTTGTTTCTGTTAATAGCTTTTGATTTATATGACTTTCACAAGGTTGAGTCAGTCCAACTAGAGAGTTATTTCATTCACTTTTTTTCCCCCGATGCCACCATTGGTACAATCTAATAACTGTGTGTGCGTGCCCATTAAATTCAAACATTTCTCTGACTTTGTTGGTCAAATCTGATTTAACATTATGAGTTTTGTGAATTTCTAAAGGATCATATGCTGTTTGAGTTCAACAAGAATGAGCTTTTCTATTCAGTAAAAAACATTCTGTCAGGTCTGTGCAGTCAAGAGAGTCTAAATATAGACATCAGTGAAGAATTGTCTCGAGTAACTTCACAGGAAAAAGAAGAGAACCAGTTTGGAAAAAGGAGAGGAATGGAGCAATCAGAAGTAGACAAAGAGTGATGTTTGTGATAGAGAAGAAAACAGTGACTTTACTGTTTATTTATTAATCAGGAACATTTTTCTCACCCTCCAGATTCTCTCTAGAGAGACTCACTCAGACAATGTTTGTAATGTCTTTGTTTGAGTGTGAAAGTCTGCTAGTAAAAATCAACAATGTGTGCTTCCATTGCAGCACAAATGTTTTCTAAACTATGACAAAACTGGCAACTTTCAAAATGTTAATTTCTTCGACACAGAGAAAAAATATGACAGCTTTTCCCTCTGGAGATTGATAAAGAATTTCTCATTCTGATGCTTTGTGGAGTGTTTTCGATGCATTTATGAAGAACAGCTTCTCTGGTTGTGGTCACAGCGTCTCACTTGCATACAGCCAAAGTGTCTTGTAATAGCCAAATATTCCTCTTTGGTGATGTATTGAGTGGCAATAATGTCACAAAAACTTCAGCTCAACACAAGCTAATCTCATTATAATTAACCATTTGCGTCACTTCCATATTAGCAAGGCAAAGTAGGCTGGCACAGTGTTTTTCAGTTCACCTTTTTACTAACCTTAATCAAATGTATCGGCAAGATTCTGCCTTCTTCTGGATTTTGAGAAGCTCCCAGTTTACATGGTGTTGCCAGTTTCTTCCATTAGTGACTGACAGCTTTATATAAGGGGGTTCTGACTCATAGCGTCTGTAGCGAAGCTGTAAGGTATGCTTCAGATATATTATAGTCAGTATGGGCTGCTTGTGTTTTTCCTTGAAACCATTGCTCACTGCACCATGAAGGGGATAACAGAATGTTAATACCACCAGATGTTGTATCAGTTTCACTGTATATCGAGTTATAAAACGCTGCAGATCTTTGATTATATATACACCATATTGAAGGTAAACACAGGTACTGTTGGGAATGTAACGATAGCGTTAGCTTTCCATGCTAAGTTAACACAAAGACTGCACTCTCCTTGTGTCAAATGCACACAGACTGTAGACTTCTAAGTTGATTTTATGCGGAAACAAAAAAGCACAAATCCCAGCTGTGTAAGCCCAACTCAAAGCTCTGGAGTTATTTTCAAAGATTCAAAGAGTTAAAGAACTTTTTAATGAGTCCACTCCAGATGCTTATGGGGTTTGACTCGTTCTGACTCTATCATGCTGAAAAATCCCTGTTGAGTTTGTTTTTCTACTTCTGCAGTGTGTTAAATGTACATTTCTCAGCACCGCCGAGTTGCATCTCGAGTGATCTACTGTGGTTGCTCTTTGTGGATATATAAAGTGTAGAGGAAGAGAGAGAGAGAGAGAGAGAGAGAGAGAGAGAGAGTGAGAGAGCGAGAGAGCAGGATTGAAAGTGAGATAGTGTGATAGAGAGAGAGAGATTGTGTACTGTCCGAATATTTGGACAAATTGTATTTTTATGCTTTGGCAACGACAAGATACTTTGATGCCAATAAAGCCCATTTGAATTGATATGAGATAGGAAGAGAGGGAGAGCGAGAGAGAGAGAGAGAGAGAGAGAGGGGAGGAAGAGAAAATCTCAGACCAGCAGAGGGTTGCTGACTAAGCTGTGACACTTGAGTTCAATTCAACACTTGCTTTCTCTTTACAGTGTACTACACACACATACACCCACACACACACATACCCAGCAAAACACAGCTCTAGTCGGTGTGTGTCTGGTCCCATGCGTACTTATCCGTTCTGCCTTCACACCTACACATGTGTTTACTTTGTATGTTGTGCAGTGACTCATCTCTTCAACTCTTAAGTCAAATGAAAAGCTCTAAAATCCAGTTAGGAAATCAAAGGATCACATCTATTCAGTTCAGATAGTGTAAATAATTAATCACATCATCTGCATAGAACATCATTTTTCATCATTTTATCCATAAGAAACGTAGGATAGCATCTTTTCTTTAACTCACTTCTCTGTTGTTTCACTCTGGATACTGACTGTCTAAATGTCCTCTGTCTCCAGATATGGACGCTAATTATGGAGGAGGACTGTTGGACATGGTGAAGGGAGGAGCGGGGAAGTTCTTCAGCAACTTCAAGGACAACTTGAAAGACACGCTGAAAGACACCTCCACAAAGGTCATGTCTCAGGTCTCCACGTAAGTTGCATCTGTATCATGTACACAGTGTGAATTCATGTGCTTCTGCATTGCACCTAGTGAACTGCAGCTTTAGTATTGACTACTGTTACTCAAATGTTACTTTGCAGACTTGGACATGTTATTACTTCTGGTTTAGTGCACAGAGATTTGGAGACTTGCATGGGGTAGTTACCCTTATCCCTGATACAAACTGCTGCTGAAGGATCTAAAAAGGGGAAACTAGAAGTTGAAGAAGCTAAAACAGTCTGTGGTTAACACAAGCTGAAGAGATGTCGGTGTTTTGTTATACCACATAAACTACGTTAGGTAATACCTCCACTTGTGAAGTTTGAAGTTTTTACTCGTCTTTAAAAAGGCGGTTGCTAACAAGCGGCTAAATGTGACTACAGTGGTTGTCGGGGACATTAAAGGTCATCACGCCGGACACAGAGGGCGGGAACTCTCTCACTAGTCGGAGATGTCTCCTGTAGGTTTAATCTTTAGGTTAAGGTGAATATTATGTTAGTAAACTATTTATTAAGCTACGTGGATTAGTTTATCGGAGATCGTCTGAAGCATAACGCTAGTGACGTCACAATCATCCCACCGTGGTGTAGTTAGCTTGTAGTATAACGTTAGCTTTTTACTTCTGTCAGCCGCGTTAACGCTTCAAACATCATAAAAATGACGTTCATCTGTGAAGATTATCCTGCTGAACAAAACGCCTACGCTTCAGAAACGTGTGTTTGCCACAGACGATCCAAAATCCAATCAAAAATCCCGTAAGGCGAATTCTCGTTAGACCTCATGGCGATGCTACTCCCGGGTTGGCCTACAAAAATACGTCATATGGTTTGTTCTCTATAGGCTGGAGAGGTCAGAAGTGCAGATATGAATGAGTAATAAGTCAGTTTAGCACTGTGAGGTCGACAAATTTGAGAGAAATGTTATGAAATCTTTGGTTGTCAATTAGAAATACGGTCTTTGATTGCATCCTGTCACGAGAGTTAGCCCTATTTCTGACGGTATCTTGATTTGTTGACAAAAATCTCGCTGCATAACCGATGCTCTTATTATTTATTTTCTTTCAGGCTAGTTCTAAGTGGACTTCTGCTGCATTTTTATTGCATTATCATTACATCTGAAATGCTGTAATACTGATAACTTTGCGGGAATCGATGTTGCACATTGTGACATGTTCAAACAACATTAACCAGGACATAAATATTAAATCACAACTACCTGTAGGATTTTTAAAAACAAATCTAAATGCAGTATTATAGAATTGGGAGCAAATGAGAGCATACAAAAAAACACAAGTTCTGACCTCCCAGTCGCTCCCCACACTTGATATTTTGAAAGTCCCTAACAAGCGTTCACCTTAATAATTATTATTATTATGAAGAACAGAAAAAGGAACTTGTGTATTGAAATAGTTGGATCTTGCAAACGTGAATCTCATCTATATAACACTGGTGGTAATTACTTTGATTGACTGAATGTTGTTTCAGCTGCTGATCCGGTGTAAAGTGAGTCTCCATCAGCTTTTTGAAGGGAAACAGAGCAGTAAAGATGGAAGGAGGAGAGAGGGAGGGTAGCGGAGTCTGGCACGGCTCGCTCGCCCCAGTGTGTTTGTGCACAGGCATCTGCACGGGGCAGAACAAAGGGGCCTCTGTATTGTCAGATAACACACACATACTCTCTCTCTCTCACTATTGACTCAGCAAGTTTGATTCTGTTTATTCCCCTCCTCTGCTGCTCACATCTTAGCAGACTCGCACTCTTGTCCTGTTGTCCCCTTTTGTGTTCTTCGGCCTCTCATCTCTGCTCCACCTATCCCTCCTCTCCTCTCCTCTCATTGCCGTCTATTTCTCTTCTCCTGTCTGAATTATTCATGGCGGTTCATTGTGCCAAATGGCCAGTGCACTGCTGATACAGAAGGATTCATTTCATTAGGGCCCTGTTGTGTGGCGGTGTGTGTGTGTGTGTGTAGGCTGTAGATGTACCTGTGAGCAGGTGGATGGGATAATTTGGTGGAGGCTACCAACTGAAAGCCTCTATGGGAAGCTAGATATGCAGAGATATAAAAACATGCCAGACTTCAGCCAGAGTGCTCGGACAGGTTTCTTTGGTGTGTGTCAACATTGACAATCCCGCTGCTGTGTGTGTGTAACATTGAATATTTATTTTAAAACCGCAGAAGCAGAAGCAAGGACTGTGACAAGACAAATAATTTAAAGGTTAAGGGTTGGACTCTGTAGTTTATTGCACTTATAAATAAGTAAACACATCTCATGAGCTGAGCTTTATACCATTGGCTTGCTACGTAGTTTAGTAGATCTAGAGTGCATTTAAAGGTATAATGGTCGTGTTATAATGACAGTGTATTATGGTTTTCTCAGTCGTGCCCATCAACCTTTGGCTGCGTTGCTTCGTCAGAGTTTAACTTGGAAACGAATCAAACAGTTGGCAAACAATAGTGAGACATTTGAGACAAACTGCAGGATGTAGTGATATTTCTAAGAGGAAGGCATATCTCTCTCTCCTTCTGCAAACAATGGTAATTCAAGGAAGTGTGTAAGTAAAATGACTTGTCAAAGGGATCACTAATACTAGTGACCCCACAAAGGATTGGCCAACTCCCCCCTCAGTTCCCCCTCAGCTTTAAGGAGCTTTAAAGTATATTTAAAGGCTTTATATGCGATTTTCTTGATCCAGCAGATGTCGCCCTTGAGCACCAGTATGAAACCAAAACAACTCGCCCTGCATTGTTGTGTTAGCATGCTAATGCTAGCGATCTTTATTATGCTGGTATCTTCACACTGCATGTAAATTTACCTGAAATGAGCGTGATCTAGAAACACAGTTAAGCAGTGAGTACAGTATGTTATTCTTCTTTTCTCTAGTCCCTCAATTAAACAACTTTTATACACGAGGGGAGGAGTCAGCCAGCCGTCCCGGCGATGTAAACAAGCTGAAGATAGGACTCTGAAAACTCTGAAAGCATCACAGACAGTGGGACTCGGGTGTTACACCCATTGTAGACAGTCATGACTCACAGAGTTATTTTCAGAGGATATACTTGATTTATATTATATGTAAGTATATAAAGCCTTTAAGGTCAATGGTTTGGTTTTAAAGTTTGCAACTTTTCATTCAGTTTCATTTCAGTTTATTGGCTTCTTTAACACTTCAGAAGAAATCCCCCTGAGTGAGTTGGATATAAGGGACAAACCTTACTGGCACAGTTATAGGCCCCTCATTCACCCAAACTGTTTTTTCTCTCCACTTCTGTGTAATATATAATCAAGGCGAAACGCTGTTGCTGAATTATTTAAAAGCAGCCTGCTTGTTTGTTTACCTGGCTGGAGGGGAATTTTTGCAGGGGAAACAAATCTGGCAACCACGCTCAACTGTGTGTTCCTCTGTCTGTGGGAAACGGCACGTCTATGTAGTCTGGATGGCTGATCAGGGTTTGTGAAAGGCACTGTGTCCTTGCACCCAGTCTGCACCCCGCCCCACCCCCACCCCCACACACCAGACAAACATTCTGCTTTCTATTCAGGCTCTTTCACATTTAAAGTTTTTATCCTTCCTCTCTCACTTTTAACGTCACTTCTCTCTTGTCCTTGTTAATTCTTTTTTCTGTCTTTTCCAGTAGCTGACATACAGTATGACCATCGCTCCATTAACATAATCTCTTGTGACATTATTATTTAAATCAAACAGGATCGTAGTATTGACCATATTCACCCAGCAGCCATTATCTCTGACATTTGGAAGCTTAAATTCTGTAAAAAAAAAAAGTTCTACTGTTTGTTTTAAGTCATAAGAAAATTAGGGTGGGCCCTATCTGACAACTCTATATTTTTACTGCTTCTCTTTTCATCAACAACTGAAAGGACAATTTGCAGTAAACGTTTGTGGTAAAAAAAAAAAAATTTCAACATACTTTAAGGTTTTTGATCACTCACTAGCTTAAAGTCTTTCTATGTGATTTTTCTCACTTAAATATAATATAAATCAAGTATATCCTCTGAAAATAACTCTGTGAGCCATGACTGTCTACAATGGGTGTAACACCCGAGTCCCACTGTCTGTGATGTTTTCAGAGTTTTCAGAGTCCTATCTTCACTTTGTTTACATCGCCCGGACAGCCGGCTGACTCCTCCCCTCGTGTATAAAAGTTGTTTAATTGAGGGACTAGAGAAAAGAAGAACAACATACTGTACTCACTGCTTAACTGTGTTTCTAGATCACGCTCATTTCAGGTAAATTTACATGCAGTGTGAAGATACCAGCATAATAAAGATCGCTAGCATTAGCATGCTAACACAACAATGCAGCGCGAGTTGTTTTGGTTTCATGCTGGTGCTCAAGGGCGACATCTGCTGGATCAAAAAATCGCATATTATTCCTTTAAATCGGACAACAGCTAACATTAGCATAAAGTAAGGTACTAAGAAAGAAAGTCCTAGCTACCGTAATGTCTTAGCTAACGTATTGTTGGCTACAAAGATGTTGAATCGTAGCATTAGCCTTTTATAATAATCTGTAATTGGCAAATATGTTGTTTAACGTTGAAATACCTCCGATACCTCCAGAATTTCGCAATCGTTTTTATTTTTTTCAGTTTCACTAACATGATAAAAAGTACCGTATATGCTAGGTTTATTTACATGATGCTAGTTGTAAAAACACAAATAGAAAACTATATATAATAGCATTTGAGAGCATGACATAATGAATAAAATATTTCCCTGTAGGCTTAAATATGGTGAGTGTGGACAAAATGAATGTGAAGAAAATGTAATGTGTAGTGGGACGTTTTGGCAGCATTTTTTTGTATGAGAGGAAGTCTTTTCATCAGGCCTCTGTGCAGCAGAGTGTAAGTAATATTTGGCCACTCCTTTTTGTTTTATTACCCTTATAGTGGTGGACTCTCTCTTCTTTAACTTGCTGCTTACGGAGCAGATGTGGTCCGCCATTAAATGGCTGTTCTAAAAAGTCAGTAAATGGAGAATTTAGGAGAGAAGCATGGGGGGAATGTAGAAAGCTAAATCGAATGTCCATTGGGGATCTAACCCACTTATAACGTGTTTGTTTGAGTGTGTGTGTGTGACTTGGCTACCTCTCCTCTGATAATGTGGCCTAAAGTGGCTTTCAGGCTCCTAGTGTGAATTTCAAGTAGGAAACAACAACAGGCAGTGTGGTGCTTGTGGGTAGCTGCATGTGTGTGTGTTTGTTGTCGTCCTTTTGCACCCACCATGAATTCTTCAAATGCTAGAACTGAATTTTATACTTCAAGCAGCTGTAACACTGTGACATAAGAAAGAGAAGTAGTTTGCTCCCTATCAAACTAGTTACAAAATAAGAGTACACAGAAGTATAGGGTGACCATTTGCCCATCTGAAAGGCTTTAATGTGATTATTCACACTTAAATATAATATAAATCAAGTATATCCTCTGAAAATAACTCTGTGAGTCATGACTGTCTACAATGGGTGTAACACCCGAGTCCCACTGTCTGTGATGTTTTCAGAGTTTTCAGAGTCCTATCTTCACTTTGTTTACATCGCCAGGACGGCCGGCTGACTCCTCCCCTCACGTATAAAAGTTGTTTAATTGAGGGACTAGAGAAAAGAAGAATAACATACTGTACTCACTGCTTAACTGTGTTTCTAGATCACGCTCATTTCAGGTAAATTTACATGCAGTGTGAAGATACCAGCATAATAAAGATCGCTAGCATTAGTATGCTAACACAACAATGCAGCGCGAGTTGTTTTGGTTTCATGCTGGTGCTCAAGGGCGACATCTGCTGGATCAAAAAATTGCATATAAAGCCTTTAAGATAGTAATGACACTGCTCTAACATGGGAATTCATAGAATAAACCGAAGATGAATGTCATGTAACGCATGCTTTAATTTACTCTACAGCCTTGATTAAAACAACTGCTCCTGACTTATTTAACTGTGAACTAATACTTTAAATTTATTAGCAATACATTAGCCTCAGACTACTCAAACAGTGGTGAGTAGTTGTGTCTATTTAAAGACATATAGTGCTCAATCATGGGCACTTGGGGATTTAATTAAAGATAGTGGTGAGTATAAGGAAGGCCTACCCTTAAAAACCTGCTTCAAGGCACATTTTAGTTTTAGCTGCATGCCCCTTCCCTCATTTTATTCTCCGCACATCTTGCACTGCATTTTAATTGGCTGCAGTTTTTAACCTCAAGAGGTCTGGGAGAATGCTTGTTTGTAAACTCCATGGCTATTGGCCATGACCATTTAAACCCGACAGCTGACCTGCTTTCTCTCCTCTTAAAGCCAGGTAGCTATTTCTGGAGAAGAAGCGGATAAACCACGGATTTACACACCGCACTCATCGTGCCACTCCAGTTTAGGCCTGGATTTAATTAACATGTATAATTAAAGGCCGAGTTTCTGATACACTTCTTTTTGCAAAAAAAAAAAAAACTCACATTAAGGTTATGTTTTTTTTTTTTTTTCAACTTTATAGTGGCTTAAATATAAGTATGCAGTCCAGCTACTCCCCTTTAATGTCACTCTGTGAATGCTTCATTGCACTGCTCACTATTTCACTATGATACATAAAAATGATGATTGTTTTAGAGTTGCCACATATGCACCTTATCCAACATGCAAGACTATAGAAAATCCCTAGACACATTTAGATCTTCCTCTAACTCCAAAGCAGACTAGTTGAGTCTCACTACATTACATAAGCAGGTCTGGGATTGCATCAGGGCCATATGGCACTCCTCCATGACCACACAGAGATGACTGGCCCAGATCAGCCGTGCTTGGGGGATTTTCACAGTAGGCAACAACTCAACTCAATCTGAAACACATTAGCCTACTAATGTGTTTTGTTTGATAATCCCGGGGCAGAAGGTAGTCATGCGGTCTGAAGTAAAAAAAAAAAAAAAAGAAGTAATGTATTTAACTCTTAAAACAAACTCTTATTTTAAGACTTTACATTTTATATTTTCAATTCCACATGGATACTCTTTGTGAAGTCCATTTTTTAGCGTGTTATACAAGTTTTAAGGTAACTCTGGATTTTTCTTAAAGTCTTTCTATGTGATTTTTCACATTTAAATATAATAGAAATCCAGTATATCCTCTGAAAATAACTCTGTGAGTCATGACTGTCTACAATGGGTGTAACACCCGAGTCCCACTGTCTGTGATGTTTTCAGAGTTTTCAGAGTCCTATCTTCACTTTGTTTACATCGCCAGGACAGCCGGCTGACTCCTCCCCTCGTGTATGAAAGTTGTTTCATTGAGGGACTAGAGAAAAGAAGAATAACATACTGTACTCACTGCTTAACTGTGTTTCTACATCACGCTCATTTCAGGTAAATTTACATGCAGTGTGAAGATACCAGCATAATAAAGATCGCTAGCATTAGCATGCTAACACAACAATGCAGCGCGAGTTGTTTTGGTTTCATGCGGGTGCTCAAGGGCGACATCTGCTGGATCAAAAAATTGCATATAAAGCCTTTTTCTTAAAGATATTTAGGTAACTAATATTTTTGTAATTGTGACATCATATTGTGTATTTTAAGAAGAACATTTTTTAAAGTTTGATAAAAGCAAATCATAACACTTCACTGTTTCATAGTGTTACATATTCACTGTTTTCTATCCCTTCTCTGGTTGCTACAGTAGTGAAGTCCTTGTATGAGTGTGCACTGCAGCTGCTTTCAGAGTTTTTAAAAGAAGCTCCATGTGGAATTGCTAAATTCAGCAATGAAGGCAATGATGCTCAGTTGCAGAATTCACATATGGTGCTCCTTTGATCTCGAGCGGTTCAGCCTAGTGTGGTGAGCCTGAAAAAGACACAGTCAGGCACATGGAGGCTTCTGCTCTGAAGCCTGTTGAGTCTAATTACTTGTATCTGCATGACATGCAGCCTGCTGCACGGAGCGCCGGCGGCAGAGAGCACAGTCAACCTTTTGGATGTTGGGTTGGCATGCATTGATCTCCTTTGTTTCATGATGTTTTTGAATAACACGGCATTAACAAATGTCACAATTATCAGAGAACAATGAACTGGTGCACAGGTAGCCTAGTGGTTAGATTGTGCGCCCCATGTACGGGGGTTGTAGTCCTCCAAGCGGGCAGCCTGAGTTTGAATCTGACCTCTCTTCCTGATTTCTGACTCTATCCACTCTGCAACCAAAAACATTATGAGGTCATAACCTGCCATCACACCTCAAATGATACTTAGTTTTAAGTTTTGGTTTTATGAGCAAAAAACAGATTTCCCCCTGGGATTAATAAAGTATTCTTGATTCTGATTCAGACTTTTGGAGGAACGTTTTGTATATTGAACATCTCTTTTTGGTCTTTAATGATATTTAGTGTCTAACTTATACTTTAGATCGTTCTTTAGATGTGGCATACTTACATGTATTCTTAAGGCATTGTTGCGTCCGTGAGCAGGCTCTTAGCATTTAAAAAAAAACATCCCTTATATTACTGTTACAGAGACTTGGGGACTGTGTTTATTTCATTAATACTGTGCTAATTTAAAACATGTGTTGTGTTGTCAATGGATTTTTACACTTTTGATAATGCCAATAGTCCTTAAAGCTTTTGCTTGTAATTATCTTTTTCTTTTCTTTTTTTGTTTTATTGCTGCACCAACAAAACTGCATTTAAAGAATCAGAAATAGTCTTCATTTGTTTTTGTGTTTGTTACAGGTACACCAAAGGGGAGCTGGACATTTCCTACATCACATCACGGATCATAGGTAAACACATCTGGTTTCAGCTGAAGGCTGTGTGCAGCTGTGTCGGGCAAAGATTTTCTTTTTTTGAGAGATCAGTGATCATTGAACATCAGAAACTACTCACAACCACCTAAAAACTATTAATGTAAAAGAAAAAATGCTGAGGTCATCATCAGCAATAATTTATCATTCAAAAAGTGAACTTAGCTTCTCTACGATCTTTTGTGTTTAGTTTGCTCAGATAAGATAGACGGTCTGAAAAAAATGAATCAAGTGTTCGTATTCTAAAACAGAAATGCATGGTGGGAATTAGTCATCTATTATCACAATGTTCTAAATATAAGGCCTAGTCCTGACCTAAAACGGTGTTTGCATGTGTACAAAAGGTCAAAATGCACAGAAATACCTTCGTTTTCAAAAATAATCACCTACATGCTGATTGGCCTAAAGCTCATTAAGAAGGGACACAATGCAGGAAACTCCACAGTACAGATTAGAAGACTGAAGTTTGTTACTCCTGTCTTATATCAGAGAACTCAGGCTTCTTTACGTCTCCTATGAGTGTACCAACTTTCCAAAAACATGCAGAGAGACCTGAGAACAATAAGCTTCTCCTTTGTCCTCTTTCTTATTCATTCATGCTCATCAGTGTGGAGCAGCAGTTTGACCTTTAGACAACACAGTGAAATGGTCATCTGTCTCCAGAGGGCATCTATCCCACAATGCTTTGTGTGTTAGCCGTGCTTCAATGCGGCCTGACGGTCCATCATTTAAAGTTTAAATTAATTTATACCAGAACAATAATATATCATGAACATCTTTTTCTCTCAGTGATGACCTACCCAGCAGAGTCCGTTCAGATCGGATACCAGAACCACGTGGAGGACATCCGCTCCTTCCTTGACAGTCGCCATGCCGACCACTACACTGTCTTCAATCTATCACAGAGAAACTACCGCGGCGCCAAATTCTCCAACAGGGTGAGTGTGACAGTTTGGACCTAGTTGTTAGTGGTCAAAGAATCTTTTTTTAAGCAGAGTGAAGCCTCTGATTGGATATTCAGAGTCCTATCATTTCTTGCCAACACACTGTGCATTATCACATGACACTATCATTTGAGCCTCTACAGAGTTAAGCATCCTTCTCATTATTTTGGTTTCAACGACAGGTTAAACTTTGGCTTTTAGTTACTTTCACCACTCCAGTCAGTGTCGCTTCAAGTTTCAACAAGTTGCTTCTTTTTTTTCAGCTCCTTTCATAAAGCTGCAGACTAAGCAAAACAAACAGCGTTCAGCAACTAGCGAGGGTGCATAATAGAATTCTTGGCAGCTTCAGACAAAGCTGTTTTTCCTCTGGAGATGAATAACAAAGCAAAAAGGAAAAATGATAATTATGTTTGCATTCATCAAGTTTCCAGAAACACAACTCCTATTGAATGGAGGCTTTGCTGTTTGTCTGCTGACTCTGTAATTATCCAACAGCAAAAACAGTATTTAAAAAAGATGATATTTTTTTTAAATGTTGCTGTGTTTTGACCTCCAGGGAGACTGTAGCATGCAAACAAATGTAGTAGTTATTACTTTATTATTTATGTTTTGACAACGTTTTAGTTTAGTGATAACTATTGTTAATGTACAGTAATATGAATTTAAGAGCTATGTGTCATGTTTTGTGATGTTTACAGCCACATTATTCTTCTGATTCATTGAAAGTTTGTTCAATCACTCTTCATGTGTATAGCGCCAATTCATAACAAATGTTGTCCACCCGTTCACTAAGGTCAAACACCCTACACCTGCTGTCTGTCCCGGCAGACACATTTTAAGACTCGTGGGGATCGTGTGTTTCAGTCCATAGCACCAATCCTCTAGAATTCTTTACCCATCTCGCTACGGCTCTCTGACTCTGTTGAGTCTTTTAAAAAACAATTAAAAACGTTGTTTAGACGGACCTATGGGTAATCAGGTCCGAAGTCGTCCATGAAGTATTCATTTTTTATTTTTTATTCTTTCATTGTGTGTATGCTGTTGTTGTTTTTTGTTGCTGTAACGTAAAGTACTTGGTGACCTTTGTCTGCGAAAAGTGCGATATAAAATAAACTTTCTTATTATCTCCAGACACTTAACAAAAGAGCAGGACAAAGACCTTACTCTTTGTTATATGTGCCGAGTGTGTCACCAATCACTATAGCTTACGTGTCTTAGCTCTCTGGGTGTACACAACCAAGAAGTAAATCAGTGAGGGAGAAGTGGCAGAGGAGTGAGGTGTTGTTTCTTATTGGAATCAGAATTAAAAGCAATTTGTATTTATGAGTATTTTTTATTTTAATAGCATGAAGGAGGTTTTATTTTGAGCCCTGTTACTGTTTCTATTTAAGTCTATACTAAAGATACAGTCATGGATTGTGGGGGGGGGGGTCTCTCTTCAGGCCGTTTGGGTTACATAGCAACATCAGAGTGTGTATTTCACACATTTCAATAATCTCACTTGATGCCACACGGCCATGATTCAACATGTAGTGTATTTTTTTTTCCTGCTAACCCTAAAAGATAATATTTGGATCTAAGAGCATGAACATTTGGGGATCTGTTCAGATTTAAAGTCTGCCACCCTCCGGCAGAAACATTCATGAAATGTGAGTTAACATGGCCAAGATGGCCCCCTGTCTGCTTGTGGAAGTTTCTGTATCTCAGATGCAGATGACTCATTACGGTATCTGATGTGTTTTCTTGCTCTGCTGGTGCAGCGCTGTTACTAACCCCCACCTCTCCTCTCTCTCTTTTTTTTTTCTTTTTCCTTTCCCCACCCTTTTTCTATGTCCCTCCCTGTTTTCCTCACTCTTCCTCCTCCTCCTCTCATTCCTCTCTTCCAGGTGTCAGAGTGTAATTGGCCTTCTCGCCAGGCTCCCAGCCTTCACAACTTGTTCGCTGTGTGTAAGAACATGCACAACTGGCTGAAACAGAATCCAAAGAATGTGTGTGTCATCACCTGCTCGGTAAGAAGATGCTCACATTAAACACCTGCACACTCTCGTTCCCAGCTCGCATCAATAATGTCACTCGGGTCTGCGTATTTCCATCCACGTTGCCTCTGCCCGTCACTCACACCCAACAGTTGGCAATTCTCCCACTGCAACTCCCTTCTCCCCCTAAAGTCCATCCATAAAGTGTCTGACTCTCCCTCCCACCAGACATCAGTGACACTGACTCTCTCCATTATTAAATCTTGTCTCAAAAAACATCTTTTTAAACTGGCATGTTTAGTCTGATCATCATCCATCCTGTCTCATGAGTCCTCTTCACAACGACTTTAAACATTGTGAATGTGTCTTTTAAATGCTATTTATTTTTACTTTGTTTTCATTTTTATCTCTGATTTGTAAGGTGACCTTGACTGTTTTGAAAGGTTCCTTTATTCATTATTATAATGGTCAAATGGCTTTCACAAAGCAGCACAAGCCTAAAGACTCACAAACATTCATCACTTTGGTGGTCTCTGTGTACATTATTGTGAGTCTATCGACTCTGTGTGGACCAATCAAAGTCGAGCTTGGTAAACCACTCTGATGACCCAAAATACACCAGATTTTTTTTGGAGTAAGGTTTTTCAATTATCGCATGCAGACTTCATACTCAATACAAAACGTCTGAATACACTCCCAGAAAGGGAATTAAATCACACTCCCATGTCCCCTGGTGTTCCCCATCTCACTGCTCCATGATTCTTTGTATGCTATATGAATGCCAAAGCGTGTGATTTGTCATCTCGGCTGTTGCATTACAAAGTGCTTTTGAGAAAGTGATAATCTTTATAAACTCTATTTGCACCTCATGGGGGAATTTAACAGTATGTAACTCTCCTCCTCTCCTCCCAACACTGCCAGACCCGGATGTGGATGTTTTTAGTCCACAAGTTTTTAATGTAAAATTCAGTGAAACAACGCTTGGAGTTGTTAAACTTTCTTTTTTTCTCTCTCTCTTAGTTCAGTCAGGTTTTTGTAACTCTTTTGTTGCTCAGCAGAATGTTTTGGTATCAAAAGAGAGAAATTGATGTTTCTTACAAAGTAAAGGGAAGAAAGAATCCAGAAAATGTTCTCTTCTGTTTGCTTTGAGATTCAAATTCAGTTTAAGTGTTGATGTGAGTCATGTTTCATTCTGATGCTCCCACTCTGCTCGAGGGAGATCAGATTGGAAATGTCTACAAAGTTTCCTCAGCAACCAGTTTCACTTTTAGTACACCACTGATGTTTGACGGTCACAACTGAAGTATTCAGTAAAAACCGACCGCTCTGTCTGCTCTAATTCAGTAACAGCAACACTGTACACTGGCATGTGGAGGAGGAGCGTGTTATTGCCAAGTCTCTGTGGTTAGCCTGCGGCGTGGCAAATGGCTCCATCTTGCATAACTCTGAGCAAACTGCTCCTTTCTAAACACTGTTTTTCACTGCTACAGAACACAATACTGTGTTTGTCTCCCCCTGGTGGCCTGAAATGAACTCAGACTCAAATTATGACTGTAAAGCCATAAAAATGTCACGACATTTAGTGTTGGCCTATTTGGACATCTTCAGAATAAGACATAGTCTTTTACTTATTTAATGTACTACAATTCACTTAGCAGACGCTTTTATCCAAAGCGACGTACATCAGAGAGTAAGAACAACACAAGCAAGGATCTAGAAAAAAGAGAACAATGTCAGTAAGAGCAAACGATCAGCTTTGAGTCTGATTAGACACACAGGTGCTGACAGGAAGTGAGGCAAAGCACAACATTGAGGGCAGTTCTTGAGAGCTCTAATCAGTATAGAAACCATCTTATAAGTCGTCGTTATCAAACAAAAACCATCGTCATTACCATCATCATCATCAATAATATGGAGACCATCATCATTAAGTTAGTAGGTATTCATAAAGAGCTGGGTCTTTAGCTTTTTCTTAAAGGTGCAGAGGGACTCTGCAGATCGAATGGAGTTTGGAAGTTCATTCCACCACCGGGGGCGACAGAGGAGAAGAGTCTAGTTAGCGTCTTAAGACCCTGTTGTGAAGGTTGGATCAGACTAACTTCCTTCACTTTTTGGAAACTTAAACAGTTAAAGCTGGAGTTAGAGTGATCTACAGTAAGCATTGAGAAAGCCCGAGTCAGTGAATTCAGTGGCCACATTGATACATGTTCACGTTCAGTCACATTCATGGCAGCAATGCTAAGAAGGAGGCAGTTCAGTGGTTAATATTTACAGAAGATGGGAGCAACAAGCTTTGAAATATGTGTCCTGTGTTATGTGTTTGCAGGATGGTCGTGCCCCCTCAGGAGTTTTGGTCTGTGCCATGTTCTGCTTCTGCCACCTTTTCAACAACCCGGTTCCTGCCATGCAACTGCTCAGCGCCAAGAGACCAGGGTCTGGACTGTGGCCCTCACACCGCAGGTTTGCATCCCTGAACATATGTGCGTATGTAAAGTGTTTGGTTGAAAGGTGGAAAATGGCAATCTGCAATAATTCAAGCTGAAAGGCAAGACTTGAGACTTGTTGATGACGTCTTTTACAAATCTTCTTCGTGTTCTATCTCCCATTAAATCCTGTTGTTTGTGGTCGTTTAAGAACAAAAATTAGCTTCAGACAAAAAATAGAGAAGACAGGGATTTGATGATGATTAGAATCATGGAAGCATCTTATCTTATGGAGATAATAAATCTAATCAAATAAAATCAAATAAATAACCGATAGACTGATAATCTTGGCAGCTTATGTTTGACTCTTCCAAACATCAGGTTGTGTACATGAATGCAAAGAAGACTTTTCACCGAGACTGACTGGATATTTCTTTTAAAAAAACTTTTCCAAAGTTGAACTATAAGCTACATTAAAAATGCAAAACTTTGAATGAACCCAAAGCAGAGTTAGCCTAACTTCAGACCATATGTAGAAAACATATAGAAGCCAAATAGTGCAGCAAACATTCCTCTTGTTTCATCAGCTTTAATGTGAGGCTGCAGAGCTGGCACACCTTCAAGGATGGACATTTTATCGCCCTTCCAGACAGTAGCTGTAGTACTTATCAGTCCATTGCTGGAGAGAGATCTCCCCCGATGAGTCAGAGTTTTACTGCAAGCTGAGACTGAGAGTTTTAAAAGGAGCGGAGACAATAATATCTTTCCATTCAAAGCCATTAAATCAATGTGCCTGCACTTATCTGTGTGTTTCAACTTCCTCGAACTTTGCTATACTTCTGCTCGTTGACTTGATTTAGCTACTGTGTACACTACATACTTTGTGCCTAACAAATACTACTTGGCAGTGCAGTTTCTTTTTTGTACAGGAGGAAACCATGGTGACTGAAACTGAGCTTATTGTGTTGTAGTTGAAGGCGATAAGTAATCACAAGAGTAACAGTGGATTAAACTGCAATTATTATAAGAAGAAAAGAAAGGAGACATCGGAGGAGATGGAATATATGTCTGCTGAATCAGTTGAGGCAGAGGACGGGGGGACGGGGGGACAGGGGGGAGGAGTTTTTTGTACTTGTTCAGCCACTAAAAGTCATGGATGAAGAAATGCATTTCTGATATTTTTGGATATTGGCAAGTAGATTTGTCTAATGGGTTCATCATCTGCAGCCACTTATCTCACACCAGAGTAGACACAATACCACACACACACACACTATCACACAATATGGATCACAGCACTCCTGGTCTTTGTCGAAACGACGCGGAAGTTATATTTTTGAGGAGGTGCGCGTCAGGCTACATACAGTATTTAGGCTCCTGTGGAGGTACAGGGCTATGCTGCAGTGTAGATTTGACAAAAGTATAAATCTTTACTGTAGGTGACAGGATTGTTTGTAGCAGTGGCTAAAGATTTTTGAAAAAACTCAAAGTAAATAATAGAACTACAAAGAAATGAGTCGCCATTATGCTGGGAATAGATAAAAAATTGCATCTTACTAAATGCACATCTCAAGCACATTTCATTTTTATATTTGACCAATTAACGTTCCAAATATTGTCATCAAAAAAAAGCATTAGAAGGTTTCCAAAAAATGTTTGTCTTCATTACGCAGATAGGACAGAGGAGCCACATGGTCCCTGCTGTTGATACCAACAAAACATGTTCCATGTGGGTGCAACACAAAGTAAGGGACGCACTGGACATTAAAAAAATGGTTTAAAAAATGAGCACCTTGTCTTCTCCCCTTGCAGGTACATAGGCTATGTGTGTAGCATGGTATCAGAGAAGCCCAGTCTCCCCCACTCTAAGCCCCTGGTCATCAAAGGCCTCACCATCAGTCCGGTCCCCTGCTTCAACAAGCAGCGCAGCGGCTGTCGACCCTTCTGCGACGTCCTCATCGGAGAGACGAAGATCTTCACCACTTCACAGGAATACGAGAGAATGAGGTAGGAGCTTCAAACTGTTGCTCAAAGTAATATGTCAATCACTCGGAATCACTCAGACAGGAGGAGGAAGGGATTATCCGTACCGTGCCCAAGCACGCTTCAACCCTAAAGTCCAATTCGTTTGGCCAGTGTGACCGCTCCGTGCCGTGCTCAGGCATGGTACACTTCCTTGTCTTTGGCACACTTTGGAGAGGTGTGCTTCAGCACGGTGCACTTCATGCACAAGCACGAGAACGCTGACAGCCTTCATTATGGAGAAATCCAGAGTTTCATGTCTGTATCTGACGGCATACAGCATGGCAATGGCGCAGCGGGGGGCCAATCGTGCTTGAGTACGGCACGGTGCGGATGGCCAGTGTGACCGCGCCCTAGAATTGCAAAAAGAATCATATTTGAGTTTATAAGAATCCCATAAATGTAAAAACCTTAAAAAAAGTTTTGCAATATTGTATATAAAGAGATGCAATATCGTTTTTTTCTCCTCATTTTCGGCCTCTCTTTTCTCTGAATGCATAATTTCCCCTTCTATTTTCTTCCTCAACTTATTCTTTCCTCTATATTTCCACCTCCTGCACTATGTCTATCCAGAGAGCACAGGGTCCAAGAGGGTAAGGTAGTTTTCCCTCTGGGTGTGAGCGTCCAAGGAGATGTCGTTGTTTCAGTCTACCACATGAGGTCGACCATCGGAGGACGTCTGCAGGCCAAGGTAAAACCTGTGCTCAACACATTATCCTAGACAGTAATTTGACTGTAACCTTCGTTAAGGGGAGCAGACTACAAACAGTGTCTGCATTCTAATATCTAAACCTCCATACTATTCAGTATGCCACAATAAATCTGAGTGTTTCCTAATACTTTATCAAGCAACAATGCAACTGTGTAAGAGCAGAATACACGTTTAAGTCCAGGTGATATGTTTGAATTGCAAACTGTGTGCTTTGTAGGGGCAGCAGAGTTTAAACTATGTTTTAAAGAAAAAGTGTGCACTTTAGAAGATATGGCATGACTTTTGACAACATAATAGTCCTAACTTACGAGAACAGGGTGTTAAAAATGTCAATATAGAGAATCTTTGTTTGCACAAGTTCATTTTAAAAAGCCAGCTAACTGATGTGGGTGCAACTAATTTGAATATGAATGCATCTCAAGTACAACAAAAAATGTCAGGACGTTAGAAGTAATAAGACTGAATCATTGAATGCAGGTTTTTTATTTCCTGAGATTGTTACTTTTTGTACAAATATGTCTAACTTCTACCTGCAGCATTATAAAATCCCTTCAATGCTTTCAACATTAAGAATCAAATGACAACCTGCATTATTATGTAATGGAAATATGCCTAAATTTAAGTTAGTTATGCGTTTAGATTACAAATTGATGGTTGACAAACTTCACAAGGTGCAGATATATATTTGTTTTTCTGTTGTCAGGTGTCCAACACCCAAATCTTCCAGATCCAGTTCCACACTGGTTTCATTGCTCCTGGTACCACCGTGTTAAATTTCAACAAGTAAGGACATTTCTATTTAATCCCAGTACAAAACTAACTCTGCTGATCCTTTCCTCAAATCTTCACAATGTCCCAAACAACATGATCCACAACATTCCTGCCAAATACAATCCTCTCTGTTTCCTTCTCAGACCAGAGCTGGATGCCTGTGACTCTCCTGAGAAGTATCCCCAGCTTTTCCACGTGTTAGTGGACATTGAGGTTGAGGGGACAGACAAACAAAAGGACCTGACCCCACCATGGGAGCAGTTCCCCTGCAAAGACCTTAGCCCCAGTGTTCTCTTCTCCTGCCACCAGGAGCATCAGGATGCTCTGGCTATCGCTGGTAAATCTTTCCTTTCCACTGATGAATGGCTATAAACACTTTCTAAAAAGGTTAAAGACATTAAACTTTCCAATTCAATGGCAACATGTCTTGTGAAACTAGGCGAGTCAATGCCTCAAGGGAGCCGCCTGTTGGTTAGAAATGGGACAAAGTGGTAGAACCCCAGTTAATTGTATTCAAGCCAGTAGGCAAGCTAACAAGCTAACAAGCTATTAACCTACTAGAAAGATACCAAGTAGCCAAATCCCCCTGATGTGTGTACAACAAGACCTACAGAAACTTTCATTCCATAACATAACAGATGTTTGAAAATTACTTAATTCAATCTAGAGTCGTTCATTCACACTGTTGAATTTTTCTAGTAAATGTTACATTTTTTCAACATGTTTAACAGCCTAGAGTTACAACATAGTGTAAGTAACAACGTAATGGACTAGTGGACTTTTACCAGCTTTTTTTTAACATTATGTAAAGCTACCCTTAAATTTCAAATACGTGCTAGCTCTAAGCTAACATTATGCTAACTTGATGAAAGCACACAGCTAGTTTAAGATAACTTACTAAACAATTGTTACTAGAAGTTTCTAACAATTTGTCTTGCTCTCACAAGGCTAGAAACAGTTAGTGAAAGTGATCCACACACTCACCCGAATTTATGATGAATTAACCACTAGCACGGACTTAATTACACAAAAAGGACGATCGTAATCCCTTATCACTTCACTAAAAGAGAAAGCTTTCCATTAAAGTAAAAAAAAAGAGTCCTAAAAGTGTCAAAGTAAAAGAAGACATGATGCAGATTGGCCCCTGACAATATTAATTAACCATTTCCTGTTATTATTGATTATTTAATATATTAGTGTTGCTTTAATGTTGTAATTTAGATAAAGCAAAGCTAGCCTGGAACAATTGTATTTACTGCTGATTGGGCTAATCTAATTAAAACACCTTATATGTACCCAAGTAAGTAGTATAAAAGTAGGCCTACCTCAACTCTTATACCCATACACTCGATTATTCAGGACTAAAATACAATAAATCGTCACTAAGGTTGGAAGACACACTGGGTAGAAATACATGTACATACTTTTACATGCAGCCACAAGAACAACCTAATCAACAAGCTCTGATTTTTGCACTTGCAAGATGAGATGGAGGGATTTGACCTGGAAGGTAAGACAGTAGAAGAATACCACAGACCTGTTAGTAAAACAGTAAAGTTATGTTTAGTTCATCAGGGTTTGGTTCAATTCAATCATACTAATTGACCTGGTGAGGAATCATGTTATTGTAAAAACAACATGGCTGTTTCCAATCACATCTTTGTTGATTGAATTGAAATGAACCCAGTCCTCGTAAAGTGGTAATGTATCATTTTGGTAGAATATTTTCAATTTGCCCAAAGCATTAATACTATTTCATCTGGGGATCTAATGTCGTACCCTGGCATATAAATGTTTGTCTTTTCCCAGTTGGCAAAGAAATGTTTTCAAGAACATGGATACAAATGAATAAGGCCCCTTGCCGACCTAGCGTTTTTTGTTGCTATTGTGGGCAACAGCGTCAGCAACGCAGCAGAAAGAAAGCGGCCGCCCGTTGTCTTTTTCCCCCCCGAGTGTGTCGCCTTTTTTGTGCGGCCGCTCCTAGCCCTCAAGTTTCAAATCTTTAAACTTTTTCCGAAAGACGCTGTTAACGTCACCGGCTGCCTTGGGATCGTGTGTTGTACCCACATCCTCTTTGCTCCGTGTCTGATCGAGAAATAAACTATATAAAATAAAAAAACATGCTGTAAAAAGTAACTGGACTATGAATCCCAGTGAAGAAAAGAAGTTGCAGCTTTAAGTGTAACAAATTAAAAATGTTCTACCAAAGTGAAATAGTTCTCTAGATTAACAATAGCCTGTTTTCAGTCTTACTATTATCCCATCCTTTTCTAGAAAGCATACTGATTGGATTGTTGTGAATAAAGATTTATCTTGTTGTTCTAGAAAGAACCTCTTCCAATTAGCTAAAAGTAACCACCAGGCAAACTGCAGAGTGTGCAGCATAGTATATTTTAGGAGAATGGCTGATGCTTGTATAGCCTATGTAGTCGCCCATTTTCCTTACTTAGCTCTTCTCCTTCACCTACACTGTGTCTGTCTCTTTAAGATACTCATGAAATGTTTCCTCCGTCTCTCCCTTTCTCTACTTCTGTGTCATCCTCTTACAGAGCCAACCAGGCCCCCCGGAGGTCCAGAGAGTCGAGGCCACGGCGAGGAGAGCGAGCCCTCGGACGACGAGATGCTCTCCCTCTCCAGCCAGCGAAGCAGCACCAGCACAGCCCCCCATAGACCGGACCCCCCTGCTCCTGCTGCCCGGGCTCCTGCCGAGGAGGTGGATCTCCTTGGTCTCGACGGGGTGGACATCAACCGGCCGTGTCCCTCGTCTCAACCACCTTCTGCTGCAGCTGCAGCAGCTGCAACCACCGACCTCCTGGGGGATTTGTTTGGGACCCCGACACAGCCAACCAGTGGGCAGTCATCGGCTCAGTCCACCCCACATAAAGTAGTCCCAAACACTGCCTCGCCATGTCCTTCTCCTGCGCCGCCAGGTTAGATAAAAACCCCCAAAAATGATGCAGCTAATAGAGCATAAAAGTTGTTATTTTTTAAACATATTAACCTCAAGGTCCACTTTCTAGCCTTTTCTGGTGCTTCTAAACTTTACGCATTGGAGTGACAATAACAATGATCCATATGTGTCTTTCTCTCAGCGTTTGACCCCTTTGGGGCGGGTCCCATGCCTAAACCTCAGGACATGATGGGTTCATTTCTCGGACCAGGTAACGCGGGGCAGCCAGACCCCTTCCTGCATGCCGCTCGCTCTCCATCACCCACCCTGCAGCCTACAAGCTTTGGTAAGGCATGCTCTGCTGCACTACTCTTTACAGCCTTTTGGGATGCTCTTCTTAAAGAGTCCACGTCAGGGTAAGGCAAGTTATAAAGTGTCTGCAACCCGGCTGCTCCCCTGCTTAAACACATGAACGTGCGTTGTAATTCATTAGACTGCATTGTGTTTTTAATATCCCATTCCTTTCTCCTAGCTTTGCTCCTCTTACTCTAACTCTGGCTTTTTGTGTTGCTTCTGTATGCTCGCTAGTGAATGGGTTTGAATTGTGTATGTTGTGTTTTTGCAGCCGGTCTATCAAGGAAGGCATCGAGACTTCAGAGGCTTGATATTACTTCCAGCATGAATCATTCCTATCCCCAAGCAACATTTCAGCCCGAAGTACTAGAACTCTCTCAGGCTTAACATATTTACCAAGCATCTTTAAAAAACAATTTAGCAAGTCAACAACAACAACTGAAGCGGTATACAAATTATGTTTGGGGCCGATAATGATGATTACAGTACTGATATATTGTCCGATATCTTTCTTACATTTGTATTAGATCTATAAGAGATAGATAGATGTACAAACACATTCATTGTTTTGATTCCTCAAATGCAGTTATCTAACACTTGTGGAAAAGATAAACAGTACATCGAAGACACAATGGTCATTTAACTAGAAAGTTAACTGCATCATTGCTTGACACTCGAGAGTAAAAAAAGCTTGTTGTAATCCATAACGAAACTCAAATGAAACGCTATTTGATGGGTGAATAAATCGAGTAATATCGGGGCATATTGTGAGAATTAAATGATACCGATAGTCACTGGATAAGCTAATATCAGCTAATATCATTGGCTGGCCTAAAGGAAATACTTTTCATTCATGGAATCATGTTGCTCAGTTGTCCTTCACTGTCTGCTCGCTCTTTGACAAAACGTTTTGTGCTTGATAGGCCGGAGTTCCCCTGTCCCACCCACAACACCTACGGTCAACATTCAGCAACAAAACGCCATGGGAGGATGGGACTGGAACAAACCGGCTACCACAAGCACAGGTAAGAACTAGACGGGCACGAGAAGAGCCAAGACCTCCACCAAGGCCGGCAGTAGTCCATTATTCTATGACCTGCAATATTAAATTAAAACAGCATTATAATTGCACATTTTGTAAAAAATTTTAACATTTTATTTTATTTTATTTTATTTTATTTTATTTTATTTTATTTTATTTTATTTATTATTATTATTATTATTATTATTATTATTATTATTATTATTAATAATAATAATAATAATAATATTTAATAATAATAATAATATGTTTATATATAAATATATGTTTAAAAAAACTGAATCAAAAGCTAAAAACACATGTTTTTTTCATTCCAGAGGTTTGACTTCCTGTATTTTGTTTCTTGATTTGTCCAGGAGGAGGCTTTGGTATGGGTAGTCGTTCTGCTACTACTAGTCCCACTAGTTCAGTTCACAGCACCCCCACCCACCAAACAAAGCCAAACACCTTGGACCCGTTCGCTGACCTAGGCAACCTGGGGGGAAGCCTTGGAGGTCTGTCACTGAAAATGATCTGAAGTACAGAAATGTAATCATTGTTACTTTCAGAAGCATCTTCTTTAAGTCACGATTTGCAATCTTTTTTTCTCAACCAGGTTCTGGCTTCTCCAGTAAACCCACCACCCCTACTGGAACTACACCTTCCCACCCTCCCATGGGCTCCCCGTCGCGTCCTCCTCCATCTCCCCAGCACGCCCACACAGGAGCTGGCTTCCCCTCATGGCAGCCAGGCGCTGGGAGCGGTGGAGGATGGCAGCCCCAACAAGGACAGGGTCCAGCCCCACAGCCAAAGCCCAGCCCGAGCCACGCCCCCATGCCTCACACATCGCCCCAGAACAGACCCAACTACAACGTCAGCTTCTCTGCAATGGGAGGGGGCTCGCCCAGCGCAGGGGTCAAAGCACAGGCCAGCATGGGTGAGAATGACGTGCAGAAACATGCAGCTCTTAAGTGGAAAGGGATTTTTCATTCAGTTTTTTGTAAATGAGCAGGATGAGTTTCATGTTTAAACAAATGTGTGTTTCCTCTCTTTGTCTTTGTATCTCTCTCTCTCTCTCTCTGTCAGGTACTAAACCCAAAGCCTCAAATGCCAACTTTGATGACCTTCTGTCCGGTCAGGGCTTTGCAGGGGCCAAAGAGAAGAAAGGGCCCAGGACTATAGCAGAGATGAGGAAGGAGGAGATGGCCAAAGAAATGGACCCTGAGAAAATAAAGGCAGGGCGTCTTTTTTTATGATGTGATATGATGTACACATGTTTTTTAAGGAGTAGATTGTTGTCCTTATTTCTTCTGAGGGAAGTCCCAGGACATCGTTTTAAAAATAAGTTTTAAATCAGTTCACTGGGTTCCTGTCGTCTGTTTTTCCAGTGAAGCACAACAGAAAGAATTCAGCTATTCCCAGAAGTAGAGTGGTGAACTGAAGAACAGTTAAAGCCTTGCTGTTTTTTTTTACAGAATCAGTGAAGCAACTAATGCAGGTCTCCCATGACCAAACTTTGCTTCCTCTAATTACTCTTTTAAAAAAACTTTTCACTGCAGCCAAAATCACTGGACACTGAATTTTTGCTAATTATCGTTCAAAATCTGGTCATCGCTGAATAATGGCTGACCTCTTCTCCCGGTTTGTGACCCAGATTCTGGACTGGATCGAGGGGAAGGAGCGTAACATCCGAGCTCTTCTGTCCACCATGCATACTGTGCTGTGGGAGGGAGAGACCCGCTGGAAGCCCGTGGGCATGGCTGACCTGGTTACTCCAGAACAGGTCAAGAAGGTCTACCGCAAAGCAGTCCTGGTGGTCCACCCAGACAAGGTGAGGCAGATGATAACTGAATTATGTACTTTATTAATTCATTCTTATAAAGTCAGGAAGGGAGACAAGGCTTCTCTGTCCTTAAGGAGGTCATATTATGTCCTTTTTGGGGTTTATATATTTAATTTATGTACCTACTAAAGTATGTTCACAATAACTAAAGTTATAAAAAAGTGTCTGTTTTCGTGAACTGCCGCTCCGTGCACCGGCTCTCTTCTGACTCTCTCTCTAAAGCTCTGAAGTGCCCACGTTCAGAGTCCCCACGTGTGCCAAGTCTGATCTGATTGGTTGGCCTGTCAGCTCTGCCGTAATTGGTCAGTCGCTCAGCACGGTTCTCGGAAATGTCCCGCCCCTTTTACCATATTGGGAGTGCAGCCACTTTGGCTCGGAGGGGAGCAAAAACATTAGCACATTAGCACTACTGTGCTACCGCAGGCTACTAAAGAGCATATAAAACCAGGAAAAGCATAATATGACCCCTTTGAAAAACTGGACTGATGATGGACTTTTGTGTTGTGTTGATTTTGGCGACCCCCTGTGGACGATTTATCTCTTTGTTCAACTTGTTCTGCACTTGTGTAAGAACTGTTTTCTGACAAAGACTATCTCATTCCTCTTTATTTTTAATGTATAATGTTTCAATGTATAATGTTTTAATGTATAATGTGCAACTCAAAGACTCTTGGCATGAAACAGAAAGACAGCAGTGCTGTTAATCACGTCGTCTGACACCTGACCCCCATGGCGGTTAGAATGTGACTCGATTTTCATAATGAACCCAACCCGCATCCAACACAGTAGGAACCGAGCCCCACCCGAAGCCGGCAACCATTATAATTTGTGTTCGAGTTTCAACCTGAGATCAACACTCTTTTTAACCACCTCCATGGACAGTATGGGTCCCCAGTTTCTACTAGCACCTTATTTTGGGGGTCACGGAGCTGAAAAGTTTGGGAAACCTATTTCTAGACAATACAGACCATTTAATAATAATAATAATAATAATAATTTATCCTTTATTAATCCTGCGAGGGGAAATTCAGTTTTTACACCCTGTTTAATGAACATGAACGCACACATGCACAAACAGGATCCTGTGGACATGCACTGATAGAGAGGTCTCAGAGTGAGGGGGCTGCACACAGCAAGCGCTCCAGAGCAGTTTTTTGGGGTTTGGTGCCTTGCTCAAGGGCACCTCGGCAGTGCTCAGGAAGTGATCTGGCACCTCTCCAGCTACCAGTCCAACTTCCAGACTTGGTCCGGGCTGGGACTTGTGCTGGGACTTGAACCGGCGACCCTCAGATTGCCAACCCAAGTAGCAATAAAATGTATAGAGGCCCCCTGCTGGTCATTTAAAAATAATGCAGGTTTAATCTGCTATTACTTTTCAAACTCAGAGACTGTCCCCCTTTTTATAAAGTCTACGAGTAAAAAAAGTTATTTGAATCTCTAATTTTTATTTATAAAAAAATGAGGTATTTTAATGTGATTGTCCTGTGGATTTAACTCTTGTGTTTCTGTCCATCCCCCACAGGCGACAGGGCAGCCCTATGAACAATATGCCAAGATGATTTTCATGGAACTAAACGACGCCTGGTCAGAATTTGAAAGCCAAGGACAAAAGCCACTCTACTAAATAAACAGTGAGAGGAACTTAGCGAGAGGAGGACGTCCCTGCTGATTCTGTCTTAACTAAACCTCAAAATGTGTCACCAACGTTTGGTCACTCCAGCCACCCCCGACGACATCTGCCTTTATACCTGTGCTTACCCCCTGTACCTCTCATTACCACAGCAACAGAACATCCAATGGATCTGCAAAGATGGAAAAACACAACAAAAAAAAAAACCTCCAACGTGACCTTCCTACCTACCGTATGTATGTAATGCATCATAGTCTTTCCTTGTTGGGTGTCCTTAGTCCTGAACCAAGCCACCAATCAAAGCAGAGTTACTGGGATGTCTGGAAAAACAGAAAAAAGAAAACACTTGATTTAGAAAAAGATCAAAAGAGACAACGGACATCATGTGATCAGAAAAACACATTTCAGGGAGTGACCTGAGCGAGCGTTTCACAAACTGCTCAAAATTCTCATTTAGAGCATCCGACTGTGTTTGGGGTACAAGAAAGCATTTAACAGCAAACACGTCATTTACCCATAAGGACTTCTGTTTGAGAAAAATGTGAAAAATGGATCCCTGATTTATTTACTCAAATCCAAAGTCCCCCCGGTTCATATTCAAAACATCCAATGAAAGGCAGTTTTGAGATTTATCTCAAATGTTGTGTATGTGTGTGAAAGAAAATGTAATCAAAATGCTATCTCTGCTTTTGACACTAGTTGTGATTGCAGGTTGGAGTCTGTCTGCGTTAGACTTAAAAAACGAGTCGGATGTGTAAAGTTGAAAATGACTAATTAAATTCAACACAACAAGGCGGCTCCACATTAAAAACACCGATCAGAATGCTGCTCAAATATACACTCCTGACTTATGATTAAAGGTCACATATTATACTCCTTTTCAACAAGTTTAAATAGAAGAAAAGAAAAAAGAAAATCCACTCTGATCCTGTATTTTAGCATGCCTCTGTTTCAACCCTGCTCAGAACAGGCTGTTTCTGTGTCTGTACCTTTAAATATGTAAATGAGCGGTGTCTGACCACGCCCCCTCTCTGGAATGGGCTGTGGCTCGAGCTTTCTTACACAATGCCCACTTGTTTATGGCTGAAAGGCAGACTCAGAGGGCAGAAAAATACACCTAGCTGTAGGAGTGTCATACACTTGGGGGAGGGGCTACTGCCCTTTGTGAAAATCTCCAAACGGCCTGTTTTTATAAATATGTTATCGCATATTAATATTAGAAAACCAAGGTGAAGTGTATTCTGCATAATGTGTGACCTTTAATATATAGGATGAACAAAAAAAAGGCATTGTACTGTAGGAGAGTGATTTATCGTTGATGTGATTGAACCGTGTGTGTGTTTGCATGTGTGCCGGGACTGAGGGCTTTGTTTACTGTACTATAGGGTTGAGCACATGTATAGTTCCACACATGAAGCACCTCGAGGCCTCATGCGTACTCACTCATACACAACATGTATTCCTTTGTGAGGTTAGCTCTGTGAAAGCACAAACTTTCCTCGGTGCCGCTGTGAAGGAAAGCTACTCTTATTTATTTAATTCATCTTCATTTGTGTGTCTGACGTGTGCTGCTTTGTTTTTGATTTTTTTTAAACTGCACATGAAGTCAACTAATGTACCATATGGACATGTATTGATATGTAGACCGTCATGTTCAACTCTAGTAGAAACACTGGAATCATTAAGACTACATCATAAGTGTTACACAGCCTGTTGTAGAGAGCAATATCTTATTTCCAAACTACAAAAACAGCACGAGTGAGGTTAATGTGCTGCTCTTCTATTGGCCACTTTATGACAGGTGTTGTAGGCTGATTCTGCAGAGATGGGTTATTGATCATGAGAAAATACTCTATCATGATCTGATTAACTGTATATTACTACTACTTAATTAAGACTAAGATCCTTACACGTCATTACAGCAGTTTTTATCAAGACACTGATATGCAGCGACTGCAACTTCTTAAAAACTTGACAGTTTGTTTACATTTGTTGGACATCTCCGTTCACCACTGACAATGATTTATTTATAATTATTATTTGTATTGAAGAGTAATAAAAGCTGTGTTTTCCCCAGAGGCACCATGCAGGGACTTTTAAGTTTTAAGAAACTCCTTTTGAAAAGGGCCTAAAAGGTTCCTCCAGCCCATGATTCTCTAAAGTTTCCACTGAGGTCTTGTGGCCTTTGAAGAGTTCCTCTAAAAGTCGGCGATCACTTTGGTGAGAACGCAGCAAATAACACTATTTCATATCAACATTAAGGTACCCGGATCAAACTTCAGTTGTCTCCATGGAGTTTTACTAACATGCTTCAGCTGATAAGATTGTTTGACTGCTGATGTTGTCTCCTGATGTGAAGAGTATGTGTAGCCGTGGGATGAAGGAACATGCAAAAACTAAAGATATATATCCGTAAGGGGAAATCTACATTTCTTGGAGAATTTGAGGTTTTCACTGGAAACTTGTTATTATTATCCGAGAACATCCTCAGCTTCCAGCTCTGTGTTACTGATAGTGAAATACTCTAAAACACATTTTAATCTGTTTGTCATCTGCTATAAATTAAAAAAATGTGTTCATCGGTTTTAAAAGTGGCAAAATGTGCAGAAAATTAGCATTTACACAATTTTTTCATTCATTTCAGGACCGTTAAGTGTTGTCGAGATTTCAGAATTTTAAACTTTGAAAGTAAAAATCAAACAATATGGTTACCTGTAACAAAAATATAAGTCATGTACATTCAATAGGGAGTCACATCTTGTTTTTCATTACCAAAAATTGCAATTAAACTTTTGCATTGCACAAATACAGTGGCAATGTTTTTGTATGTATCGGTGCAACTTAGACAGCGTCACCTCCTCTGCTCCCTGTCTGTTTATAAGAGACATTTAAACTTCACTTGTTCATCTCTATGATGCATTAAAAGGACTTCAGACACATCAGTATTTGCAGACCTTTGAATTTGAATCTCTCTCTCTTCTGCTAGTGGCAGCTTTGGTTTCAATACAACTGCAGATCTGTTGTTTTTTCTAAGCGTCACTTCTTTCCTAAAGATCACTAAAATAAAGCAGATTTTATTGTTTTCAAACATCAAAGTTTCAAATATCATCAAGAATCAAATATTGTGAAAACCTTAAATCCCCCCCTTTTTTTTGTAGAAATGCAGGAGTAGCATGTGATCATGTAACCATCGTCTTTAACCCTTTGTTAACGTTCATAATGTGTAAACCCTTTGTTGGACTTCAATGCTGTTCATGTTGATTCTCTGTTGTTCATCTGCACTGAGGATGTAGGTACGACTGCTGGGACAAAGAATGGATCAAGAGGAATATTACGTCCTGTTTCTATAAAAAATGGCTCCTGGCTGAAAAGTTGAACTCTGATCTAAAAGTCTTCTGCTTTCTCTGGTGACTCACTTGACACAGAAGTGTGTGTCTGATGTGCGCCTGAGCTTGATTTACATCGAGGACCGACGTGTGAAATAACTCTCCTTAAGCTCCCTCGCTGACTGAATTCTCTATCTGCGCCTATCTTACGGCTATGTTAAAAAAAACTCTAACCTCTTTAGTGTAGTCAATGGATGTGTGTTATCTGCAGTTCTGGTATGTAAGGAAGTGATCTGATTTGGATACAGACTACTAGTATGTCATGTGTTTGCCTGTCTGCTGTTCAAGTATTACTATAATGTGTAAAGATTCTGTTCACGTGCTCCTTTTAGTTCTGTTAACCATTACAGGATGTACATAATGATCAAGTGCAGTGCACAACAATAAATAGGAACAGGAAACTGCACTGATGAGCAGTAATCAGGTTGTGCGTGTGTGTGTGTTTCTTTTCTGGTCCACCAGAGGGCAGCAAAGTATAAAAATGAATTAGCTGAGTTAGAGTCCCAGAATAACTACTTAGATCGTTTGCACCTGAGTACTTTTTCCTGCTTCCACATGACTGATTCCATGATGCAAAAATACAGAATCAAGTACTCTTATCACCAAACGGCAGACTTGTTTGAGGTTCTTCACAAAATCCAGAAATATTCAATTAATAAAAAGACAGATTATTTGTGGTAATGGGCTATGGCAATACTGTAGAGGTAAATTACTAATTGGAGAAAAAGTTTAAATTTTTGTTTAAAAAAAAAAAAAAAAAAAAAAAAAAAGCTGCAATGACAAAGTTCAACAATCAGCGTGCAGTACCTTCACATTCCACCGGGGGGGGGGGGGTTGCGACCCACACATTAGGAATCACTGCTTTACAGTTACTAAAGGAATGTGATTTTTCACACTTAAATATAATATAAATCAAGTATATCCTCTGAAAATAACTCTGTGAGTCATGACTGTCTACAATGGGTGAAACACCCGAGTCCCACTGTCTGTGATGTTTTCAGAGTTTTCAGAGTCCTATCTTCACTTTGTTTACATCGCCCGGACAGACGGCTGACTCCTCCCCTCGTGTATAAAAGTTGTTTAATTGAGGGACTGGAGAAAAGAAGAATAACATACTGTACTCACTGCTTAACTGTGTTTCTAGATCACGCTCATTTCAGGTAAATTTACATGCAGTGTGAAGATACGAGCAGAATAAAGATCACTAGCATTAGCATGCTAACACAACAATGCAGCACGAGTTGTTTTGGTTTCATGCTGGTGCTCAAGGGCGACATCTGCTGGATCAAAAAAATCACATATAAAGCCTTTAAGTAAGAAAAATATTGTTGTCAGGCAAAGTTATGGATTTTAGATATAAAGTAGCATTAGATTAAAATATTCTGTAAAACAACACCAAAATATCTGGCTTAAATAAAATAACTGTATCTTACAAATGTATTTATAAAGCACATTTCAAACACAGAAGCCAGTTCCTTGTGCTCTACACATGGTGTTAAATAGCAAAAGTAAAGGAGGTATGATGCTTTCCAGCAGGTGCTTCCAGGTAAACACTGTTCAACACTGATGGTAATAGATGTAGACAATAACAATAACAATAACAACATCTTTAACTCTTCTCATATGTGACCAGTTCAAAGGGTTGATATGTTTTCCCTATGGGGCTCAGATCCGGGAAAATCAGCACTTTGTTAGTTGTTAGTGTTAATTCAGGTAACTGAAATTCACTCCAATCAGTGAATCATTGTGAAATAAAGTTTGTGCTGCACTCTCCAGTTTTTCCTTGCTGACGCACTTCCTGTGAGAGATTCAGCGCTGATGGGTCTAGATCGTAATCAACGCTGATGTTTTATTTTACATATCCTACATCATTAGGTATATGTCTCATCTGATGTCACAGACTTCAAGCTACTGATGCTGTATATTTCTTAATGTGTTTTGCGTTATGCGGTTACTCACTGTGCCTAATTGTAGATTGATTGAAAAAGAAAATCACTTTTGAAGGTCCGTTAAATTCTCCTGGAACTGATACTCTGATCAAATTCAGACCAGTTCAGATTCTTTTGTTTGTTTTTTTAAAGCAAACTTCCAAGCTGATGTTGAAACACTCTATGCTCTCTGGTTTTCCTAAAACCAGCTGACTTACTGGGAAATCCACACGTCTCCAGAGATGCTCGTCTGGGGACTTAATTGGAAAATGAAAAACATGTTTTCTCATGGCCTCGGCTGAGTACGGTCAGATAAATAGTTACAGTGTACTTAGGTTTGTTTACTGTACAGCTTTGTATGATGCAAAAAACACTTATTGTTTGAAGGTACTACAATTTACATCACTACAAGCTATGAGGATCATAAAATGCAAGTCAACGTTTACATTTATGTTAGTTTTGACACCATTGATGTGTAGATGTTCAGATACTTTTATTTAACTGGATAAGTTAGATCTTTAACTTACTGATGACCCTGAACATGATCACCAAAGTTATGAAGATGCATCCTATCATGGATGTTAATGTAG